TAGTCAGAGGCAGCCACCTCTTCACGTGCTTAACCCGCCCGTCAAACGCTTCCCGCCCGTTTGGCAATTCCAGCAATGCCGAGGACAAGGAGGCTTACGTAGAACCCGGTATGAGAGAGTTTCACATGTATTTGCAGACTTTGTGGCCCAAACTTAGCGATGGTCGCAGACGCCATGCTACAAAATTGCCTATTTGAGCGTAATGTCAGCCCTCCTGGGAAGAACAAGTTCGCCGCCCTCGATGGCCGAGGCTTCGGCGGCCGATCGGGTCATACTTGATGTAGGTCCACATGCGTCCCAATGGCTATTACGGTATGCCCCGGCTAGGAATATTCCTTTTTTCTGTGTACCCCGTCACTCTCCTTGCCTATTCTGAATGTCTGAACAACGCGTATCAGCTTTCTTTCCGATGCCGTCCTCTTCTCTCCGACACTTTCTCTCAAAAGAGAAATAATGAGCATTTTCCGGCTCGGTCACGTGTCGGTGAAGTGGACAGCCACCCAGATTGAGCATGCGTACGAAGAAGAAGCGGTGTGGCACGGTGTGCCCTCCTCACCAGGCTTGTCTAATAATACGATGGGGACCATACGAGTCCCATCTTTGCCAGCTACCCTCTTGTATGCTTCGTTCGGATCCCCCGTGCTCTCTGACCATTGCACCCGGTCGGCCCATGGACGGCTTCGTCGAGCGCGTCGCCCTCACCCTCAATGCTATGGATCCGACCACGCCGCCGTCGTACAACGAGGGGATGCCGCGGGTCGCTGGCGCCCTCCCGCCTAATTATAGCCGCTACGCCCATCCGTCGCCCTCCGCGTCCAGACAGAGCACTACTTCCACCTTCCACCGCGGAGCGTCAAACCGCCTTGGGCGACTCTCAAGCTGATCAGCCGGTCCCAGTCTGCGACGCAACTTCCTATCTTTCTCGAGGGGGACAGGATTGGGGGGCGGTTGACATTCAACTTGACGCAGCCCGAGAGCATCGTCGCCATCAACGCATACGTGAGTCAGTCAGTCCGGATTGGTTCTATCCTCGGTTATTTTGCCTGCCCCACGTTGTTTTCTGGGCGACCAACGTTGCGATGCAACCTCCCATCCAATCATCTCGAAGATTCTCATCATCCCGGCGCGCGGAGTAACCTTGTTTTAACCACGGGTCTGCAGGTGAAGGGTCAAATCATCCCGGTCCGACCGACAAGGACACGTTCCCCTTCCTCGAGGTATCAACAACACTTTGGACGAAAGCCGACGGGGACCCGCGCAATCCGGGCGGCCGATTCTCCGGGAAACTAAGCGGGCACCACGAATGGAACTTTTCGATCAACATGCCGAAGGCTGTTACGATCCCCACGACACCATATTTCACCGGGGCAAGCTTTCCGCTGCCCCACACATTCCGCGAACGACGGTTTCCAACCAGCATACAATATCTTCTTGTGGTCGAACTAATACGAGGTCGATTTCGCACGAATTCACGGTGGGTGTGTGCCGGAAGAGATGGGAACACGCGGTCTCATCAGTGCCTAGCATACAAACCGAATTCGCCTACGTCCCGGGGACGCGACCTTCCCCTCCTTCTGCATTACGCCGGCTCGCGTACCAACAAAATACTCCTCTGATTGGACCGGAAATCGACACAGCAGGCTGGAAACAGTTTCCCGCGCTCCATGTGAAGGGGACCATATTCAACAAGCGCCCGGTCGAGATTATCTGCACAGTGAGCCTGTCTTCCCTTCGTTGTGGCAAGACACTCAACTCACCACGTTCAGCTTGCTTTGGCTAAACCAGTGAGTGCTGCAAACAAACAACCCCCTTCCCCGGGACTGATTAGCAGTTATCTTACACACGAGGGTCGCCACTGCCCTGCCTAATGACGTTGGCGTCCACCGACGCTCAAGCTCTGGACCTGTTCGCATCTCCGCAGTCTCTCTCGGTCTACCTTCGACGACGTCTCAAGCCTATAGTCTCCGCGTCGAAGCGAACCGGGATGTTCGACGCCAATGCCGATTTGTCTGCTGATCCTGCCGAGAATATGGCCGTAGCGACGTGGTGGCCAACCTCGCCGAATCCAGAGACCCACATGCCTTCTCGACGTCTCAGTGGGGAGATCTACCTCCCGGCAACGTTGAAACCGACGTCCCGGATAGCCTACTTTGCGGTCGAGGTCGGATCTGCGTTCCGGTAATAAGATGGAAATATACTGACACCGATGCTCAGTACTCTGTCGAGGTTCTCCCGTTTAAGGCGACGACATTCGTTCCTTCAGCAGACTCCGTCGTCCCCCTGCTCAAGGTCGACATCGAGGTGACTACGATGTTCGCAGCCAACTCAGAACGCCCCCGAGTCTACGCTCCCGTTTCCCACGCGGCCTCGATGCAGCAAGAGCCTACCCGGGACAATTACTTCAACGTTCCCATGGACGAGATGTCCACTGTCTGGCGCACTTGAAGGCGATGTCAAATGCAGGATCCAGACAGAAGGGGCTCAGCTGAAGAGGCCCGACCTGGCGGCAGGCCCGGCCTGACTTTCACTTCGCGTCGCCTCTCTGTGGTATTGAGTCTGTGGTCAGATGATAGAATACACAGGGAGGCATAGGGAAGCATAGAAATGTCGAGTACAGCAGTGATTACATTAAGCAAGACGTGCGCCGAAATATAAGTGCTAATATGTAGATGGGTGGGTACATAAGGATGACTGCAGATCAGAACCACCCGTATTCGGGAGCCGTGAAAGAATGGTTAGTGACCTCCGGCTCGTAGCTCGGAGGCGTGTGTACCCTCGGTTTAGGTCCTTTGGCAAAGATGGTGGCGATTTCCACCTTCTGCCGCACTGGTAGTGTCGTTTTCATTTGATTGTGTACGAATCCTGGCGCTTTGAATGGTAGCATAACCACATGGTACTTCCAAGTTGCTCAGCGCACAGGCTAGACTGTAACACTTCCAACTACCCACCTCGAGGTTGAAATGTGATATGCTGGACGACGGCTTCAACGTCTTTGGTAAGTGGATCTCTCCGTCCAGCCGACACGTCCCTGCATGTGCATCTCCCACGGGCCACCAAACAGCGCGACTGACCTCAAGCACGGAAGAGTCCGACGAAGCCTCTCGTGTCGTGTACTCGGCAACAGCCGGGGCCTTCATGTACTTGAACCGCCGATGCAGATAGACATTCATCACGGCCGGAGTGCAGAGAAGATTCATCGCCTGAGGATCGTCGCAGAAGAAAGTGACAGAGCAAGGGATGACGCTGCCTCGTGTATATGACAACTAGGGGAACGATCGTCGGCCCCCGGGTGCAGCGGGTAAAAGAGACCGCACTCACAGGATTAGCCAGGGAGAGCTTGCAGTGAGGATTCAATATACATTCGAGATGATAAAGTCAAGGCCTACCGAACACTGCATATCGACCTTGCGAGCTCCAAATATCGTACCAGCGACTGTTGCCAACGGAAGGGTATACCATCCGTCAGGATCCAGATCGGGCCCGGGCAAGGGGCCATTCTGGCGGTAGGCTAGCTGTCGAAGACGAGACGGTGGGGACGGCCGTATTGCGGGAACATACACAAACATGGTCTGCAGTCTGGAAAGGCATCAGGATTCAATAATGCAAAGTGCCTCGGTCAAACTACAGACTTGTCATCCCCACGAAACGTGCTGCGTGCAAGATGAACAAAAAGTTCGTAGAATACACTCGCTCGTGAGCTCCGCTCCAAGAACGTCTGGGGTAAGTGGTACGTCTTTGGCGACCCGTGCTTGGCCTGCGGATCTGGAAGTGTGACCTCCTTTGGCAAAGATATCGAGAATGGCCAGTGGTAGTCTCCGTTCAGTTTCCCGCCGGGAAGTGTAGGCGTCTGGACGTTTTCCCTCCGCGGAGTCGAACCGCCCTTGATCCAGAGCGGAGTCGTCAAGTCCAGGAAGCACACCCGGTCCTGCTCATTCGGCCCAGTGACAATCTGACCCCGGATCTTGTCATGGTCAGACGTAAATCAACAGAAAGCAAAATGCTTCGCACCAGGATGCTGACACCGAGAATGTTTTCACTGCTGGACAGACCCAGAGTGACAGATCCTGTTATCTTCTCTCCCTCGAGATAGGTCGGCAAGGCACTCGAGCTGCGCGCGCTGCTCTGAAGCTTCAACGTCGCCCACGGTTTCTTCTTCCTGTCCTTGAGATCCAAGACGTGTTCGGTGGGCGGTCTCACGGAGCCGGCGGTGCGAGGGCGTTCATGGGCTGAGTAAGCCGGAAGCGATGTGACAGAGGCCGCCGAAGAGAAAGGGTCCCCGTACACTGAGGAATGGGACATGGGTCTTGTCAAAAGACGCGGGATGTTCAGGACCGATACACCATCTGCCAGCCTTGACTTGAGGCCTACCCGCCCCGCTCCCTGTTGATCTTGCTTGTCTGCAAGGAGAAACGGTGACAGGCAACTATCGCGATCAAATGATGTCCATTGATAATTCACGCCCGCCGCCCGGCCCGCGGGTTTTGGAAAGGGTCCGAATAAAAATAATCCCTCTGCTCATACTCGTCGACAAAAACGTCCTACAGCCACTCCTCTGTCACTCATTCACAGAAACTCCAATCCCTACATAGAGTGATCAGAGGAACTTTCAGCTTGGTGAGACATCGGGCAAGAACCCCATCCGGCGAACGCGAGTTTAATTTAGATGAGGCTAAAACCGCATAGATCTTGTCCACCCCGAGCAAATTGGATGTGATAGTGAGATCTTGTGTGCGCCATGGGAATACACTATATGAATCCCCCGGATGGTACTTGTGCACTGCACTGTTGTCCAATCCTCCAGCATGAATTCGGGGCCCATATCCATTGGAACAACTCATATCAATCGAGCCGAGTCTGGACCCGTCAGCCGCTTACTGTTGATCCCGGGAGAGGAGGGAAAAGATTCTGCGGCAGAGAGGAAAATCAAGTGATACAGCGTGTTTACTCTCTAAGCCTTCATCGCTGCTTTCATAGTCTGGGTCGGATGTAAGACGAGAATGGTCACGAGAAGCAAAGACACGAGCCTTCTCCATTTCATCTACATCATCAGTTTTGATTCGCATGATACTTTGGCCGGTAGCCTCCTCGATTGCAACCATCTGCTCCCAGGTCACCTTGTTGTGTACGAAGTTGATCGAGATGCCCTTGCGGCCAAAGCGTCCTGTGCGACCGATCCGATGGATGTACGTCTCGATATCCGGTCGGTCCTGGTTCCCGCCCGGTCCGCCCCCGCCCGAGTTGCGCTCATACAAAAGGGGAAGATCGTAGTTGACGACCATGTTTACTTGCAGGATATCAATCCCGCGAGCGATGACGTTTGTGGTGATAAGGACCTGGATGAATTCAGTCAAGGTGCCGGATAGCACACAAATGCGGCCTTACCTTCTCCTTTCCCTCTCGGAAGCTATCGATGATGTGGTCCCGCTCCGCAGGATCCTTGGCGCCGTGCAAGGAAGCGACCTTGTGTCCTTCCGAAGTCATGCGCACAGAGATCTTGTCCGCAGTGGCTTTATGCTGTTTACTAATCAGACGATGTGGGCGAACACAGGCTGAGAGAGGGCACCTGGCAGAAGATGATACTTTGGCCAACTGTGAGGAGGTTGTACAGTTGGACCAGAATGTCGTATTTGTGACCTTCATCTTTGCAATCCATGTAGAACTGCCGAATATTCGATACGCTCAACTCTTCCCGGCGCAGTTCGATCTTGTTCGAATTCGGCGCAAACTTGGAAGCGAAGTTGCGCACATTGTCAGGGAAAGTGGCGGAAAAAAGGATAATTTGAACCGGGTGGTCGCGAGGGAGCAGGCTATAGGGATCAGACTTCAGACCCGGCGAGACCGATCAAGGCGTACTTCTTGACACGCAAAGTTTGGTCGCCCAGTCCATCCTGATCCAGCATATTGTCTGCCTCGTCGAGAACAAACACCTTGACTTGCGAGATGTCAATGATACGCTTCCTGATCAAGTCGTACATCGTCCCTGGTGTACCAACGATTATTTGGGCCGTAATAGCTCCAGAATCGCGTGCGAGATTGTCTTTGATAGCGTATTCTGTTTGCACAGCAGTGAACTTGCCCATCGCATTTACGACAGTCATGATCTGCCGCGCTAATTCACGCGACGGGGCCAAGCAGAGCGCCTGTGTGCATCAGTAAATGTAGTTTGGGCCGTGAAGCGACACACCTGAGGTATCTTCTTCGCAAAATCCACTCGGCTGAGCATCGTCAACACAAATGCCGCCGTTTTACCCGTGCCAGATTGGGACTGTCCGATCATGTTCGTCGGCCTGTACTCAGTAAGGATCGCGCATTGTAAACGGCCCGTCCCTCACTCACGGATTAGCTAGTAGCAGCGGCAAAGCTCGCTCTTGGATCTTCGAAGGCTTTGAGAATCCCATATCGTAGATCCCTTTCAAGAGATCTTGATGTCTAGAACACGATTAGCACCCACCCAGTCGCTACGAGGCAGAGATTATTCACAATCCAAGCTCCTCGAATGTTTTCACACTGAAAAGAGGCGAATTCGGGTCTCCTTGCTGGTCCGCGAGTGTGACCTGGTATCACACGTCAACAACCCGCAAGACATCGCGTCGCGAAGACCTTACAGTGACTTCGAAGGTAGACTTGATCAGATCATTGGGTGCAGATTCTTCGCGTAGAGGTTGAGCTGGAGTGCACAGGGAAAGGGATGCGTCCATTACCCCGGGCCTTGTCATCCTCCTTCGGAACGGGCCCACCAGCGGGCTCCGCTGAAAGAGCGCGATCCTTCGTGAGTCCATTGCAACGTGCCAAGACGCGCACAGAACTCAACTCGGATTGTAGAAACCGTCCGCGTCTTTCTGCAGTGCCATCGCTTCCTTGAGAGTCCGTAGTTTGTGTGGTGTGGGCGGAGGCGGTCGTAACGCGATAAAGCGACTGTGATCGTGATAATTGACCCGATCGATGTGTTCGCGGGTCGTGAAGGTGCGTGAAGACCGCGTGCAAAGACTATGAACAGAAGTTTGCAGAGGTTTGAGCAAGAAGAGAGAATGGTGATGATGCGATCGCCGAATTGATCTTCACCTGATCTCCAATTGAAGATGAGATCTTCCTTTGTATGAAAAGTACATATATTCGTGTCTACCTACAACATGGATAGGACACACTCAGCATGGATAACGTACTAGTTTTCAAGAAACTTGTAGACTGAGCTGTAATCTCATTAACGCATTTGGCTACGTAAATGCAAGGGGACGGACTGGGGGACGTCGTGTTGAGTGACCGCGCCGGTATTGTTTTTCATCCTACTCGCAATTTGAGCGAATTCGGTGTGCGACTGACCTCATTATTTCTCTGTCATGTGGGAAAATGACCGACCGTAATACACGAGGTTTATAACATACAAAAAGCCAGAAGAAAGCAAAGACTTAGCGCTAGAGACCCCCGTGTCGGTGACCGTGACGTAGAGGATGAGGATAAGCACTCTCGGTGAAGACTAATGGGACGGACTGGTCTCCCGGAAAACCGCCCAAAACCTGTCCAACTACAGGAAATCCTCCGCTCTGGCCCGTTTCTTGCCTCTGGGTTCGATACTATCGGAAGGCGGTAACGGCCGCGGAACAAAATATTTGGGATGGAAGGCCCGCTTTTCCTCCTGAAAAACGATATGAGATAGACACAGGAAGCATATAGAGGCACTCACTACTGAGAAATTGGGATCACCTCCCACCCCATGCTCGTCCTCGTTGCCAATCAGGACCATGTCCTTCTTCGCAGGAGGGTTGGTCTGCCTTCTCTCGGGGTGGGGCAGTGTCGGTCCAGTCGGTTGCGGATTGGATGCTGGAACGTCGACGGGCTGAGCGCCGCCTTGTGCTGTGGCAGCGGGAACAAACGAAGGCACAGGACGCGGCGGAGTTGGGGTAAAAGACGGTGGCATCATTCCCGGCGGAGTCATTCCCGGACCAGGTGGCATCAGACCTGGTTGGAAGCCCGGTGGTGGCATCATGCCTGGAGGCAGTATGGCACCGGGTGGGGGCATGCCACCTGGCTGTGGAATCATGCCTGGCGGTAGCATTGCACCTGGAGGAGGCATCACTCCAGGAGGTGCCATGACACCGGGGGGATGCATCGCACCAGGCGGCGGCATTCCTCCAAACGGCGGCGGCATCATGCCAGGAGGTGGGAACCCACCAGGAGGGAATGGCGGCATGCCCGGTGGAGGAGGACTGCAAGGGTACATCGAATTGAGAGACTATTGCAACTGGAGCACACGCCCACTCACCCTGGGAACCCAGGAAACGGAGGCATGCCCGGCGGTCCCATGGGCATCGGCATCGGGGGCTGTGCATACGTCTGGGGGCCAGCACCGTATACCGCTGGAGCGGGAACAGACGAGGAGGATGCCTCCGCGGAGCCTCCCATCAACCTCTTGTGTTGCTCCAGCAGGTTCTGCAACTCGTCTTCCGGAATAGGCTTATTCTCGATCTAAAATCCGTCAGACAGAGCTTACGCCAAAGATGAGATAAGAATGTTCACTTTGGGTTTCTTGGCCTGGGGAGCACTAATGCTGCCCGCCGTCAGACCCAACTCGATCTCCTTGCGACGCTTATAGTCTGCAACATCTGGGGCAGGAATGCCCTCCATCCCGAAGATTTCAATTTCATATCCGTCTCGGTTTGGAAGAGCGTTTTCGATGCGAGGGAGGCTGATGAACATCAATGATGAGTAATGAGCAAAGAACGAACGCACTTTTCTGGTTCCAGCTTATGGACCTGTTGGATATGGACCGCCAAACCCCCAGCAGTGTTCAAGCGTCGGGGACACATACCGCACTTGAAGTGCTTCGCCTTCTGATGCTGCATAAGAACTGTACGAGTGCATGAGCGCCTTGAAAAAAATTACCGACCAAACGAACCTTTCTCATCTTCGAACTCTCTTTCGCAGTACCAGCACCATGGACGAAGAACCTCAACAGAAGTTGGTTGAAGGTCACAAAAGGTTACAAAGCTACTCACATTCTTATTCTTCTTCTTAGCCATCGTATGAGCTGGAGGAGAAGTGAGACGTGACTGTCACGTCTGTGCTGTCACGCTGTCAGGTCCCATGTGCTTCAATCATCTTGTGCAACCCATCTCGGTGAGTCTCGAGTGCTTAGAAAGTGCTTATAATACAAGCGTATACTTGGCCACGCTTAAGTTCAATTTGGTTGATTTTACGAACTATTCTGGCGACTCTGGCCCAAGTGAATCGATTGATATGCCTCCATAAAGGGTTTTTACCGAAAAGAGGTGTGGACACATTCAGGACTTCAGTTTCATTCCTGAGATCAGTGACATCATTTCTGCAAGGATGTCATTTTCTGCCCGAATCGTCTCTGCGCAACCTTCTTCGTAGTAAGTAGCGATGTGTGCACGTTCGCCGAGTTCTTTACAGTCACGCAACCGTAGCTCAATTGTACGCTGGTCCATCGTCGCAGAAGGTGGCAGACCTCGTCGCGTTCGGCAGCAGCGGGGCGCAGTCCTGCGTAGGACCTGATGCAGATCGATCATATGGAATTGCAGGGATAAGGACGTGGTGCAACAACTCCAGTGCCTCGAAGTCGTATTGCACACTGGGACCCCCCGCTCGGGAATCGACCTCGAAGAGAACATAGCCAGCAGTTCTGAGAAAGACAGCACAGTTCTTTTCATCTCTCAAGAAAGGGCGATGAGCGAATTGATTGAGCTATGGCGATATAAGCTTTGGACGGATCATGGGATAGAGTGGGATCAACTCACACACGCGTGAGCAGCAAATATCCACCAGTTCTGACCACGAAACACTCACTCTCTCAGATATGCGGAGGGACGCCGACTCTCTGGCATCCTGTGCACACATCGTATTTCAGACATCCGCATGGACAGCACAACCGAACGGAACTTCCAGCTGCTCCAGCATCTCTGTGGCGAAGATGCGTTCCCGAATATCTCCGTGGTCACCACGATGTGGGATGAGGTTGGATTAGAGCTCGCGGAGTCGCGTGAGAGCGAATTGGCAGAGGATGCGTGCTTCTTCAAACAGGTGTTGGACGGCGGCGCAACCATGCAGCGACACCAATCGATAAACGACTTGGAATCAGCGCGAGCGATCGTGGATGAGCTCGCAGTGAACATCCCTTATGCATTGAAGGTCCAGATTGAGTTGGTGGACGAGCAGAAGAAGTTGGTGGAGACATCTGTGGGTCAGGAGCTCGAGCGAGAGTTGAGCGAACAGCTGGCCAAGCACCGAGTGGAGTCGAGCGGGTTGCGCAAGGAGATGAAGCGTGCGTGACGAAAAGCAGGGAATTTTCTCAATGTTCACCCATCGATAGAGGCGTTCCGGCAACAGGACGACGAGACGAGACTGGAGCTTGAGATGGAAAGTCACAAGCTGCAAGAGGAAATGGGTCGATTAAGGCTGACCCAGACTCTTCACTTTGTACGGAAATTGTAACGCGATCACTTTCGTCCTCTTTTGGTCGTTATGAAGCATTCTAACAAGTTCCTTCCAGAAGTGCGAGGCGCTAGAGCAATGAACGACAGTGATGTCGAGTGGGGGATCTTTCCCGTCAAGAAGAATCTAAAGAGCCGGGCGACAAATGGTGTCAGGTCGCAGAACAGTGCGGCAACTGCCGCCGGATGCCCTTCTAGCCCAAGTCGGGTGTGTATAGCAGTGATAAGACATGAATGTAAGATAAATGTAAGGATGGATTACGCATGAATTAGAGAAAACTACTTCGAGGTTATACCATTCAGTCGAGCGCTTCGGCGCGTCCCAGTCGACGACTGACTCGCTGACTTGGATAAGCGGCCCCGCCTCCGGGCGGAATTGGTTTTCTTGGTCGGTAGATTTGGTGGTACCGGCTCCTCTGGTCCGACCGACGGTTTCCTCTTTTTCGAGCTAGAAGGCCCAGCGTCTGCAGGACCGACGGACCCATCATCCTCGTCTTCAGCGCGTCGCCGCTTCAAAGACGAGTTGTTCGGTCGAGACTGGGATCCGCTCTTCTTGGACCCAGATTTGGACTGGTGCTGAGAAGCATTGTTGACAACCACTTGCTGAAACAGACTGGGTCGTTTCTTCGCGTCCTTCGCACGCAGGGGGGGAAGATTATATACCAGGGCGCCGTCGTTCTTAGGCCAGTTGTAGGTCAATCGATCCAGAGCAACTCGGAAGTCGTTAAGCGTGACTTCGTGTTCCATCAACCGGAGGGGCATCACCGAAACGTGCTTGTGTCCAGCTCCCGAAGTGGTGGGCGGATATTGTTGGAGTACATCCGTGCGTATGAAATTGACAATAGCATGGAAGCCATTTCTCTTGTCCAGACTGGACTTCGCGATGTTTGCTATCGTACCGATCTTCAGGTAATAAGCTCGCGAGTCGGAGAAGCCCGCGGAACCCAAGTGGTGAGCTGGTAGATAGTGCTTAGTGTATCGAGCACCCATCCAGTACAGAAGCCAGAAAAGACTTTCGAGATCGTGATGCGACTCGTGCTTGAAATTTTTACGCCGTCCGAGGCTGTGTTGCATCACTTCGATGGCAAGAAACGGCCAGGTGCCCTGGAGGAACGAGTCAGACCACAGTGGATAAGGAACAAGCGTCGACCGAACCGTGAAGTGCTTCAAACTCTTGTCCACAGAATCATACTGCTCACTGTGCAGTCGCGATCCAAAGTTCTTCTTGAAAGCCTCGAGCCCCTTTTCCGTGAACTCTGCGTAGTCCCAGTCGACAAGGAATCCTCGAGGCGTCTTGAGACCAATCATTTCCGCAAACATGATGTTCCCCTCGCTGACGTCCCGATGCAGCACCCCGGCCTCGAACGCAATGAACAAATCTGCGCGAGAGATCAGTATTGTATTCGTTGCGAAACGAAGAGACTCACGGCATGCCGCATGGTAAACAGCCGTGACCAGAGCCCACGTGCTCGTGAATCGGTCCAGCCGGGTCCCCACCGGCGTCAGGAGCGTCCGGGTATGATAACGGTGGAGCCCGTCTCCAGCATCCGACGTGGTCTTGTGTCGAGCAGTGTCCCAGTCAGGTCCCGTTCCATCCTTGAACCGAAAGTCTTTGACCGTATCGGAGAGATCGAGGCTCCCAATGCACCGCGCCATAGCAGACTCGTCGAGCTTGTGTTGCTCGATGAAAGCCTGGCCCTTCTCCGACTTGCGGAAAAGCTCGATCAGATCGTAATAATCGACCTCGGGACGACGGCAGCCCTGCCTCCAGGAGTCCTTCAGCGCGTAGAGCTGCGGACACGGCAGCGGATCGTCGCCACCCAAGCTCTGCTCGTATGCTTCGAGATCCTTGTCGATCATGACGCGGAACACCTTCGTGGCTCGCCCGAACAGCCCATGCGAGTGCCAAAGCGGCTCGCCGATCGTGTGGCATTTGACCGGGACCAGCACCCGTTCGCCATCCACCTCTTCGAAGACGGCGGCAGTCAAACACAAGCTGCGCCCGACCGCCGTTTCTTCGTCCGCCAATGCAGCGACGTGGTCGCCCTCGGTCTCCAGCGCCGCCCAGATCCGCTTCTTCGTCGCCTTGTCGGTGAACGTGATCGTATCGTCCTCGCCCAGCGTCGCTTGGGGATGACCCGTGCTGGGGTGGCAGATCCGGTACAGGAACTCGGGCAGATATCTCGGGTTCTGCAGCCAATTGAAAGGCTTGCTTGCAAAGTACCCCTCGGTGTCGAAGCGGAACAGTGTCGCCGTGTCGAATGAGATCGCGACGACGAAGACGAAGCACCGGTCGGAGGACATCATGAGATGCCGTGCATCCTTGGCGAGCTGGACGAGCGCATGCATGGCACTATCACTTGTCCCCAGCGTCCCGTCGTCCTCGTGAATCCGATCGTGGAATTTGAGCTGCACAGTGGCCAGCGTGTTCGACCATTTCCACTCTTGCTCATTGATTTTGAGACCGGGCTTGCCCAGGCTGATATCGGGTCGAGTGACGTGACTTTTGTCGACTGAGGTGAAAGTCTTTCTCGCAGTGACGGCAACCTCGGGTTTGTTCGACTCGGAGAATGAAGACACAACACCGGCCAGATAATCGCGCTAAGAGAGACGGGAGGATGCATCAGCATCTTCGGAACAACACGCGAAGGAGATGCAAGCACGCACGATCGGACCCTCCATGTCCGCCTCATAACGTTTCTTCTTCTGCCCCTGTCTGGCGCTGACAAACTTGGGAGACGCGTAAAGCTCCTTTGCTTTCTCCAGTCCCGCCGCGCCGGCCTTGACTGCTTTCGTCGTCGCCCGCTTGACCGCAGACTCTTTCGTCGGCCCGCCGGGGCCCATACGCTTGGCCAGAAACTCCTCAACGGGCTCGATGCCATGGTTGTGAGCGCTGTCCTCGACCATCTCCATCCAATCATGGAGGGCGATGGGGGAGTCCTGCTTGTTGAGCTCGGCCGAGTTGTACATCGTGTGGTTCGAGAGAAGAGTCTTGCGGGGCGTGTGCGAGTTCTTCTCGTTGAAGTTCGCTGCGCGAGTCGCGGCAGGATCGTCGTCGTCCGAGTCGATTTCTATGTCAGACTCCGCAGCTGTTCCGTGACGCTCGTCGTGGTCGGCGGCTTCGAATGAGGCCGGGGAGGCACGTAAATTATCGGCGGCAACTGGTAGAGACATGTTGGTGACAGGAGAGATAGGGAAGATTGAACTCACCGCGCTTTTTATAAGTCCTCCAAAGCGCGCCCGAAACGGAGGACAATGGTTTGAAATGCGAGGCGTGTCGGTCACGATTGTGACAGATCGTGTGTGTGTGATATGATATCCCCATCAGGACATATCCCATTTGTCGGGTCCATCCACTTGTGTGCGTGGCTTCTTATAACTAGGAGATAGAGGGAGGCTCTACGTCTCTGTCTTACACTCGATGATGGAATTTCGGTCGATTCTGTGCCCTGGGATCGATTCCAGTTTTCGGTCGTGTCAACTTGAAAGGCTGGGAATGATTCTTTCGACAGATGCACACTATCATGAAAATCTAGCACGGTTCTACGATTTTCTCAAGAAGATTCCTACCGAACTTCGCCTTGCCAACATAATATCAAGGACACAATGGCCTTATGGAACCATACTAAAGATAAGGTGCCGGGCCGTGCTTGCAGGCTCTTGTTGTTGTTCTATGGACACACGACACAAACGATAACGGTCCAACGTGTCCGCCTGGGAGGTTTTGTTCTGATTCGCACGGATAGCCTTGCGCTTCTTGAGAACCAGGATTCATTTCCAGAGGATGGCAGATTCACTTATCACACTGTATGTTTGTTGCAGCTTCCATTCTGCTGTCTCTTGTCCTGTCATACAAGTCCATCCACTTGCATCATTCCATGAAATATATACCAGTTTTGCACTAAACTTCCGGAGCGCCGCTATATTGTGCCGATCCCGTGACTGTATGTCCCGACAGCGCTGGAGATCGCACCCGCCCTTGGTGGTAAGTTGTCGAACCAATGGACGACGGGAACGTGCTCGGATCATCGGGATTCTGCTCGAAGAGATCAGTGTGTTGCTCGAATATGAGCCTCGCAATTACTCACATAGAGTTTCGCTGCGGGCAACCCTCCAGTGAAAGGTGTGATATGATCGCCAGCATCACTCATGCTCACGGGCGCACTGGTGACAAGCCTGGACGGGGGATCGCTGTGTTTCCGTCGGCGGATGAGAAGAAATGCGACTACGAATATCAAAGCAGCGCCGACGACCCCACCGACGACCCCACCGGCGATTGCACCCGCGTTGGCTTTCTTGCCACCAGAAACAGGTTCAATGGGATGGCTGGAGGGAAGTCCAGAAGGGATGCTGGTAGACGTTGCTTGCCCGCCAGCGGTCGATTCGGGTGCATCTGTCATGGAATGAGCGAATTGAAGCAACGACGACCGTGCTACTTTGCTTACTGAGTTGCGTTTGAGCCGCAGTGGCATTGAACCCATCGAAGATCTAGTCAGTATGAACACGAGCTCAATCTGGGCAAAAGAAGCTGCCGCACGGTGACATTTTGATATGCCTGCAGGAACATGATGAGCGGCAGGCCGTGCATAATTCACGTCAACGTACCCAATGGGGGACGGCCGTGTTTGATGGGATGGCCTCGGGGAACCTGCGGCAGAGGGAGTTGAAGCAGGGAGGAGTAGGATCGTATAACGCACCGTGAAATGTAGGTTGTGGTGCAGTTCTGGGAAAAGATGGACCATCTGCATACAAGCTGCGTCAATCGAGTCCGGGAAGTCGCCCTTTGACCTACGTCAATACATTGCGGCCTTGGCATCCAGCACACGCACTCAGAACCGAGTACATGACCGAGCTGCAAATGCATTGGTTCGCCTGGGCAACAGTTGGGCCAAGGTACTCTTGACTTGGTCCTAAGGCCGGGACGGTGAACACTGGAAAGAAGCAGGATGCATGAGGATGACCCAGTCTTCTGGAATGACACGCTGCGAGCACGGACATCCATTATCGCATACTCCCCCGAGGTACGCTGCAACCACACACGGACTCTGCAGACGAGAATTGAAAGCCTGGACGAGTCGATCGGAGGAGAGGTGCAGTCAGCGCTTGCCCCCCGGGAGTCCGATCCAGACCAACGAACCCACTGAAGGGAGGCAGCACTACATGTAGCATTCGTCGCGACCCCTTGCCCGGAAGCTGCGGCACCGAAAAGCAGGGGAGTCAGGAAGGCGAGAACGGGGAACATGGAGCTGTCGGTCTTGGTGGGTGTGAAAGAGCACAAGGAGAAGCCGAAGTCCAAAACATGACTATCTCCGGCCCAACTCCGCTCCCAGCGCTAAGTGCATTGATGATGTTCTAGGAAAGACGGATGCCACCCACGCTCATGATGGTCTGGGGAAGATGGAAAGTGGCTGTGGCGATAACGATTATCTCCCACTGATTTGTCACCGCCACTTGAGAATCGTCGATCCTCCATCAGTGTAAGTAACCGTTCTCCAGCGATATGCTGAATGAAATGGACTTCGGCGCATTTATGGCATCCTTGGCTGCTGGGGTGGCCTCCATTCGAGATGGATGGGGCGAGAAACGCACTTTCACGAAGAATACAGAACTCTCCTGTTCACGGTGTCACAGGCAGGAAAATTCAACTCTGGGTTTGCAGTCCTGCAGCCATTTTCGACGAGCCATTTTTTCAAAGGAATTTGCTTCGTTCTAGCTCGTAATGTCAAGAAGCTACGGACACAAGTGGATGGACCCGGCTAATGGGATATGTCCTGATATCATATCTCACACACACACACACGATCTGTCACAGTCGTGACTGACACGCCTCTCATTTCAAACCATTGTCCTCCCGGCTCCGTAAGTTCGGGCGCGCTTTGGAGGACTTATAAAAAGCGCGGTGAGTTCAATCTTCCCTATCTTTCCTGTCACCAACATGTCTCTACCAGTTGCCGCCGATAATTTACGTGCCTCCCCAGCCTCATTCGAAGCCGCCGACCACGACGAGCGTCACGGAACAGCTGCGGAATCTGACGTAGAAATCGACTCGGACGACGACGATCCCACCGCCAATCGTGCAGCGCGATTCAGAGATGGTCAAGGACAGCGCTCACAACCATGGCACCGAGCCCGTTGAGGAGTTTCTGGCCAAGCGTATGGGCCCCGGCGGGCCCACGAAAGAGTCTGCGGTGAAGCGGGCGACGACGAAAGCAGTCCAAGCCGGTGCGGCTGGACTGGAGAAAGCGAAGGAGCTTTACGCGTCTCCCAAGTTTGTCAGCGCCAGACAGGGGCAGAAAAAGGAACGTTCTGAGGCGTACATGGAGGAACGTCTTGAGGCGGACATGGAGGGTCCGATCGTGCGTGTTTGCATCTCTTTCGTGTGTTGTTTCGAAAATGCTGATGCATCCTCCCGTCTCTCCTAGCGCGATTATCTGGCCGGCGTTGTGTCTTCGTTCTCCGAGTCGAACAAACCCGAGGTTGCCGTCACTGCCAGAAAGACTTTCACTTCCGCCGACAAGAGTCACGTCACTCGACCCGACATCAGCCTGGGCAAGCCCGGTCTCAAAATCAATGAGCAAGAGTGGAAATGGTCGAACACGCGGGTTACTGTGCAGCTCAAATTTCACGATCGAATCCATGATGACGACGGGACGCTGGGGACGAGTGATAGTGCCCTGCATGCGCTCGTCCAGCTCGCCAAGGATGCACGCCATCTCATGATGTCCTCCGACCGGTGCTTCGTCTTCGTCGTCGCGATCTCATTCGACACGGCGACACTGTTCCGCTTCGACACCGAGGGGTTCTTTGCAAGCAAGCCTTTCAATTGGCTGCAGAACCCGAGATATCTGCCCGAGTTCCTGTACCGGATCTACCACCCCAGCGCGGGCCATCCCCAAGCGACGCTGGGCGAGGACGATACGATCACGTTCACCGACAAGGCGACGAAGAAGCGGATCTGGGCGGCGCTGGAGACCGAGGGCGACCACGTCGCTGCATTCAAGGACGAAAAAACGGCGGTCGGGCGCAGCTTGTGTTTGACTGCCGCCGTCTTCGAAGAAGTGGATGGCGAACGGGTACTGGTTCCGGTCAAATGCCACACGATCGGCGAGCCGCTTTGGCACTCGCATGGGCTGTTCGGGCGAGCCACGAAGGTGTTCCGCGTCATGATCGACAAGGATCTCGAAGCATACGAGCAGAGCTTGGGTGGCGACGATCCGCTGCCGTGTCCGCAGCTCTACGCGCTGAAGGACTCCTGGAGGCAGGGCTGCCGTCGTCCCGAGGTCGATTATTACGATCTGATCGAGCTTTTCCGCAAGTCGGAGAAGGGCCAGGCTTTCATCGAGCAACACAAGCTCGACGAGTCTGATATGGCGCGGTGCATTGGGAGCCTCGATCTCTCCGATACGGTCAAAGACTTTCGGTTCAAGGATGGAACGGGACCTGACTGGGACACTGCTCGACACAAGACCACGTCGGAGGCTGGAGACGGGCTCCACCGTTATCATACCCGGACGCTCCTGACGCCGGTGGGGACCCGGCTGGATCGATTCGCGAGCACGTGGGCTCTGGTCACGGCTGTTTACCATGCGGCATGCCGTGAGTCTCTTCGTTTCGCAACGAATACAATACTGATTTCTCGCGCAGATTTGTTCATTGCGTTCGAGGCCGGGGTGCTGCATCGGGACGTCAGCGAGGGGAACATCATGTTTGCGGAAATGATTGGTCTCAAGACGCCTCGAGGATTCCTTGTCGACTGGGACTACGCAGAGTTCACGGAAAGGGGGTTCGAGGCTTTCAAGAAGAACTTTGGATCGCGACTGCACAGTGATCAGTATGATTCTGTGGACAAGAGTTTGAAGCACATCACGGTTCGGTCGACGCTTGTTCCTCATCCACTGTGGTCTGACTCGTTCCTCCAGGGCACCTGGCCGTTTCTTGCCATCGAAGTGATGACACACAGTTCCGAACAGCATGAAAATTTCAAGCACGAGTCGCATCACGATCTCGAAAGTCTTTTCTGGCTTCTGTACTGGATGGGTGCTCGATACACTAAGCACTATCTACCAGCTCACCACTTGGGTTCCGCGGGCTTCTCCGACTCGCGAGCTTATTACCTGAAGATCGGTACGATAGCAAACATCGCGAAGTTCAGTCTGGACAAGAGAAATGGCTTCCATGCTATTGTCAATTTCACACGCACGGATGTCATCCACCAAAATCCGCCCCAATTTCCGGAATCTTCACACGAGCACGTTTCGGTGATCCCCCCCCGGTTGATGAAACACGAGTCCGTGCTCACGCGCTTCCGACTCGCTCTCAATCGACTGACCTACAACTGGCCTGAGAACGACGGCGCCCTGGTATACAATCCTTCCGCCCTGCATACGAATGAACCGAAGCAGAAACAGCCCAGTCTGTTTCAGGAAGTGGTCGTCGACAATGCTTCTCAGCACCAGTCTAAATCTGGGTCCAAGAAGAGCGGATCCTGGTCTCGACGGACGAAGTCGTCTTTGAAGCGGCGACGAGCTGAAGACGAGGATGATGGGTCCATCGGTCCTACAGACGCTGGGCCTTCTAGCTCGAAAAAGAGGAAATCGTCGGTGGAACCAGAGGAGCCGGTACCGTTTTGAAATCTACCGGCCAAGAAAACCAACTCCGCCTGGACGCGGGGCCGCTCATCAAAGCCAGCGAGTCAGTCGTCTACTAGAACGCGTCGGAGCGCTCGACTGAATGGTACAACCTCGAAGTAGTTTTTTTGAAATTCACGCTGTAATCCATATTTACATTTATCTTACATTCCAAGCACTGCTATGCACACTCTCCTTACACTTGATAGTACCTGCTTTCACACTGTGCTTGAACGCTGGTTGATGGTGGTGAGGCCAGTAAGGGCGGTCGGCCGATGCCGCGCTCTACTGAAACCCAACACGCTCAGTCACCATTTGCCGCTCGGCTCTTCCGACCATTCTTCAGTCGAGAAGATCCTTCACCCCGACATCACTGCCATCCGTCGCTCTGGCGCCTCGCACACAGCTTTGGAACACTTTGGCATGCTCTATGACGACGAAAAGGGAGGAAAGGATCGAATTACAGCATTACCCTACAAACCGAAAAGTCTAGCACTGATCATACCCAAAATTCCACGACTCTCGGCGGTCTCTTCCACAGACTTGTTCTCCTGCACTGCATCCTTCATGGCCTTGTCCTCTCCTGCCGGTGCGCTCAAGCCAGCATCCTGGACGTTTGGAGCGTCAGCGACTCTCGTTTCGATAGGATGCTCTTCCGTTGATTCCTCCACAGGCTGCTCTGGCTCCTTCTCCGTGGTTGCTGGAGCTCTCTGGTTCATACCGTCGTTTTCTGTCTCGCTCGTCGCAAATTCAGACTCCGTGCTCCTCAATCTCTCGATGTCAGCCTGCAATCGACCCATTTCCTCCTGCAGCTTGTGACTTTCCATCTCAAGCTCCAGTCTCGTCTCATCGTCCTGTTGCCGGAACGCCTCTGTCGATGGATGAATGAGGAGAAAACCTCCTGCTTTTCGTCACGCACGCTTCATCTCCTTGCGCAATCCGCTCAACTCCACTCGGTGCTTGGCCAGCTGTTCGCTCAACTCTCGCTCGAGCTCCTGACCCACGAATGTCTCCACCAACTTCTTCTGCTCGTCCACCAACTCAATCTGGACCTTCAACGCATAAGGGATGTTCACTGCGAGCTCGTCCACGATCGCTCGCGCTGATTCCAGGTCGTTTATCGATTGGTGTCGCTGCATGGTTGCGCCGCCATCCAACACCTGTTTGAAGAAGCATGCATCCTCTGCCAATTCGCTCTCACGCGACTCCGCTAGCTCCAACCCGACCTCATCCCACATCGTGGTGACCACGGAGATGTTCGGGAACGCATCTTCGCCACAGAGATGCTGGAGCAGCTGGAAGTTCCGTTCGGTTGTGCTGTCCATGCGGATGTCTGAAATACGATGTGTGTACAGGATGCCTGAGAGTCGGCGTCCCTCCGCATATCTGAGAGAGTGAGTGTTTCGTGGTCGGAATCTGGTGGATGTCCTGCTCACGCTTGTGCGAGGAACGATGAAATCATGAGCAGAACTTCCACATCGTTGCAATCTGGGTCGTAGAATCCCGGAGTGTCGATGAGCGATATAAGCCCGCCGTTAGCAGGGAACGGAGGTGTAACTTGGATGCCTGCTGTGCAGGATTGCAGTCCCGATCCGACCTCAAAATCGGAGCCGCTCAGGAGATTGATAAACTGCAGCTCCGTCGTCACTCGTGGAGGATATCCTGAAACCCTGGGTTCTCACCGTTGTTTTCCCGGACGTTGGTGGACCTAATACCCTATGAAGCTCGGATGAGATTGGCTGGAATGATAGGGTGAGGCAGCTAACAGTATCGAGAGGACCTCTACATTTCCCTGTGGAAAACTGATTCAGACATGCGAGGGAAGTTATTCAATATGCGTATGACCAGCCTCCGAGTTATCTGGATTGCTCCTCTCACTGAGAGAGGCAGCATCCGACTCTGAGATCGTTGTTGATTCGCTTGTAACACTTCTCGTCTCGTTGTCTGAGTCTTCTGAGTTGGCAAGGTGAGCGCGCGACATTACAGAGTCCGTTCTTCGACCGATCTTACTCCCGTTACTTAGTATACTCTCATGCCTCGTGCTGAGCACCTGGTGCGATTTAAAAAAAGCTTGGTGTCAAATCTGCGGCATGTCAATCTTCCAGTGTTCGGCTGTCATGATATATCTACGCACATTTCTTGTTTCCGAACAATCGATTCATTTCACATTGCACGGTACATTGGCACCAGCCGATAACAAGGTTCGTTGAGATGGGTATCAGATCACGCGTTATTGACGCGTTATTTGGTCCCATATTATCCTCCCTCTCCACGAGTTATCCAGCAGACCAAAACCATTCATTATCTTCATTCACGATGCCAAGCCCTCAAAATTCATCCTGTCAGCGGACCTGACTCGACACCATCTGGAAGCCTCACGACTTCGCTTGTCAGGTTGCCGTTCGGCCGTGCACTCTCATGCAGATTATGGCTCATCCTACCTGCGAGACCAAACTCTATTTCTGTCGCAGCAAGTTCCCCGCTGTTGTCTCTCAAATTCCCTATCTCCTCCTAGCTCAGTGTCTTGCCAATGAGTGCCCCTTCGGTCACGTTCAACTGGAGGGACTTTGCTGCCCGTCTGCCAGAGTTGTGTTTACCAGAGTATGCACTTTCGGTATCATTGTTTCATGGTCGATGCTGATTTTGACACGAAGAGATGCAATGTCGAAGGAACACATAGTTCGCACTTCTCCCTTGCTGCCCACGCGTTATCTGACCGTCCGTACTACGTCTAGACCCGGGAGTCAGCACAAGACCAAGTAACTATCGCGTGCGTTCGATCCGAGTAGCATACAGCCGTTTCGTACTGATCGGTTGGCTCAGAGTCATGGGCCCAACCTCCTCTGGCAAAACATCTGTGTGTCAGCTTGAATCCGGTGCTTGCCTGCACCAGGACCAATCTCTCGTTCTAGTTTATCAACCTCCTCAGCGATTCCAACTTTGCTGTCAACTCGAGTCCCTTGTCGTGCACCAAAAAAATTCAAGTCTCGCGCCCGTTCCCACTAGCAGGCAAGACAGTGACGCTCATCGACGTGCCGGGATTCTTGGATCCGGCTCTGAGCGATGCAGAAATCCTGAGGATGATAGCCACGTTTTTCTCTCATACGCAAGTCCAATCCCATGCACATAGCGGTTTCCATGCGTGATGCTCACTGCTGCTCAGTTACCTGCACGGAGGCAGACTCAACGGCATCGTCTACACGCATCGTATCTCAGATGTGCGCATCGACGGCATCGCTACACGCCATTTCCAGCTGTTTCAAGAATTGTGCGGCGCCAGTGCGTTTCCGAACGTCATGATTGCGACCACAATGTGGCACGAAGCAGGTCGCGCGGGGGACTGCGTTGCTCGCGAAACGCAGCTGCTCGAGGACCGACGACTTGGGTTCCGCTCTGTTCTCGAGCGCGGAGGACATATTCGCCGGCACGACGCCGGCATCGTTTCGGCTGTGGCCATCTTGAAGAGTCTGATGAACCTACCGCCTTTCGAGATGGAACTTCAGCACGAGTTGGTCGATCAGCATGTCGAGATCTCGGAGACGGGAATAGGGCTTGAATTGACCAAGGTTCTGACCGAACAACTGGTAAAGCGCAGGAAGGATCTTGCCGCGTTGCGGCAGGAGATGAAAGGTCTGGTGCCCGTCTATTGGCTGAGCATGTAGGATTGACAATGTTCTAGAAGCTTTCCGGGAGAACGATCACGAATCGAGGCGGGACCTTGAGATGGAAAGCCACTCCCTCCAAGCAGAGATGACACAGCTGCAAGCTGACGTGGACTTGCTCGGATCGAACTTCGTGCTTTCCAGACCTTTATCGACCCCAAAATCTGAGCCCAGTGTTGGTGCATCGGTCGAGCAGCCCAAACTTCGAGGCAAGCAGGGTGAATTCTAGATCGCGCTGTGATATCACTCATTCCCAATCAGACGGCTCGACACCTATACCCGAGGCAATCACCGCAGCGGTCCCTCATCCGCATCCTGCACAGACCAATATACCACAAAAGAAGGAAAGAAAGAAGTCGGATGAGAAAGTGCGCAAGTATGGACATGATCACAAGAGAGGATTGAAGAAGCATTAATACGAGATGCTACTGCGTGTAGTATTATTTAGGGGATGATGACTTATCGGGAGACCATCGCTTCAGCCTTGGCGAGGTTATCGCTGGTCTTGCGGAGATCAGACTCGACGAATTGCGATAGCTCGCGGGCATCATTCTGAGCTCGGGTGTATTCCACCATGAGCTTGCTGCGTTCGCTCTCGAGTTCTTGACGGGTTTCTTCGTCTTTTTGTTGGATAGCATCTGCAAATAGTCAGACAACAGTAAACAGACACATTGTGAAGCAAAATACCTTTGATCTCTTTCTGGAGCGCAGTCATCTGAACCCGGTGTCGATACAGTTGCTCGGCCAACTCGCGATTGAGCTCTCTCCCGGCAGCCGTTTTGGCGACGGCCTTTCGCTCCAGCACCATTTCTCGCTGTATCTGAAGCAACACTGGCCGGTTGGACAGGAGCGAGCTGACAATTCGGAGAGACGACTCGAGCGAATCGTCGTGCCGGAATTGGCGTGCGCCAGCTTTAATGACCGGCCCGAAAAACTTGGCGTCGGCGAAAAGCTCCTTCTCACGACTCTGGCCGACCTCAGGCCTGACTTTGCTCCACATGTTGGTCATGACCGCCACATTCCGCAGCGCATCGGGCCCACAGAGCTGGATGAACATGCGCAAGTTGCGCAGAGCAGCGCCGGTCATGCGGATATCCGAGATGCGATGGACATAGATGATCCCCGTGACCGACATCCCGTCCCTGTACAACCTGCAGAAAAAGTCGGCGATCATCTTGAGCACAGACGCATCGCTGCGCGTAGTGTCATCGAATCCGGGGGTGTCGACGAGAGTGACCATCTGATTGTTGATCTGGATCGTGGGTGCCTCTTGGACTTTGCTTGTACAAGACTTGAGAGTGTTGCCGACCCCTAGCGATGCTTTCGAAATTAGATTGATGAATGTGGATTTGCCTGAGCCTGTGGCACCAAGCACACTGGTTGTCATCAACTGAGCGAACCGGTCCGACTTGCAGAAAACTCACGCAATAAAAGCCGACTTTTCCACTTTGGCCCGGTAGTGAGGATCTGAGATCATTTGCAGAAACTTGCCAGTGCGACCAGCGGATGGCAGTTGAGACTCCGTTCGCTTTGCGACCTGCGGGTACCGACTGTCCGCGACATAGTAACTATGCGCATACACAGTCTCGTTGACGACGACAGAATGTGCGTTTGCAGCGGTGGATGCATGAGTCCACTTGACACCGTTATCGTTCTGGAGCACTGGGAAATCGGCGGCAAAGGCGGACGACGTGATCGCCTTGGACGCCAAGCCCGAGGGTGTGACGGGCCTCTCAGGTAATCAGCCGAAGCTCCGTAGAGATTCCAGAGAGGACACTCACGACGAGGCATTCTCCTTTTCCTTGGGTTCTTCCACACTCTTTCCCGGGCGGTTTGAGCTCATCATCGATTGTCTCAATGCAGCACTTCGTTCCAATGACGAGGGGGATCCAACATTGTCTGGAGCCTGGACGCCGGGTTTGCTTTGACTGACTCGTGATGGCAAGGTCGGTGGATTGCTTTTGATTTCCCCGTTCGCTACAGCAACAGCCTTCTGAATCTGTTGATCCAGATGCAACGCGGCTGGCGGCGGCATTGTGGTAGACCGAGTCGGACGTCTGAGGGGGACAGCTGGCGTAGTCGCATTCGGAGTTGTCTTGGTCGTTCTTCGATGATGTATGAGCATGTGCAAGCCAAGGAGAAGAATCAGTCGCACCGCGGGGTATTCTCTTCAATTCGACTGCGGTCGACGGCTCGTGGATTTTCTTCCGCTTGTGTGCGCTCTTCGGCTCGAGGCGTTACCGGGGTAGGGGGGAGTTCTTGATTGAGCCGAGCTTCTAGTCCTCCTTGCGCGTGGACTAGGTCGATCATGGCCACTGCCATCCTCAACTCTTCTTCCTGAGCTCGTTCAATCTCGAATTGGAGTTTGTCCTTCTCTATTTCGAGCTCTTGTCGAGTCTCTTCATCCTTTTTCGCAAGCGCATCTATATACTCAATCATCAGCAGAGGACACTCTCCGACATTAGCAGAGGTGTAAACCCGCCTTGGATTTCTCGTTCGACCGCAGCTAAGTTTTTCCGGTGCTTGTTGATCTGCTCAGCAAGGGCGCGGCCCAGTTCTTCTCCAGCATCTGTCTCGGGTATGCCTTTCTTATCATCCACCATCTCCCTCTGAATCCGTAACGGCCGGGGTTCTCTCCTGCGGAGCAGATCTCGCACAATGTTCCTCGCTGACTCGGCAGTGTTCGAGTGTCGCAGGATCACCGCATCGCGCTCCACTGCAGGCTGAAAGAAGCGCCTCCCGTTCCGTAGCTCCCGTTCTCTAGCTTCGCCCACCTCTTTCGAGACCTCGCTCCACATATTGGTGACAATCGCGACGTTGCAAAGCGTCTCTTTCCCGCAGAGCTTGCGGAACATGCGGAAAGTGCGCTGCGCAACACCGTTCATGCGGACGTCGGAAATTCGGTGCAGGTAGATGACGCCGGCCAACTTTCTGCCTGCGTTGTATCTGGAAAAAGAGGGTCAACAAGGGAGCAGTGCGTATACGAAGCTCGCGCCTGACCTGTCTGCGAGGTATTTGGCGATCAGGGTAAGGACGTCGGCATCGCTGCGGGCCGAGTCGTCGAAACCAGGAGTATCAATGAGGATGACCCGCCGTCCATCAATCTCGATCAGAGCCTCTTGGACCTCGACAGTACACGAGCGAAGGCCTTTGCCTACGCTCATCTTGCGGTCGCTGTTTAGAAGCAGATTGACAAACTGCGAGATGAGGATGAGAACGCTGTGAGAAGAAGCCGCTCTTGCTCACTGTGGTCTTTCCGCTTCCTGTAAGTCCGAGGATTCTGCCAGAGATCGTCAGTAACTCCATAACCTGAGTTGACTCGTAGTGACGAACGCGATTTCGGCAGTAGGTTCAGATGTAGTAGGCTATACATCCGGACAAATCAGAAACACGGTCCGAACAAACGAAATTCAATTTTTGCCACCTCCTGGTCGAACCCATCCACAATGTATCCAGCATCGTGCAAAGACTTGGAAGGACTGCTCAGCTGCTGGCCTGTGGCACCGCTCTGGTCACTCATAATCGAAGAAGTCTTCTTCTTCTTGATGAAGGGAAGCGAAAAAAGTGGAGCCATAGACACGTCGGAGGGAGGGTCGGCGGGGAAATTGTCTTGAGGCGGGGGGGATGGCAGAGGACGTGAGTGTGGGATTTGGGTCATGGATACCGATGCGAGGAGGTGACATTTCACGGCACAAGCCGAATGTTACATATAGAGAGTTGCCTCATGGAGGCTGCACGAGAACACAGAGTGCCAAACCCCAGATTCTGTAGCATGGTCAAGATTCCTGAAGACAAGTGGTGGCGTTTCCCGGCTACTAAAAGACACCCTGATCTAATGATCGGATCTCGGTCGCACTACTAACTGCCTCACAGTGACGGCATGCACTTTCGTTCATCTGGGATTCTGCAGACGCAACACCTGCTGCTAAGCATTCTAGCTGTCATGAGACGCCAATTAATCTTCGACAAGAAGCAACCACTTGTGTTGGAGCTCCGCGATGACTCGATTGCATTTTTAGTTCGAGCTTGAACTGATTGTTGGTTTCCTCGTTGAGCGCACGAGGTGGCGAGATCTTGACTCACGGAGGATATATGTTTGGAAGGGTGAATCGATACTGCATCAAAGCTGCACTCTGTACTCGATGAGGACCACTTCACTTGAATACGACCCACCACGCTATGAGGAGCACGGGCCGACCAGTTACGCGGAAGGTGTGTGCATAAAGAGCCGTAATATCGATGCTGAAACTGTGTTCCTAGCTGTTAGCGGGTACTTCTCACCCAAAATTCCCGATGACGACGATATCGCCATCGCGTGGGTCCCACTTCTCTCGCATTCGAGTCTACGTTCTCATTCCATGTTTCCCAGTGTCATGGGCCAGACGGGCTCTGGAAAGACAACTGTTTGTGCTGAAGCAACCCTGGTTCTTCCCGACTCAATGCGATGCCCTGTAGTTCATCAATCTCGTGAGCGGCTCAAATCTCAGCGTCGGAAACGGCCTGCGCTCGGACGGCGATGCAGTGCAATCTTCGGATCCCTTTCTCCTCGAGGGTCACATGGTCACGCTCATCGACACGCCTGGGTTTGACAACTCGACACTAAGCGAGGCGGATGTTCTGAATAAAATCGCAGCATATCTATCCACTGAGTGCGTGACTGTCTCTCCCATGGCCTGATTTAAACTAACTAATGACAGATACGAGGATGGGAAAACACTCGCTGGCGTTATCTACATCCACCGGATCTCGGACGTGAGGATGAGTGGGATTTCGACGCGGAACTTTCGGACATTCCGACAGCTCTGCGGCGACAGCACGCTCAAGAACCTGGTGGTAATGACTAATATGTGGAGCAAAGTCAGAGGTGACATTGGCGCCGCTCGTGAGAAGGAGCTCTCGAGCGATAGTCGATTCTTCAAGCCAGTAATGGATAAAGGTGCTCAGATGGTTCGACACGATAATACGATCTCTTCGGCTAGAAAGATCTTGCTGCAGCTCATCGGAAATCGGCCAGTTCCACTTCAAATCCAAGCCGAGTTGGTCGACGAGAAGAAGGACATTCCGCAGACTGCGGCGGGGGAAGAGTTGAAGCGCCAGCTTCATGAAAAGATTCGCGGGACCCAGAACGATTTGTCGAAACTTGCTCTGGAAATGAACGGTATGCTATGCGGTCTACATTGTGATCATCTTCTTCTCATGCTGGGTTTTAGAATTCCAAGACGACCCGGAAGCCATTGAGAGCGTGCAGCGGGATCAAGCTCAAGCAAAGCGTGAAATTCAACGGACCCGCAGCGAAATGCAGAATATGTCGGCAAACTACAGACTCAGCAAGGCAGATTTGAGGCGCCGCAAATCGGCCAGAGTTCCCGCTCCAATCAACGAATCTTCCGATTCTGAACAGGAGATAGCGGTCGCGTCAGTTGTTCTCTGACGTTCCCAACTGAGAACTTACCATCGTTCAGTGTCATGGGAGCCACCGGCGCTGGCAAGAGCACATTCATCAACCTCGTCAGTGGCTCTCATCTGCAAGTGGGAGATTCGCTGGAATCGTGCACTGGGGCTGTGATGTCGGCACCGTTGTTCCAGCTTGACGGGCACTGGGTCTCTCTTATCGACACACCGGGCTTTGATGACACTAATTTGAGTGACACCGAGGTATTGACGAAGATCGCCAGTTTCTTGTCTGCAACGTCAGTCGATCTTGTTTTCGTACTGCAGTGTCTGAGGCATTCACAGATACGCTGCCGGAGTGAAGCTCGCCGGAGTGATCTATATGCACCGGATTTCTGACGTCAGAATGGGCGGCATCTCGACACGCAACTTCCGCATGTTCCGCCAGCTGTGCGGCGACCAGACGCTGAAGAACGTCGTGATCGTGACCAACATGTGGGATGCTGCGGGTCTCAAGCTCGGGGAAGCACGAGAAAAGGAGCTAGCCACCGACGATCGTTTCTTCAAACCCGTCATCGCCAAGGGTGCTAGGATGCTTCGCCACGACAAAGGCCTGATCTCGGCCCAGAGCATCTTACGTGAGATCATCGGCAACGTGCCGGCTACCTTGCAGATCCAGCGTGAGCTCGTCGACGAGAAGAAGGCGATCACGGACACCGCGGCTGGTGTAACACTCAACAAAGAGATTGCCGACATGGTCAGGAAACACAAAGACGAAATCCGTACACTGCAGCGCGAAATGAGAGGTGCTCTTCGGTCTCCATTGTTAGCCAACATGTACTAACCTCAGTCGCAGATGCCATCCGCCAACGAGATGAGGAAGCTCGGAGAGAGCTGGAGGCTGAAACTGGCAAGCTTCGTTCGGAGATTGGCCGCTTGGAGGAAGACTCGCAGCGACTAGCAGCTGACTACAACGCAAGGAAGGCCGAGATGGATCGCCGACTGTGTCAGGTGGAGGACAGAGCGAACAGCCGAGTTGCCATGGCTGAGAGTAAGCTCGAGTATGGGATGGACATCTTCCAGCGCAGGAATGGAGATTTGGAACGTAGACTGGCAGAACACGAAGCCAAGCACCAGAAGAACAGTCGAAAGGTCCTGAATGCGCTGAGCCGCACGGTCGATGGCCTATTCGCTCCTAGTCGTTGATGTGATTACAAGTTCTTTAGCGTTAGCATCGTCAATAGCATGAGAAATCCAGATGGCTCTACAAGATCTTGCTAAGTGCTAGCGTAGGCTCGCTTACACCCTCTATAAAAGTTTCAACCAGGGTACTATCCAATCCTCTCCACAAACATCAAACAACAACTTACACACGCCCCCACTTTTGGCATTGCCTACATGGCGAGCGCGTACGGCGCGACGTCTCCCACATCCAAGCGCACAAACAGCGGCATCAGCACGAACAATGGCTCTCCGAGCAACGCGCGCACAAAACTCCTCCTGCTTGGTCAAAGACGAAGTGGCAAAACGTCCATCAAGGAAGTGTTGTTCAATGGGTTAGGCCCCAAACAGACATTCTACCTCGAGTCAACGATGCGGATCGTCAAGCACCCGTACGAGTGCGTCTGGTAGAGTCCTGCTGTCTCCAGTGCGAATTGAGACGTTGAATCAGCACTGTGATTCCGCTGGAGATCTGGGATTGCCCTGGGAATGCGACGGTGGAGAGTCTGGGCGCACCTTTGTCGCAGTTCAGCGCACTGGTGTTCGTCATTGATATCCGAGTGCGCATGGACTCGAGTCGTCGTGACCTGCCATCTGACGGCGCCCTCAGGATTTGTACAAGCAACCGATCAGCAAGTTGGTCGAGTTCATCGTCGCCGCGTCGCACGACAATCCTCAATTACTGATCGAAATCTTTGTCCACAAGGCGGAGCGATTGCAGGACGACGACAAAATTGGTATGTCTCTGTCTCGATCTGGCCCAGGCACCCACTCAACGCGCAACTCAGAAAGCTTCCGACAAATCCAGGAACGCGTGCAAGATAATCTCATGGAGCGCGATTGTGAACAAGTTCTCTACAATTTCTACCTGACCTCCATCTACGATCATTCGTTGAACGAGGCCTTCTCCAAGGTTCTGCACAAGCTGATATATCCGACGCAGCTGGAAGTGCTCGAACGCCTCCTCAACTCGTACTGTGCGGTGAGTCCCCTGTTTAGGAAGCCAACTTTCTCATTCTCATCGGTATTCAAGAACTGCTCGCTACCAAAAGCTTTCCTCTTCGATGTCGCGTCACGGTTGTATGTCGCCACGGACGCTTCGCCAGTTGACACAGCAACACACAACCTGTGCTGCGATTACATACAGATGCTTTCCTCCTTCCGTCCACTCTACCGGTTTGTGCATCGCAAGTGAGTGGTCGAGTTCATGCTGAGACTCTTCGCAGCACACCGTCTTCTACGGCCGAACGAACACAGACAGGAACCGCGGATCCGGAATCATCAGCAGATGCGCCACCTCGCTTTTATCCTAGTGCCGCTGTGTCGCTGTCATCCTCGAGCCCTGGCACAACACTGACGTACCATCTCATGACACCGCATCTGGCTTTGCTCTCTTTGGTCCCCACTGGTGTCTACGAGGGCCGTCGCGGTCTGTTCGAGTACAACGTCGTGTTTGTCAGGGAGGGTGTCCAGGAAATCTGCGAGGCTTGACGCGGAAGACCGGATAGATAGACTATCGAACGCATCCTCCGCGATGTTAACTTATAGTATAACGTGTATCCTATTCACGAGTAATGACTGTGGCTACTTCTAGCTCTTCCAATGCAGTTGCCCCCAACGTTAGACATTGGACAATCCGGTCAAGACTTGAAGTGTGCACATTTAGCTTGAGCCGGGAAAATAGCATCAAGCGCATCACTAGCTACATCAGAATGATATAATGGCGGGACACCTCCATCAGGCTTCTCTCTCACAGCCACCACGAACGTTCGTTTCAAAGCCAATCCCCGCAAAGTTCATTTGGGAAGTGGGGCGCGAAAGTTTTGGCGGAGCGTGGATCGGCATTACGCATTCTTGGAGACTGTCTTTTCCTCTGCCCTACTCTCTCTTCGGACCCACTGTAAACAAGCGAGATGAAATTCGGTCGCAAAATCTCGGTGTGTGCTATATAAGCTTATTCGGAGACGCTGTCTCCCTAATGATTGACTGTCTTGGCTAGACTGATCTGTACAATGAGTGGAGACCATTCTATCTGGATTATAATCATTTGAAGCGCCAGCTCAAGGTCTGTCCAAGTATAACCTCCTAATTTCCGTACTTACTCGATGCCACTTTCTACCTAGGCCAGGACGACAGGACGGCGGTGGAACGCCAATGACGAGAAAGTTTTCACGAGCCAGCTCGAGAAGGAGCTGGACAAGATCCACGATTTTCAAAAAGCGAAGGTGCGCTCGGGCTCAGTGCGGGTTTGACCATCGTCCGCTCAACGCCGGTGCCCCCTCCCAGACCTCGGAGCTGTCTCAGCGGATCCGAGACGCGGAGCGTGACGTCAAACGTCTGGTGACCGAAGAAGCGGAAGACACGCCTGAGTCCCGGCTCCGGCGCCGTGCCCAGCGGCCGCTGTCGGAGTCGAATGCCGACGAGGAGGAACAGCTGCAGGACGATTACGCGCTCGATGCTGGGTCGGACGATGATAGTGATGACGACGATGAGGACGCGGAGAGCTTCGATGCGTTGGAGGAGCGGTTCCACGCGCTCGAAGAGGAGGTCGCCAACCTGGTCGCGGATGTTCACGATCTGGCATTGTACACCAAGCTCAATATCACCGGTTTCATGAAGATTCTCAAGGTGCGTCCTTAGCGTTTGCCGTTCACCGCCGTTCCAACGCTCTTGCTGTCCAGAAACATGATGTGAGTCCGCTACGCCGGGGAGATCAAGTCGAAGCTGACAAGGAGTCAGAAAGTAACGAATATGCCGCTCAAGCCGACCTTCGTGCAGGACTATCTCGAGAAACGGCCGTTCTACAAGTACAATTGGGACGCGCTGATCGTCAAGCTGTCCAAGTTGTACGACCTGGTCCGCACTAGAGGTCATCCTGTGCAGGGCGACTCAAGCGCCGGCGGTAACCAGAGTGCTTTTGTGCGCCAAACCACCAAATACTGGGTTCATCCGGACAATCTCGTCCCGCTGAAGCTGGCCATTTTGCGTCATCTGCCTGTGTTGGGTCAGTGACGTTTGACTGGTTGGGCTTCCTCGCAGGCTTACCGCCCTCCAGTCTTCAATGCCGAGAAAGAATTCGAGGTCAAGGACGCTGCTATCACATCGATCTACTTTGACAACGAGGATCTGGAGCTGTATCTCGGTCGTCTGGAGAAAACTGAGGGCGCAGAGGCTATCCGGTTGAGGTGGTATGGTGATATGGACACCAAGACGGTGAGTTTCAGACGTCCATTGTGGGCATATATCTGACACCGCTGTCTCAGATCTTTGTCGAACGCAAAACTCACAGGGAGGATTGGACGGGTGAGAAATCCGTCAAAGCGCGTTTTCCGATCAAGGAGCACCTTGTCAACGCTTTCCTCCGCGGTGAATACACAGTCGATGCCGAGTTCCAGGAGCTCGTGAAAAAGGGCAAGAAGACGCAGCAGGAGGTCGACTCGATGATTCAACTGGCCAACGAGGTCCAATATGCTGTGCTTACTCGGAAGCTGCAACCAGGTCCGTGTCGCGTTGTTCGGTTCTGGTCCGCTGATTAACCTACGCAGTGATGCGATCGTTCTACAATCGGACGGCGTTCCAGTTGCCAGGCGATGCCCGCGTGCGGATCTCTCTGGACACGGAGCTGACGATGGTGCGAGAGGACAACTGGGACGGTCGGACGCGTGCTGGAGACAACTGGCGACGAACGGACATTGGCATCGACTACCCCTTCGAGCAGCTGCAAGCAGACGACAAGGAGCTTTTCAAGTATGATTTCTCGTTATCAAAGCGATGCCAGTGCTGAACAGTCTCTAGGTACGGTGTTCTTGAGGTCAAGTTGCAAACGCAATTTGGTCAAGAACCGCCAGAATGGGTTATGGAGCTGGTGCAGTCTCATCTCGTCGAGGCTGTCCCCAAGTTCAGGTGCGTAATGGTTATGATCAGGAGCAGAAGGTTACTGATAGATAACAAGCAAATTTATCCACGGCTGTGCCACACTGTTGCCCAATCGAGTGGATCTGGTGCCGTTTTGGCTTCCGCAGAGTACGCTGGAGACATGCTGTTCATCGCGAGTTTATGTGCTGAAGTGAAATGCAGTGGACACCGACATCCTCAAGCCGGATATGGGATATCTTGCTGTGATCGAGCGGCCTGCACAGCCGTCCACATTGTCTTCGACGAGGCAGGGATCAGATCACGAGGCCAGCGGGAGCCAGTCGCCTATCGACGACGATGAAGGAAAAAAGAAGAATGCCTACAACGAGCCTGAGTCCGAGGGCGAGGAAGACGAGGAACGCGATCTGGCGCCAGCGCGGGACGAGCACAAGGTCACTGGCTTGAGCGACAAGGAAGTGCAAGAGGCGGTCGCGTATCGCGAGCACATGCTCAAAGCGAAGGCTGAGCCGAACGGACGCGGACGCGCGACCGCGAAGGACGACGGCGTTTCTGGATCGCCGACGAAAGCGATCTCGATTCCGCCGAAGCCGAGGGCACTCTCGATTGATCCGTTGGCGCCGTCGTTGGCGTTCGATACGACGTTGCGGGATCGGCTGGAGGGCGAGCGGAAAGCGGCGAGCATGCGGGGGAACCCGGATGAGGAGGGTGACGATGATAATGAGGAACACGCGGACCGCGCTGAGGAGGAGGACGAGGAAGACGATCCGTTGATACCCACCAGGTTTGACGAGAGGCAGCTCTCGAGAGACGTCCGTGCACCTCCGGGAAAACGGATCTCAGTTCCGGTCCGGATCGAGCCCAAGGTGTATTTTGCCGCTGAGCGGACATTCCTGGTTTGTGTGTATCTTTATCAGTTGTTTCTGGCATTGATTTTTACGACACAGAAATGGCTTAACAACGCTGTCTTCATTGGCACGATCGCCACGACGCTGCTCAACTTCACCTCGCCATACGACTCTCGGGGACTGATTAGCGCCGCGTTGTTCACCTTCGTGGCCCTGCTCGCGATCGCGTATTCTGCGGCGATATTCGTGTTCCGCGCGTACAGGCTGCGTGCGAGACGCGCGTCGGGGATGTACTACGACAAGTACGGCCCCACTCTGCTCTGTGCGGCGCTGTTTCTCGCGATGGCGACGAACATCGGGCTGCGAGTTGCGGAGATGATGTGATGGATTTATTCGTTTAGACTTGGCACAGCCAGCAGGGACAGTCATTCATTCATTGTGTAATGTGCATTCGGAATGTTCCGTTCGGATGATCATGATCCAGGTTCCACGCGTGGGTAAGGCCATTGCAGAGCAGCGAGCACTGAGCAGCGACATGAAGGCATGCAGAAGTGTGGAATAATCGTCCGTGACAGCCGCAGTGCGAATCCACCGTGTGTTCATATTATAAATGTTCGAGCACATCGGTCGCGAAGCGGTCGGCAAAGTCTTCATGATCGTGCACAAGGGGTTTGACAGAGAGCAAGACAGGTGGCCGTTCGTCGGCGATCTTCGATGGGCAGCTTGGCTACGTGCCTCGGCGGCAAATACACCCCGACACTTGAGGCACGCGGACTGTGTGAAGAAATCACAGAAGATGGATTCGTTGGATTGGATTGCAGATCTTCCCGGTCGCCAGGCACTCGGCAAAGATCAATCCGCGAAGAAGCCCCCACCACAAAGGATCCGAATCCGGCATGGGGGTCCGGGGACCTGTCAAGTGACCGGGCTCCCCCGCTGATAGCGGAGCAGCCTGCAACCTGGAAGCAGCGAGCACATCGCGGAAGAACCGACCAGCCAGGAACGAGAATCAGGTGAAACACGGCAACGTATTGACCATCACGCTTGTGGCGTGCACATCACCTGCAGGCTGGAGAGAACTCGAGAAGAGGCAGATAGAGGCAGATGCAGCCGGGGTAGATCACTGGTAGATCAGGCCAGACTCGAGTTTGAGACTTGATTGCTGGAACGGTTGCAGAACGGCAGGCAGGAGGGCTCCAAATACAGCACAACACCTGCGCGGGGGGTGATGCGATCTGGAGTAGGAGAGGGCGTAGATTGCGCAACTCGGTCTGGGGAAGGGGGGGGGTGTCCTGTCCGGACTATGATGCAGAGACACTGGGACCTTATATGCGACCGCGTCTGCGGGCCGCCCGTCAGAGGCAGAGAATACATATAGCTATCAGATGCTTCTGCTGTGCGGGCGCGCCAATTATGACTCGTCCTGAGGCGCCTTGAGTAAGAAAGAAGGAGAGAGCGGCGCCGGCGCTGATCCTCAGCCGCCCAGAGATGAATGGCCTTCTCCCGGGGATCCCTCCAGAGGTGCGAAGCAAGCAAAGCCAGAGCAGTACGAGCAGCGCGATTGCTGCTGCTAGCAGGCCAGAGCTCCTGCGCGCTCTCGGACGCGACCTCCCGTACTTTGAACGTACAGATGTGATCATTCCCGCCTTGCTTGAGCCTTGAGTTACGCGCGCGCGTGATTCAGGTGATAGCCGGGAGATGCCGAGTCCCAGCGTGCTTGCTGATCAGCGCCGGTGGTTGTTGCACCGGACGCGCGCTGAGCGCAGTATATAAGCATATCATGCAATGGACCAGGCAGGCTATGCATCCACTTCACCTTTCCTTACTACGGACTGAGCGCCTCTGGATTGAACGTTAAGTGTTTCCTCCGGCTACTAGATGTACATTTAGGAATTACTGTTAGATATGGATGAATGGTATACTTAAATAGTAAGGTATGTATCTCCCTCCTCCGCGTCGTCCCCGAATGCGTCTCACAACAGCAGCAGATTCAGCCCGCGCTCCCGCATCGTCTCCCGCCAGTCGACCGCCATTCCGCTGACGTCCCGTTTCTGCCAGACGGCCTCCATAAGGAGCCGCGTGCGCATCAAGTTGCCGAGGCTCTCGTCCAGCGACTGGAGCCGGCCCTTGAGGAACTCGCGCCAGGTCGAGTCGTCCGTCATGCACCCGGCGAGACAAATGGGGAAGACCAGCGCGCGGTCGATCTCGGACGACGGCAGCTGTCGCAGCAGCCCAATGATCGTCCCCACTGACGTGCTGATCTCAGGCACCCCCGGATTCGAATCACTCAGCACCGTGTGCAGGTACAGCAGGACCGTCTCCGAGAAAATCTCGGACACGAGCTTGCGCTGGGGGAGTGGCGGGAACATCGACGTTTCCACGACGGCTTCGGACTCGGCTTGCACGAGCGTCGGGTGCAGCGGTGTCCCATCGAACTCGATCGTTTTCGCGTTCACGGCGTTCTTCCGCAGGCGCTGCTCGATTTCGTCCCCCCGCCGAATGAGATCCCGGTTGCTCAGCGTCCCTCTCCGCTTCTCGGCAGCCTTCCAGTGCGACAGGGCCGACACCTCCGCGATCCCCAGCAGCACGTATTCCGGGCAGCCGGTGAGAGCCTCCATGTGGATTTGCTCGCTTTCCAGAGTCCACATGGCCGTATCGCCGAAGAGTTGTTGATACAAGGCGAGGTATTTTGGGGGGCGCATCACCGTGAGGCTGGAGAAAACATCGAGCCACTGTATTCAGGTCAGACGGGAGCACGGACGACGATATCCAGTGCGACGAACCAGGGTGAGCTTCACGATCAACTGGCCGGCCGTGCTTAAAGCCTGGAGCCCTAGCCTGGGGTTGTCGTTCGTGAGCAGATCCGTTTGCTGTGCAAGCCAGTCGCAAGCGACGGCAAACACAGGCTGCCAGTCTGTAGCACCGCCAGAAAGCTGCGAAAACCAGACAAGATGCAGTGCAGCGATGGCGTCGCTCTCTCCGTACGCGCCTTGCGTCTGTTTCGCGGTGTGCAATTGAAAGTACGCCTCGTCGTGGAAGTACTTAGCGGTGGAATGCTCCGGATTAGGATCGGGGGCCTCCAGCCCGTGGGAAACACGCATCCGGGTATAATGGAGACTCGCTAATGCACACACGGCGTTGGTCACGGCACCACGCGGCTCCTCGACTATCATCTGTGGAGAGACGGTGAGAACTGTGTGGGCCACGTCCCATTTCAAAACATCGCGTACCGAGCATGTCACGTTCGTCACGGCGTTCCCGGCGAAGATGAATTGCATCTTGCGCACATGCTCGAAGTAGTATATGCAGTGATTCTCCTGAAGCGAGGAGTGGCCAGAAAACAACGACATTCCGTGCGGCGAGGGCGGCTGGACATTGATGTCGAACTCATCCCCGGTGGTTCCCAGTTGGCCAAACGTAAAGTCGAGCGCAGGGCTTTGAGAAGGGTCGTAGCCGTTGCCAAAGATCCCCGAATTGAAATCGACCGATGCAGTCCCAAGTAATGGATCGCTGAATGACATGCCGGGGGGATGATAGAATGCTGAGTAGTTCGTGGCTGATGCGAGTCGCGTTTAGTCAGTTCAATGGCCGGTATGACTAAATGCGACGCGGACTCACCTGCGCCAGTCATCCCTGCATACATCCCGACCTGGCGAGCCATGAACTGTTGCTGGAATGCCAAGTCTGTTCCAGCCATCGGGTCGAAGTGCGAAGGGGGCAGGCCATCCGCTGCATCGACAGACCGACGATGTATGGACTGTGGCCGCTGCGTGCCACGCGTGGAGATAGATATACGAGGCTGCCCACGGATGAGCCCGGCTCGTGTCAGCTGTGCCTTGATGTCGGCTTTGTAAGCTTCGACAGCTTCTTTATCCTGTAGAACGGCGTTGAACACACAACGCGCAACTAAACCCGTTCGAACACATACCCGCATCCAATCTGGTCGCTTCTGGCCCCAACCAAGACAATCGATACCGAGTCGGATGCACGTCTGGCACGAGTCGCCCTCTCGAATCTCATCGCACTTCTATAATCGTTGTCAGACCCGAGATGCGGTCTGAATCAGTGAGATGACACACCTTCCTCCTCAATCGGCATGTCCTGAGGTAGATCATAAAGCCATGAGTCGACGCGTCGGGAACAACGGGGCCACGAGACTCACCAGCATCCACCTTTGCTGAGACTAGCTGCTCGCGACAGATCGACTGGGTAGCGTTGTGGTGATGCACGGGCACTCGAAGATTCGATTGAAGAGTCTGGGGTAAAGGCTAGGGGTACGTTGACCGATGCGGGGGACACGTTGGAGGACGCGACAGATGATGATGTGGGTGACTGGCTCCCGGAGGAGGAGGGCGGGGAGCTTCTGTATGCCATACGTCCGGGCATGGTGTGCGGACAGAGTTGCCGGAAGAGAGAGCGAGATCAAGAGTCGATGCCCAATGCATGCACCACTATAAAGATATTTTGCGCGGAAAGATCTCACGAAACGATCTCTCGGATCCCTAATCCGTCGATGACTGCATTGCCGAGACAGGGTTTTCCAGATGGAAGGGGTTAGCCGTTTGGTCCTGGGAAAAAGCGTGCCATATGACTAGCATTGATTCAATGATCTGGTAGCGAAGGAGACTAAGGAGTAAGGCGTGCCAGGTTCCATGGCTCACGGTGGGGGGGAGCACAGCATGAGAGAAAACACAATTAGTGTGTGTTTGTTACGATCGTGATGCTCGTCAACGCACGGGTTTTGATTTGCTCCGTGTCGTGTGGGCTCAAGCGGGCTTGAAGCACGCCTGTATCTATGCACCGACGTCAGCCAGACTTCACTCGCGGTGGCCTGGATCTCTCACAACAGGATTGTCGCGTTGATCGCTGATCAGCGGACGGCAACCCCACGGCAACTCACGCGGTTCTGCTCCTCTTCTTCAGGAGCCTGCGGCAATGCAAAAGCTCGGACCAGCAGAGGATGAATATGATTGCAAATGCCCTATTTTTGGACCTCGTTTGCCGCGAATTTTGCAAATGCCGCCAAGCTATGCTTTCGATCTGATTGAGACATCAGTTGTGCTATGCTCAGTGTGAGGCTGTGTTCTGTTCCAGAACGTTGCCAATGAGCTTTCTGGTACACTTTCTGACCCAATGCTGCATCCTATGCAGTCTAATGGAAAGGATTCACAGCATCCGGACTCGTAGACTGTCTACGAATTCGATCATCCTGTGCTGGTGGATGCGATCGAGGCATAGCGCACCACGACTGAGCGCTGGCGGTGATCAAACCGAAAAGAAAAGGAGTCGGGAAGCAGGACTGTCCCCCCGGATTCATATGGTGCTTTCGTCATCACGCTGCAAAGGCTTAGAGAGACGACGACACGTTGGTCATCATTAGAGGAGTACCGCAAATCATGACTGTACATCCATTCGGCTTATCTTATCGATCGGGACGACCGACGGCCAAGTTCTCGACACACGGAACGAGAAATGGTAGCGCCCGCGCTTGACAGCACTCCAGGTGTTGCACGAGGTCCAAATCGACGCAGCGGCCCCTGGCAGTATCGCTCGCGCTTGGCAGCATTCCAGGCGGTGAAGTACAGGGAAAGAATCTCCAGTTCATCGCATAGGCAATTATGGAAGTAGTAATACAGAGATGTGCATAGGTAGACCATGTTCAGAACATGAGAGGGAACAATATTGGGGCAAGAAAATGAAGAGGATGAGAAGGAAGATCAAACAAGCAGAAGATTGAAAGACTTGAGTCGCTGCCGCCACTGCACCGGATCACGACTTGTTCTTCGCTGGTCCCAGATCTCCTGCAGCAGGCGTCGGATAGAGGGGCTATTTCCAACGTTTGCATTGTTTGGATTTTCGCCGGTCAGTGACAACGCTTCTTTCACCTCCCTGCGTATGGTGGGATCATCGCTCAGCGCCCCGCAAATAAAGAACGCAAACACTGTGCTTCGGATGACACTGCTGGAGTTGAGTTCCTGCAGAGAGAGTTGGCGTGCTGTCGACATCGTCTCATCAATCGCTTCTCGGATGCTGCCTACTCCAGGAAAGTCGCCCGACACGACAGAGCGCAGATACACTCTGGTCGCCCCGCGGAAAAGCTGAGCACCCAGAGCGTGAGTTCCCGAGTTCTGCGCCGTCAGACTTGTGGAGACGCTCGCGTCGAGGTACTGCTCGATGGACGTTGCCGTTTTCACGAGTTCTTTTGCATCCAATGAGCCCTGCTCGATCTGGAGCGATTTCCATTGGTAGAGAGCGATCGCTTCAGCCAGCGCCAGGACAGTCAAATCTTCCGCGCCCATCGTTGTGAGCATCGACAGTCGGTCGAATGAATCGTCCTCCGACGCGTCCAAGCTCTGTAGTCGACTTCGCGTGGGAGAGTAGAGAAGTCGGATATAATCCAAGAAGCGTGGAGACTGGCCGCTGGTGACTGAGCCCAGCACATCGAACCATATCCCGTTCTTGACAATGAAGAGACTCAGATCGTCAGCTCTCCTAAGAGCTGCGCGTGCATCAAAGTCACAGGAAAACACTTTGGCCGTGGCATAGTTATACGTCCAGTCCAGCCATTCGCTCCAATCGCCTTGACCACCGTCGAACAACACGGAAGAAATGATGATGATGGCTGCGAGCGCCCCGTCTTTGTTCAAGAGCGAAGCCGAATGACGACCAACTCTGCCGGATAATAAGGATTGTCGTAGCTTCAGATATTGATCGTTTGTGTCGCCGCTTTGCAATGCTCGATGCCCCGGGATATGACACGCCACCCGTTGCCTGTGGATAGCAGCCAATAGAAGGGCAGCTTTCTGCGCGAAACCGCTGGTAAGAACCGCAGGCTCGAGAGTGGCTCGGATGTGGATCCGGTTTGCGAAGACGTATTGTATTCCCATCACATGGCATATGTAGTATGTGAGGGCATCGTCGCCGAAGCATTGCGGTGGCAGAGCGAAGAACAGGGAAGAAGAATTCTCAGACAGGAACCTGCTGTTGAAGGAAGGCCAGTTTGAGTGGGAGGCTGTGATGGGAAATGAAGCCAATAGGCCATGACTCTGAATCAGGCTGGAGGGAGTTGGGATTGATGCTGAGGATAATTCAATACGATATCATTACCGGCCCAAGTACAGACTCTTACAATCTCCGGTGCTAGAATAGTTTACTTGGCTTCTAGAGCAGTCTTGAGACGAGCTGCGGAAGGAAAACCGAGAGGACGATTGTTCTAGAGGATTCAATGATCGATCAGGAGGTAACAAAAGGTGAACGCACCGTAGGTGTCATCGACCCACTGTTGGTGTTGGCCCTCGTCGCGCTCATCGAAAACGGAACCATAAGGAGGCGAATAGGGACCAAGAGACAACTCAGATGTGGGCGGACTCTCGCTAGATGATGGGGTGGTGTCGTCGTCGAGACGAAGAAAGAGAGTATCATCGAGAGCGACACAACGGCCGCAGGCAGAGTGACCTTTGATCAGGCCTTGTGTTGCTAGGAAAGCTTTGATTTTATCGCATGTCCGCTTCACATTTCGTCGATCCTGTGCCGCCGACAGTCAGCCGACACGACGTCCATCTCTTGAACACAGCGAGCGGTGACGCACCTGGAGCCAGGGAGGACGTCTGCCTCCGAACCCGAGACACTGAATGTGGAGACGAATGCACGTTTCACATGATCCCTCCGAGTCTCGTTGCTCATCGCATTTCTAGGGTCGAGAGTGTCAGGCGCAGCACGTGCCGTAGGTAGAAAGAGGCCACGCGCCTTTCGACGGATACGGCATGTGTGGCAGCCGCTCTTTACACGGACAGAGCCTTTGGATTTTAGGGTCCTGGGCATGCTGGAGAATGTGCCCAGATAAGAGAAGCCGAATGTGTCGTAGGAAGAGGAAATGGATCAGAAGGAGGGCGGAGGGGAGTTACGAATGGGTTGTGCCGCATCCATGCATTCCGAGGCTGTTATATGTAGTCGCAGCTCGCCGTAGTTCGCAAGGCCGGTTCGTGAAGTCAAGATCCATTTGCGGAATGGAGACCCTAAGCACCCATGCCTGTTTGGGTCTGTTGACAAACAGATCCTGTCGATCTACCCGCGATGTTCTTGTTCTAGATCTGACCTGCCCGGCAAATTCCCTGGTATGTAATGAGTTCTCCGTACGCAAATGCGTCTTCTGCAACAAACGTCCGACTGTGTACGACACAATTGGTCTCGGAAGATCGGTATCCTTTCTCTCCGTCGCAGAAATAAACTTCGGACGTACCGTTCCATCTATCGATCCATCAATCCCGCCATGAGTACTGCCTCCAGCAGAGCCCGGGACCATGGCTTCGTGCATGCGATTCACCGCCTCCTGGATGGTCTGTCCCTGATCCCTCATGTCGGGCGAGTCGGACGAGCTCATGGTATCCCGGTGCATTCTCGTCAACGAGCTGTATGCGCGTGTGTCAGATTGCTGCACCTCCGGACCTGCACACCTACGCCTCGGTTCCTAAGATAAGCATGCATATGGGCGTCAGTCGATGATGTGCGTGTCGGAGCTTATTCGGCGGGCATATCCAATCCATCCTCCTGACAAGTCATCTTCTCGACGGTCGAACGGGACCTGAGCCAATTTGGCAGGCTACGGCCGCCGGTTGGTCGTACTAGCAAAAGAAAAGAACAAGCGCGCAGAATTGATGCATACAGTCACAGTCACGTCACATGGCGCTCATGCAATCAGTCGCAGGGCCACTTAGGCGCCCGCAGAGACTGAGCAACGCGGCAGCGCGACCAGAGCCGACGCCAAGAAAGACAGAACAATCCAGCCTACGTGTTATTATGGAAAATGACAGGCAGCCCTATTCGAGTGAGGTCAAGTTGGGCGATCAGGTATTGTAGTACTGGTTACACTTCGCGTTTTCAAGATATTCGGGTTGATATGCCATCCAGATTGAGTCAAGCAATGATTGGATGATGAGTAGAGATCCGGGGTAGAAAGGATGGGTGTGTGAGAGGAGCAGTCGACCTGCAAGGTAGTCGGCAAGAGCAGTAGGAAAGCAGTCGGGGGATCAAAGGGAGAAGGGTGTAAAGCAAGCAGTGCGGCGCTTTTATCCGTCTCCTGGAACGCCCGTGCTCACATTGGCACTGGCGCTTAAGCGACGGACCCGCGTGATCAACCCACTCGTACTGCCTTCCTTTTCCTTCGTTGACACACCGGACCCCGTCGATGCAGTCACTTCGTGTCCAGTTGACTGTTTGACACTCTGGCCCTCTCCAGGGACGCCTCCACCTCCCGCACGACGAGCAATCAGCGCGCGCACGGCACCAAGCCACTTGATCTCATCTTCTTCACTCGGAGCACAGATTAAAAGGGTCCGCTTCGTCGTGACGATCTTGAAAGTGTGTTCCTGATGATCTCCATCGAGCAACGGTGGAGGTGAGGAAACCGAAGAGCTTCCGCCGCGAGTCGCTACATCGAACTCGAGTGCGTCCAATATCTCGGAGAAGGGAAATCGTCGATGAGGTTTGGTGTCCTGCGCCAGCACTCAGTGCTCTGCATAACTTTCGGAAGATCGGGAACGCACCATGTGACTCCCAAAATACATCAGTTGCTCTGAGCTGAGCACAAAATAACGTTTCTTCCAGTTTTTGCGCTTCGAGCTACACTTCATGACGTAACCAGCCATGAGAGCCTTGCTGGGGTCGGCGGGTGCAGACATCTTGGAGCCAGCATTGGGCGAGCTGCCCGGTGCACCATAGCTCATGCTAGTTCTGGTCTGGGAGGACAGCGAATATGCCCGCTGGCCGATGGGCGAAGCGTCGTCAGAGTCCGATGAGGTCATATACGATCCGGGGCCATAATTCGACGGCGGTGATGGAGTCAACGCTGGCGCAGATGTTCCACCAAATTGAACGCTGTTCCTCATGCGGCCCCGCGATGGGCTGGCAGGAATGGGAATAGGTTGTGTTTGTCCGCCGCTTTCCGTAGCCTTGAGTGCCTCACACGCCTCTTCGATAGCACGCACCCATCCCTCGACCTCTTGCGGGTTCTTCGCCTGCAGATAGAACGTCCGCGACGGCGAGATCAGGCCGAATGTGTTATCGTGTCGCTTCAACACAACCTTGGTACATGAGTGCACATCGGAGAGGTCGAGGAGTCGGAGGAGCTCGTATTCGGCAGCGGTTTTGTAATAGGCAATATGCGCCCTGCGAAGAACGAACCATCGCTTTTTCCAGGTCTGGATCTTGGTAAGCCGATGCGATGAAGTCGAGAGGCGCAGCGAACCTTTCTCCGCTCGCCCTTCTTCCATAAATATCCCGCTTTGATTTGGGTCTCTTCCTTTTGCGCCTTCAAATGTGCGGGGGTCCGCCATCCGGTTCCGGTACCGTCATCGTCCTCGTCCTCATCCGAATCTTCACCCGCACTGGAGCGTCGCTCGGCGATGGAGGAAAGATGAGGTTGCGCGATAATGCTACCCGAGAATCCAGTTGCCATAGGTGTGACAGTATCGGCGGAAAGGTCAGACTCGGACTCCGTACCAGAGACAAGCCCCGGAGTTGAATGCGACGGCTATGTAACGTATTAGTTGCCTCAATAGCGATAGGTCACACGGGACTTAGCCATGCTAACAAACAACACATACCCTCGGAGACCTGCGGGATATCGAGTGTGTCGAGAGCTTGCGGGAGATCTCCTGTGGTGAAGGAGGAGCTGCTATCGACATTGTGCTTCAGATAGTTGAAGATATGAGGGGAATATGGCGCGCGTGATTTGAGAGAGGCGATCTTGAAACAAAGAATGAGAAACTTTCTGGGACGTGGTTGGCCTTGCGCCCAATGAGACCTGCGCGACGGCAAGGTCGCAGGTAAAGTAGCACTTATTAGCTCGAGGATGATGCCAAACATTGCAACACAGACGTTGATCATCGTGCCGGCAGCTGCCGAGTAACTGACTGGATGGTTCTGCCCATCTAGTTCCTGGACTCAAATAACCTGCTAAGAGGTCAAGAGAACTCAATATTTGGATTTAATCCGTATTTTTCTTTTCTCATTGCGACTACATAGTGTACCTTTCACTTGAGGGAGCTGCAGGCCCGACTGGCCAACAACCCGACAGGACAGTATGGCGAAAACGATATGCACTGTATTTTCGTTAGAATTTGGGCATCCAAATATGTTGCGCCTGAAGATTATTCATTTGATAATATAATCTTGACCTAGTACGAGGCCTAATCCGCTCACTGTTTCCAGGCAATGTAGCCAACATAATGACGTCATCCTTGAAATAGGGGCTAGCCTCACATCGGGCAATCGATAGAGTAAGTAATGGGGACGATCATCTCAGATAAGAACTCCATCCCCAACCACCATGTCCAAGAGCAAGTTCGACAAGGCTGTTGAAATCGTGAAGAACCTCCCGAAGGATGGAGCTGTGAAGCCGAGCACCGACGATCAGCTCTACGTGCGTATCGCTCTCCATCTCATCTGTTCTCATGCCACCTCTATGCTCTAAATATGCGTCCGGCGCGTCGCGTCTCTCGCTTCCCCTCCTTCACCTCTCGCATATTGTGAAACTGACTTCATCCTCCAGTTCTACGCCAACTTCAAGCAAGGTCTGTGGCGTTGACGGATGGATGCACGAGGGCTTGGGGCTTCAACTTCGTCAGGTACGATTGGTGATGTAGACATCCCGCGTCCCGGAATGCTCGACTTCACCGGCAAGGCGAAATGGTGCCTCGGCTGCTAGCTTCTCCCTCTCACACCAGTGTTGAATCCCGTCCAGGGATGCCTGGAATGCTATCAAGGGCACCTCCACCGAGCAAGCCCACACGAACTACGTTGCGAAACTGATCGAGGTCTGTGGCGGCCTTTCTCCTTGATGAACTGTTTGTTGAATGTCGCAGCTTCTGAAAGCGGCCGGCGACGAGGAGTCGCAGAAGTACATCGCAGAGATCGAGGCTGCCTGAATACCGGCATATAATTCAACACCTTCAAATGTGTACATACATGTATCTGCAATCGCCAATGATCAATCACCAAGTACAAAGTGTCTACCTGCTGTGTGTGTGTGTGTCAATGTCTATGCTCTATGTGGTGTTGTCAGTCGACTGGTCGAATTGCGGGCGATCTTGGTACTTCTGTCCCCAATCTGCAAGCTGATCTTCTATGTCGGCACAGAGAATGCCGATGCGTGTCTACCAACGCCACAGGACACAGCACATGTTTCCAAGCTGTTGGACGGTGGGAACCCGTCTCGGAGATCGTAAGGGAGAAGGGTGTTCACAGAAATAGCGCAGAGCGGAATTAAATATTCCTCTGGCATGAGAACAGAGCTGCAGCAAACGTGTTATTATTTCAATCATACTCTGGACTAGGTCGGTGTCAAGACCTGAACGCCACCGTCATAGAAAGGACACGCAGCCGGCGATCTTACGTCGGATTCTTGTACCGGGCCAGTGGAATGTCAATGAGCTCACGAACACTTTTGACTCGGGGCAAGGGCACGAGATCAGCTGACCGCCGTTCTCCCGTCGATGCAGACCCCGAAGACCCTAAATCGATGTGGGAAAGTTTTGTAGAGTGCGGGTCTCGCCGGCTCGTGACTTGAAGCGCTGCTCGGATCGCAAAAAATACTGATGTCAATATTTGAAAATCTCTCCGTTCCGGATCGACGTTCCGGTCAATCCTGCTTCTTTTAGTACACTCTTGAAAGACCGAAAACATCAAGGCTTTTCTGCAACTGGACTGAGACGCTGCACGCTGGGAGAGCACCACTCTTCTCCATTCCTCGCCGCAGACAACGTGCGAAGAACGGCAGAATGCAGATGACGGCGATTGCGCACATGCTTCGGTGTCGTTGATGAGAATGCGGAGCATCATAAAATTACTCAAATAGGAAGCTATCCCGCCCCCTCGTGCCCGATGGGCGACTGCCATCCAACAGCGGGCCCCGTTCACCGGGCCAGGCATTCCGCGGGGGGAATCTCATCAAGGGCCGTTTCATTTCGGTTGCTTCCGGTCAGACTGGACTCCAGATGAGGAACTGAGCTGGACCACTTGGCGCGGAAATGGAAAGCGCTTGCTGCCGTCAACTGAGGTAAACATCCCGTACTCTAGAATCAACGTCAGACATAGCTCCTCGACACGTCCCCGAGCCGCCACTCTACGGGGTTGCCTTGGAAGTGAACCGCTTCGTTGCCTACTTGCTGTAAGTACTTGCGGGGCTTGAGCCAGTATAGGCTTGACATATGTCAAAGATTTGATCGGAGTGAGTAAGCGAACGGAATGAATTTCTCAAATATTTGAGCGGACGATCGTGGGTCCTGAACACAAAATCTGGACTCTGGAAGAGCGGGAGGATCGCGTGCTCAAAGCCGTACATATCTGCCTGGTGAATCTTAATGTCGAACCGTCGCGAATTCATGGGTACGAGTTTCTCTCGGCCGCCAGTCGCTGCAAGGCTGGCTCCATGCGGCTTCAATGACAGACCGGCCAGCAAGTCTCAGCACAGTAGCCACTCAGCTCGATGCTTAGAATAGTTGGTAACACTCAGGCTGCATCTCAAGGCACACGCGTCAACCCCACGACGCGGCGTGTCCTCCGCGTCGGTAAAACTTGAGTGAGATGCAATCCCTCGAGAGACGAGCAAGCTGCGCTAATCGCCAGATATCGGATACCATCAAGGGACGGTATTGAATTCATTCAGTTCTGCACATGCTCACTCGAAAAAGGATGTCCTCACCAGGGCACATACAATGGAGCCCAGATCCAATATCCCGTCTGTCGTCTCAACAATCAATATCCGTCTCCGAGTCAGAAGCAAATTCGCACAGAATAGCACTCGAGGCCCCTGCGAGATGTGTTCCCTTTTCCAGACAAAGGCATGACAAGAATGGAAGGCCATCAGGAAGTGCGAGACAAAACATCCCCGCAGAGTATCTAGCGAGGTCATTTCACGATCGTCGGACCCAAGACGTGATGTATGGGAGCCGCAAGAATGTGCAAGCCGACCTTGCATCTCGAGATCTGATGGTCGTGCCCAGTGGGAAGCTGGGACACCACCCACTGGCTCCTACTGGGGTCGAAAGTCAGACACGGATCAGACGGCAGGGCATCTCTCGATGTTCTCCCTGGGCGTTGACAGATTCACAGGCCTCAACATGTGGTCATCAAACGGGAGGGCGATTGGATTGTAGTCGGGAAGACGATACGAGATGAGACGACGTTCTCAAACGCGGGCGTCCCCGATTCTAGACAGATTCTCCGCGGTGATCGTTTCGATTCCAACGAGAACAAAGTTCGAGTGAGTATGTATGTCCCCATCGCGCAGATTTGACCAGATGTGCTGCGAGCATGGAGATTTCGTCCGTCCGTGTCGGAGAGAAGGGGCGGCCTGATCATGCACGCAAGAGATGCTGCTATTGCGGACCACAGGTAAACAAGCGAGCAGCGATACATTCGAGAGCCTAACAGCATGACTTTGGAGCGCTGTAGTTAGACTCTTGATTACTTGTTTCATCAGCGTCCCTGGAATCCAGAAAATCATCCCCGTCGACACCAGAGTTCATTGATGCAGAATGAATCAGAAGGTGGCGCACTTGATCTGCTTCGAACGGGTTTTGACACTTGCCGAGGACAGAGGGAAGGCCCTTCATGATCAAGTCTGGCTCTTCGCGTCGGAGTTTGTCTGCTCTCGAAGATCGCGGGACTCCAGGGCGGCACTCACGTTCCACCGAGTGGCACATGGATGCACCTCGTATATCAACTGTTATGTCTCTCACAGACGGAGTTTGTTCTCAAGCGCGATCGACCAGAGTTGTTCACGGGTAATGCAGGCCCATGATTGCGTCGGCCACGATTACTTAAGTAGTGTAACGTCGGGAGCTGCCGCCCTGTGACTGTGGTCACCTATGAGCGAGGGCGCTTGTGGACTGTTCGCGCCTTGATGTTCTCTGCTCGGTCTCACTCTTGCGCATATACCGACTGTTCTGCAAAAATCCACTGTCGAAACGTCGTCGTGTATACCTGACCTCTAGCCATGCTGACTTATGGAGTCAGTAGTGGCTTTGACTTCGTGCACGTTACACGAGTGCGTCATGCGCTCTCCAAATCGCAAGGCCTGGCTCTCGCTTCTCCCTTTGGTGACCAACAGACCACCGAATTGGTGGCGTCTACATGAGCGCTTCGATCTTTGAACTCAATCGGTCAGGTATTCTTGCTCGTCGAGCGCCTCCTGTCATCCACCTCTGCACTTCCATTGTCCGTCGCTTCGTAGGCTACGTTCGCGCGGTCTGAAGTTTTATTGCGGACTCCAACGGCGCTAACGGTCATTTGCTTGTATTTATGCGTTGGCGCCACCTGAAACGTCCCGGAACCATGAGGCAGGTGCTTTAACAGAGAGGAAAACATGGGCGCCTCTCCACCACCTCCTCACAATGCACCAGCCGCCTGCACCGAACAACACGCCCGTTTCTGCCGTTGCGCACACGTATCGTCCGTTCTACCTGTCCTCAGAGGACTCGGCCCCAGCGGATAGCTATGTCGCCGCCGCCAAGGAGTACTTGAAGTGCGTTTGAGTTATCTTTTTAATGCAGTATTTGGCACGAACGACAGAAACGAAAACATGTATAGCCCATTTTACGTCAACTTGAGCTCTGAACGCGGTTCACCTTGTTCGCTCAGCGACCGGACCACCCAGTCTCAAATTCCGCGGGAGAAAGTGGTCAGTGTATCTGCTGCTCTTCCGACCGAGCCGCAGGTAGACGAGCTTGCGATCGCGTGAGTCGGATCTGTGGTGCAGAGCTTATGGCTGACTGGAGGCTCTCGCAGAGTTATGGGACCCACAGGGAGCGGAAAGTCAACGGCAAGTCGTTCATTGAATCATTCCTGCGCTTCTGACTGACCCGCGCCGTGCACAGTTCATCAATCTCGTCAGCGGATCCAGCCTGGGGGTCGGCCGGGGTCTCAAGTCCTGCACGAGTGCTGTGCAAGTCTCGCCCGAATTCGAGCTCGACGGCCGGGTAGTCACGCTGATCGACACGCCCGGATTCGACGACACGTCGAAGAGTGATGTGGACGTACTCAATATGATTGCGCTCTTCCTGGCCGAATCGTAGGCATCTCAACCAGACATGCGGCCCTGGAACTGACTGGTTTTTCCATCTAGATTCAAGGACGGCCGCAAGCTCGCCGGGGTCATCTACATGCACCGCATCTCGGACTTCCGGGTGGGCGGCATCTCGCGCCGCAACTTCAAGATGTTCCGTGAGCTGTGCGGCGACAGCACCCTCAAGAACGTCGTCATCGCCACCAACATGTGGGGTGAAGGCAGTCGCGAGATTGGGGAGGCACGAGAGATGGAGCTTGCGACGGACGACGCGTTCTTCAGGCCCGTCCTGGACAAGGGCGCAAGCATGCTTCGACACGACGACGGACTGTCGTCTGCCCATGCGATTATCCGTCATCTCTTGCAGAATAAGCCCCGCCCGCTTCGGATCCAGCGTGAATTGGTCGAAGAGAAGAAGGACCTCGCGCAGACAGCCGCTGGGCAGGAGCTGGACAGAGAACTTGCCGAGCAGATGGTGAAGCACAAGAACGAGATGAAAGAGCTCGAGGCAGTATTGAACGGTTCGTGTTCTTTTCTCGGGCTATCACCGCTCTATGATTGGTGCTCAACCTTGTTTACAGCGGCGATCAAGGAGAAGGACGAAGAATATCGCCAAGAGCTTCAGCTAGAAATGCACAAATTCGAGCAAGAACTGGGTCGTATGCAGAGCGACTCGGAGAAATTGGCTTCGGAGTCCGCCCAGAAATCCATTGAACTCGAGCATCGACTGCATGAAATGGACGAACAACGGGCTCAGGATGAATTGGCGGCTGCAAGATACAGGGAGCAGATCGCTACTCTCAACCAATCTCTTGAGCAGACTGCCAACATGAGCGTGGAAGTGCAGGCTGACCTGCAGCGGCAGCTGCGAGAAGCGATGGACCGTCTTGAACAAGCCCCTCGACACGGAGGTTTCTTTGTTAATCTTGGTACGGCTTTGGACAAACTCTTTGGTATACATTAACATCGCATCGAACATTGTGAATGAAGATTTCTGGGCATAGAATGCAATATTGTTTTGGTTCATTCTTGTGTCAGGCGGCGCCAAGATGGTTAAGTCGATTACATGGTGGTCGAGATAGTTCCACAGCCCAAACACCAGTCTCCGTCCCACAAAGCTACGACCTGTCCAGCCGCGACGCCTTTCAGCTCTTCGTCGAAATCGACTCGAACTGCGTCGTCGTGCATCGACGTGACCGTGCATTGAACTGGAGGCATCTTGTGCCGGACTTGAGCAAACAAGCGGGCACCTCCAGGTGCCGATATCCCTTCCGGTGGGTCGTCCGGCCATATCCAGGTGAAAGCATGCGATTGCACGGCCGAGCACAATAATGCCGGCTCCCTGAGCTTCATCAGTCGAGATTAAGAACAAGAAAAGAGCGGAAAAAACCTGGCGGGTCCGACGAAGATCGTGTTGCTCGGTATATCTTTTCGCACGGCAAACAAGCGTTCAGGCATTCCGGTGATGCGGACGTTCTCCCCGATGGTGAAAGACCAGAGACCGTTATGCCTGCCCACTTCCTTGCCGGAAGAGAGAAGCTTCAAGGGACCGGGAGAAGGAGGAATATAGGAAGCTAGCGGAACGTCAAAAGGTTCCCATGCCATGCAACTTGTACCACGCACACAAGAAGTGCTTGAAGTCTGTGCGGTTCTTCTGTCCGATGAAACACAGACCCATGCTTTCGTCTCGTTCCAGTACTTCTGAAGGCATGACTCCGTCATTGGCTATCACCTTGACCTCTGACTTGGTCAAGTGTCCGATGGGGAAAAGGGCGCTCGCAAGTCCGCCCTCGGTTATGGATGATAGATAGTAGGTTTGATCCTTGCGTGGGTCGGCAGATCTGAGCAGTCGGGGCCGCGGTGATGACCAGTCTCTTCGAGCGTAGTGACCTGGGACATGTCTGGTAGGTAGTGCCGTGACAGTGTTGGAGTGGTATAGTACCTGTAGCCAGCCACGGAGGCTTCTTCGGATCTCGAACAGGAAGGTGTTCGAGCAGAGCACCAAACTTGATCTCTCTAATTGCACTGTCAACACCATCGCATTCAGCTATTCGAGGGAAGGCGCACCGATTACACCAAACATCTGGATTCGGGGTGATTCCGTCTTCCCATTGCCTTAACGAAGGCTCGAAGACGCGTGTCCAGTACTCTTTTGACAAATCAACCTGCACAATCAGGAGTTTTCCAAGTGGATTCGCACATAACACACCATTTGGCACGGGATATCGTACGCGCGGCACACTTTCTGCACGTCCGCCCAGTCCTTCTCCCACTCACACCCTTTCTCGGAGGTGCCGTATTCATCTCGCGTATCCCAGTTGCGCATGAATACGGCAGAGAGGTCGTAGTCTTGTTGGGCGAGTAGTTTGGCGCTGACCGACGAGTCTATGCCTCCCGACATACCCACGATCACTATTCAGTTTCAGCGCGTACTTTGTCATTGGCCAGTAGCTGCACCTCGATCGCCTTTCTGTGGAGGAGAAAACGCATTCGTAGAGTACCTTGATGCATATATGCGGCCGAGGCTACGTTTGAGCAGGCTCCGTGCGCAGAACATGGAATTTTTGACAAAGGCGGTCTTTGATCCGATCAGCTTCGGTACCGTTCGCTTCGCGGTTCAACTTCCTTCCAGCAAGCAGCAGTTTGTACGCCAAGTGCTCGAGTCAAATCGCAGATGGTAGATGTAGATAAGTACAAGATGGCAGATCCTCCCTTCTGTCTCATCCCATGGCCTCCCTGAACATCGCCAGCTCGATCCGCGTCTTCCCTACAAAGCCCCATGAGCCACGCACAGTGCCGCTCTCGATTCTGGATGCGCACGTAGGCGATTTCGCACCCGCTGCAGCAGCCTGGGTGTACGAGGCCTCTCCCCAGACCGACCGTGCCTTCGCTGCCGATCGTCTGCGAGAGTCCCTGGCGCGGACGCTGGACGTTTATCCCCAACTCTCTGGACAGTTGGATTTCACGACATACGTACGCGGTGGAGATCACACCACTCGATCGCGCCGAATGCAGGTCTCATATGGTGGTGGACCAGACCCCGGAGTCGAATTCGTAGTCGCGGACTCCGAGTCAGACTTGCAGTCCATCCTCCCGGCCAATGGGCCAACCTCTGCCGAAATGCTAGACAGCTCGACATTCAGCCAGCTTCCCCTCCTGCCCAAAAGCCCTGCCCTTGCATCGCATACTACGGCTGAATTCCAGGGCTTGCCGTGTCTGATCATTCAACTCACACGGTTCCGTTGCGGTGGTGTTATCCTCACTCTCAAAGCGTCTCATCCGTTGGCCGACGCTCAAACACTATGCACTTTCGCCAGGGACTGGGCTGCGATCAACAGAGCAGTCCTGGAAGAGAAACCCGTCCCCGCCTTCTCTCGACCATTTTGTCCCGGCGAATTGGACTCGAGAGCAGTCGCGGATATCGATGCCTTGCATCCGAACCCCAGTGTACTCGAAATCTCGCACCAGCTTCCGGTCCACTGGTACGACTGGTGGGCCCCGTCGTCTGGGGGTCCGGGTTGGGCAGCGTCCTCGGCACGAATTCCAGATCATCTCACCTCCCTGCCACCGGATATGACATTTGAGAATCCAATGCCCTGGAAAGACTGGGATATGACCCTTTCCATCCAAAATGTCATCCTCCAGTTCAGTCGAGAAGAGGTGGACAAGATCTGGGCGGCCGCAGCATCCGACCTCGACGCGGCATCGCCTCGCATCAGCCGCTTGGATGCGTTGCAGGCTCATTTGTGGAGAATACTGATACGCGCTTACGAGCCTACCTCAGACGAAGTTTTCCATATGCATCTGACATTGGGACTGCGAGACCGGCTCCAACCGGCTCTCGGTTCTGATTTCCTCGGCTCGCCAATCGTGCTGGCGAGGGCCAGCGCGTCATCCTCTGATAGCCTCCCATCCCTGGCTCGTAGCATCCGGCGCACTGTTGTGCAGTTCACCCCAGCACGTGCAGCTGCTCTGCTGCACGACATGGCCTATTCGATTGACTCGCGGCGGTTTTGGGGCGGATTTATCGGTCGCCGGAACTTGATCATCACGTCCTGGGTTCGACTGGGCGTTTACGAGATCGACTTTGGGTCGGGACGGCCTCGGTTTGTGCATGCACTCATGCCTTTCATGGAGGGCGTCGTTCAGATCATGGAATCCCCGCAGACCACGGGCGTAGAGGGTCCCTGGTATGCAGATGGTGTGAACATCTCTCTTATGCTCCCTACGGATATCGTTGCAAAGCTCGTGGCACTACGTACATTCGAGGAGTAATCTACATCCCAGCTTCACGCGAGCGGGCGCATACAACATACACCCATCAGACTTTGACGATAGCGGCTACGACCTCGAACTTGATCACCTCTGGCGGACTGGACAGCAGCGTGTCGGCATTGGCGAAGAGTGCGGCAGCGACCTTGCCGTTGAGGTGGGCCTCGCGACCAGCATCGTCGGCGAAGAAATCGATGATCGCGAAAGTGTTCCTGCCCGGAAACTCGACTGCGTACCACACCGGTGTGAATTCTTCAGCCTCCACAAGCGGGACCGCACTCTGCCGACCTGTAAGCATGGGGCGTATCGACCGGCCTGAGCTTACCTTGAGGAACGTTCTGACGTCATCGACCTTCTCGGGCTTCGCGTGGATGAAGACGCGCAGGCCGACGCCCAACCCTGCAGTCCGCTCCTTGCTGTTCCCTACGACCACCTTATTTGCGAGCACAGCCAGGTGCGCGATCTGCGGGTCCGACACGAGAAGCGTCGGCGCATTGGCCGCCAGCGCCTGCGCGGCCACGCCCTTCAGATGCGCGCCGCGCCCAGCTTCCGTGTGGAAGGTGTTGAAGATCGCGTAGGTCGGCGTCGTGTGGCCGGTGTACTTGACGCCGAACCACTGGATGGTCTCGTGCTCGGCTTGGATGAGATCGTAGCCGGCGCCCAGGAGGCTAGCAACGTCGAGCGCCTTGTCGTCTTTGGCGACCAGTGGTGCAAACAGCGCGAGCGAGACTGGTCACAAGACGCGTCAGTCTAGACGGCCGGCTTGGACGACGGCGTACCTTGGCTGGCGGGCATGGTAACTGGTGAATTGGGGTTCGACAGTTGAATCTGACTGGGGCGTTTATGTATCTATACTCCGGCCTCCAAATCTAGGGATCCAGATTCCGCAATGTGCTCTCACATCTCTGTGACGACTCTGACTTCTCGGTCACACCGCGCGTCATTGCTGCGCAGCATTATGCTGTGGTCTGCCTTCTGCCGCGCCCTGCGGATGTTCGCCTGATCCTGCGAGTCATGGACGTGGTGCGGGCGCTCAACAGGCGCAATATCAATCGGTCGTCCAATGACGTCACACCATGTGATCGTGGTGCTCCTTCCTCGGTGCAGCCCATCAAAGTACAGTCCAATAAGCAGGATACATAATCTACATTCAGTAGTAACCGTCTGTTGTGCAAGAAGATAGAAGGGGGAGTCAATAAAGGTTAACCCTGCAGATGCAAGCCGTGGTCAATATATCGATACAATTAGCAGTTTGTCTGACTGGTCCATCATCCACTCAATCATTCCTCGTCCTTGTCTTTCCCCCTCGGTTGCGAGGAGGACGACCGCTTCTGCTTTCGCAAGACTTTCGGGCGTTGGAATAACGAGACATCGCCTTCGGCATCGTTGATCCGTCCTGCCCGCCCAGGAGGCAACGTCCGCCTCCTCGTGACGGTCGCATTCGCACTTTCGTCTCCCACAGCCTCGTCCACAGGCGAGAGACTGGCCTCGACCGTCCGTCCAGAATCTGTCGAATCTTGCGATAGGTTTCAGCCCACACATGCGATGACTCTGACGACACACCGATCGTGGTCTTCCTCCTTGCCATCGGCGGGGACGCTTTTCCGACGACCTTCCACGATCCCCCGACTGCGATGGGATCGTCGTCGTCGTCCCAAGTCAACGGCGAGCTCGGGTCGTGGTTGGGAGGAGGAGGGGGAACATCCACCATGAACCAGTCCTGTTGTGCAATGAGGAATTCGAGGACTCGTTGGCTCAGCGCATGCTCAGGCGGTGACATTTCATGCTCGGGATGGGATATTAGTCCCGGCCGGAAAATCACTGCAAGGTCTGCGGCACTTCAGCTATTTTTGTCCGTCCATAAATGATGCACACTTGCTGGATGCAGTCATCAAATTCTTGTCCGACTTGCGCGCAAAGACCGATAATAAGTCCAGCACATAGAGCAAGAGATACTGGTTGGCGCGGGGCATGGATCGAATGAGTCGCTTGTACGTAGCGATGACTTCGTCCTGGTTGACTGGCTCCTGCGCTGAACGACGCATGTGTGAGCTCCAAGAACAAAAGCTTCCGAGCTTCTGTTACTCACACAAAACATCTCGAACCTACTCACCACTCGTCAGTAGCGCCCGAATCGTGTATCGAACAACGTACAGCGTGATACATATCGTGAGGGATGACAGGTTCCTAGTGCCGATGTCAGCTAGCTCGCCAGTCAAGCGCACATGGTAAACGCGCACAGGCATCTGGGTCAGATATCTCCGGAAGACACTCGCAACATCGTGTGTCGTATACGATTCGTTCTTCCAGTCCAGTGACTTGCCGTACTAGGGGGGCTCAGGTCTTGCGCTGGAGCGCGGGCGGCTGCATTGCGTCGACGCACCTTGGGAGGCGTTTCGAATAGGGCTTGCAGCTCCCTCATGCGCTTATTAGATCCGTTCACGCGAAACGTTCCTGGTACTTCGGTCGCTGTGGAGCTCAGAATCACTCCTCGGTCCCTGCATCTCTCAATTGATCCCACGAACCGTTCTCCTTGAGCCACAGCCCGCTGCGAAAGACTTTGAGGATTGCCCGCACCCGAAAAAGCAGGAGAGCGCCGACGCACCATTTGGCAACCACGACGGGGATGTACCCCCAGACATACAAGTTCCCCTGCGCATTCGCCGTCGAGATCTGCACGGACGCATATTTTAGGCTCTCCCTCAACGGCTTTCCAAAGACCGTGTGCACTGTGTCGTCTGACCAGGCTCAAACCGTCAGCCCGCATCCCACCAGCGCCAACACCACCACCAACGCACCCTGGTTGTACTCCTTGATCTTCTGCGGGGATGTGAAGGCCGCCCACCACGCCTTGAGATTGGCCTTCGTCGGTGCTTGGTCCGCTGCCATTCCCGGGTTGCTGCCCAGACCGGCTCCGAGACCCGACAGTCCAAGGTTCGAATGGCGAGGACCAGAATCACGGTGTGGGGTAGCAGGTGCGTCAGGCTGGGGCGGTAGAGACAGGCGATGGTCGTGCAAGTCGAGAGTCTGGGATTTCTTCTTCGAAAAGGGCAAAAAACGGCGGAGGCGAGGCGCCAGTTGAGAAATGGGTGCTGTGGTTTAGTTCCGTTGCGAGCGCGTAGGGACAAGTGAAGCAGTTTCAGGGGCACGTGTTTTGACATTTAGGCGATGACCTCACCACGTATGATCTCCGTTCGGTCAATACTCCTTTTGGCCTGAACGTGCCGTGATTACTGGAAACTGGGACAAATTCGACATACATGACAATTACAATTACATAGACGACGATACATTAGAGATAGAGAGAGAGAGAAATCCGCAGTCACATTCAGCCAGAGCACATCAAACAAGCTTCCTTGTTTTCCATAGCACATAGCATCTTCGCCTCTTCTAGCTCACGCTCCCTCAGCTTTTTGAGGGAAGCAGCAAACTCGGGATCCTCGGAAGCCATTTTCGCGAGCATGGCATCAGCGTCGGCCTGCTCCGGGCTGGATTCAGACAAAGGCGCTGTCGCCGGTAATTCTGGCTTGACAACCGCAACAATCGGCGCCCGCTCCCGCATTGGAGTGGCCGGCGAGTGATCTCTCGACGAGGACGAGGACGAGGATGAGGACGAAGATGACGGGGTGAGCGATGGGACGGCAGTCGCAGCAGGCACAGAAACTTGAGCCGTCCCTGTATGCTTAGCAGCAGCTGCCGCGGCATTCTGCTCCTTGACCTTGTTGAGAACAGTCTGGTCTACAGTGAACTGGATCGCAGCCGAGGCAGGCTGGGTGCGCAGGTAGTACATCCCCGTTTTCAGGCCTCGCTTCCAGCCGTAAAAGTGCATGCTCGTCAACTGGCCCATGGTCGGCGCGGACAGATGCACATTCAGACTCTGGCTCTGGCAGATGAAGGCCCCGCGGTCAGCAGCGAGCTCGAGGACCTTCTTCTGGCTGATTTCCCAGACGGTCTTGTAGATGGCCTTCACGTCGTCCGGAATGCCGGGAATGTTCTGCACCGATCCCCGGTGCGCGATGAGGATGTTCTTCATATCGTCATCCCACAAGCCTCGGTCAACGAGCTCCCGGAGCAGATGGGGGTTCACCACCTGGAACTCGCCAGACAGAACACGGCGCGTGTAGATGTTGCTCGTATATGGCTCGAAGCACTCGTTGTTGCCCAGAATCTGGCTGGTCGACGCAGTCGGCATCGGCGCAGTCAGCAGCGAATTCCGCAGCCCGTGCTTGGCGATCTTCGCCTTGAGCCCCGCCCAGTCCCACAGCGATGAAGGCGTCACACCCCACATGTCATACTGCAGCTCGCCCTTGGACGCAGGACTGCCCTCATACGTCTCGTACGGCCCTTCTCGCTCCGCCAACTCGCAGCTGGCTTCCAAAGCACCGTGGTAGATGGTTTCGAAGATCTGCAGGTTGAGCGCCTTGGCCTCGGGCGAGTCGAACGGCATCCGGAGTAAAAGGAACACATCCGCCAGACCTTGCACACCGACACCGATCGGCCGGTGGCGCATGTTCGACTTGCGAGTTTCGGGGATAGGGTAGTAGTTGATATCGATAATCCGGTTCAGGTTAGATGCAACCACCTTCGATATATCGTGCAGCCGCTGGAAGTCGTATTTGCCATTCGAGATGAAGCTGGGCAGCGCGATGGATGCAAGGTTGCAGACAGCCGTCTCATCCGCAGCAGAGTACTCGATAATCTCCGTGCACAGATTCGATGACTTGATGGTACCCAGGTTCTTCTGGTTCGACTTGGCTGGAGGGCGATCAGCAGTTGAGCAACTTGTGAGACGAAAGAAACGCACAGTTGGCATGATCCTTGTACACCATGAACGGGCCACCCGTCTCAACTTGAGCCTCCAGAATCGCGTACCACAGTTTCTGCGCAGGGATGGTCTTCCTAGCCCGTCCTTCCCGCTCATATCTCTCGTACAGAACCTCGAACTCCTCGCTATGCACCTCATGCAAGCCAGGGGCCTCGTTCGGGCAAAACAGCGACCACTCCCCGTTCTCCTCCACGCGCTTCATGAACAGATTGGGGACCCACAGTGCCAGAAAGAGGTCGCGGGCACGCATCTGCTCCTTGCCGTGGTTCTTGCGCAGGTCGATGAACTCGAAGATGTCGGCGTGCCATGGCTCGAGGTAGATCGCGAATGCACCAGGGCGCTTGTTGCCGCCTTGATCCACGTATCGAGCCGTCGCGTCAAAGGCGCGGAGCATAGGCACGATCCCGTTGGAGTAGCCGTTGGTACCAGCAATGTAAGAACTGCAAGATAATGAGCATATGGTCTATGAGACCGGGTTCTATGCATACCCAGTGGCCCGAATGTTGTGAATGCTCAGACCAATTCCACCAGCACTCTTGCTGATCATCGCGCAGCTCTTCAGGGTATCATAAATTCCCTCGATCGAATCTTCTTTCATACACACAAGGAAGCACGAGCTGAGCTGTGCCTGAGGGGTACCGGCGTTGAAGAGAGTCGGCGTCGCATGGGTGAAGTATCGTTGAGACATCAGGTTGTACGTCTCCAGTACTCGTTCGAGGTTAGAGCCGTGGATGCCAACGGCGACTCGCATAATGAGGTGCTGAGGACGTTCGACAACACGTCCATCGAGGCGAAGAAGATATGAACGTTCAAGCGTCTTGAAGCCAAAGCTACGAATGGAGTTTAGATCTAGTCACAGTCATCGAGCAGAACACGCACTAGTTGTAGCTGAAGTCGCGATTGTGTATCACGGCGGCATCTAGTGTCGCCGCATGCTCCATCACAACATCATACGTGTCTTTCGCGATGAGTGATGCAGCTCGCCCAGTCTTGGGGTTCACTATAGGGTGTAAAACGAGCCAAAAAGACACGAGAATAAACAACAGACCATAGTTATACAACGCAGAGATGACCTGCGAGAAGCTCTTCTTGGTCTCCTTGTGCAGATTACTGATCGCGATACGCGCTGCGAGGATCGCGTAATCGGGATGCTTGGTGGTAAGGTATGCCGCAGTCTCAGCAGCGAGATTCTGTAAAGTGACAACATGAGCGGAACGCAATCAACGCGCGTTTGCGTCACGTACATCGAGCTCCATTGTTGTTATCCCATTATACACACCAGCGACGACCTTCTGGGTCACTCTAGTGGCAGATCAGACGCGTCTCAATGGTGGCAAAACGCGTCGCGTACTCCACGGGGTTTACATAGTTGTGATCCAACCCGTAAATGAGCTTCTCGATCCGACTGGTGATCTGGAGGTGGCTGGTGAGCAAGTTGTGCGCGGCCGAGACAACCCGAGCACTCTACCTTGTCGAAAAACACTTTCTCCTTGCGGCTGGAGAGAGAAGAATGAGTTAGACACGGATAGACACGCGTCGCACGCGTCTTGGCACCACATACCCGTCTAAAACGAGAGACGTGACAGTGAGTACATGCTCGAAGCTAGTGGTGAGGACGCGTGCTCACCTCGTTTGAATACATAGGCCATGGCGAGGATAGGAGAGGTGGGGACGGCGGAAAGTAGAAGTGGGGGTGTGGTGGTGGAAGGGAAGGGGCGATGGTGTATTGCAAAACGCGTGATCGCTCACTAATATTGAGCACTGCCACTCGTTGCATTCAACAAAGTCATTTGGCAGCCAAACACAAGTCCACTCTGTTATCTCTCTGACTTGACTTGCCAGATCGAGCTGCTCGCGATGTGAGTCAATCTGATTTTACCGTCTGAGCATACAAATGCACGCTTGGCAATTTTCTCACTCACCGGCACCGCGCACGTAAATGCGCGCACGATGTCACGTCCACGTGATCGTGACGGATCTAGTCGAAATACACTTGATACATAGTTTACAAGCAATTACAAAGGCTACTTAGACGCCTTTAATGCCCAAATCCTCAGCAAGAATGACTGCTGCCTTCTCTCCAACAACCAACGCGCTGTTGTATGTGTTAGACCCCACATTGGTCGGGGCGATGCTCAGATCCGCGACTTTGAGATTCTTGACGCCATAAACGTTCAACCGCGCGTCAACCACACCGTTCTGCTCCCGGGGTTTCATGGCACATGTGCCCAGCGAGTGCCAGGTCGTGTTCACTGAGCACAAGGTCAGCTGCGGGGCCAAGGCGGACAAATAAGCCTGAGACCCACCGAACGCGCGATGGAAGTTGTCGATGGCAACATCGTCTTCGGCTGAGTAGACGATGTCGGGTGCGTCCATCGGCACTGGCCCCGTGGCCCTGACACAGGCTGCAGGGCTGTCGGGTGCGAAATGGGGATGATCGGGAGCAAATTCGCCTCGGTACTGGGCCATGCGACGAGAGATCTCTCGCGACCACTTGTACGACCACCGGAGCACCGCCACGTCTTCATCGCTTAGAGAGGGGTCAGCTGATACTCAGGTGAGCATGGGATGATGATGGCTCACCGATCGAGGAAACCAGGTTCCACTCCCAAAGCAGCGTACGGGTCGGACGAGGTGATGTGCGTTCTACCAGTGGAGGACGGGTATTCCTAGCATCAATAAGTAAAGGGAGACATCCAAGAGGTGCGGACACTCACCGTGTAGTAGCCCACTACGTAAAATTTGCCCTTGGCGCTGGGATTACCTCCGCAGTACCCAGCAAGCGCGCCGATCCACATGACTGCTCAACATCAGCAACGTTCCAAGCCGAGAATCGGAGACTGACCAGGCTTATCGAGCCTGTTGGCAAAGAAATCCGCCCAGCGTTTGGCGAACGACGGGCCAATCGCCTTCAGGTCCTCCGCGTTTGGCCGAATCTTGATGCCCGCTTCGATGCCACTGCAAATCGTGGTTAATGAGAACGTACTAGAACAGCCGACGAGACCGAGACGAACTTGTGGGCCATCATTCCCTTTCCGTCCTTGAGAAAGCGTTCCTCAAATGGCTTGATGTCCTCCTCCGACCCATGGAAAATCTTGTCCATCGTGATCTCATCGTCGTGCGTGTGATATGGATTGAGCAGCAGATTGTGGTCTGCTGCGTATCAGCTTCGGGTTCGATCGGGGACGCGCGGGACGTGATCACCATTGTAATTCTCCCCGACACCAGGAAGCGGGACGAGCTCTTTGATGTCGAGTGACTGGAGAAGCTGGGGGGCGCCGATACCCGACCTTCCACATGTCACCACGCCATCCACATGCCAGTGGAAGAGAACTTACCGCTCTAAAATAGCCGGTGAGCCGAACGCCCCACCGCTTAGCACGATCAATGCCCCATAAACGGGGACAGCGGTGTTGGCATTGGGATCCTCTGGGTCATGACTGATGTACTCCACGCCAACGGCTCGGTCATCTCTGCTGGCTGGATCAGATCGCAAGGTCACACGCCCAGTGGAAACCCACTCGAAAATAACACGTTTGACACGACAATGCACGCGAGTCTCGAGGTTCTTGTTGTCCGATTGGTTGTAGATGTAGTGGTGGGCAGTGTCGGATCGGTGGCCGGTTTCCGACGACATGTACCGATTCCAGCGCTGCACCGGCGTCGGCGGGGAAGAATAGAACACAGAAGGCACGCTACTCACACTGTACTTGTTGATCGACTCCGCCGTGAAATCGTTACAGTCCTCGGTCGGGCCCCGTTCTTTGTCACGCGAAGTCGCCACAGACAGAAATTGAGTTGCAACGTTCGTGTGCTGCGAAGTCGATATCTTGATAGGCCCGGAAGTGCCGTGGTTTTTCGCATTGGGTGCCTCGAACGTCTCAGCCTGCAATTGGCTCAGCCTCAGTGCCCTCGTTATCAAATGGCTCCGCACCTTGTTGGATAACGGGATCAAGTCTTCTGCGCCCCAACCAGGATTGTCCAAAGCCTTCCAGTCTTCGTAATCCGAAGGCGACGCGCGAGTGTACATCATAACTGCACCCTGTTTGAGCGGACAGTCGTCGCTGTCGATGACCAAATGACATACAATTCACAGCACTCCCGCCACCCATCCCCTTCCCAGCCGGAATGATGCATGGGCGGTTGCGCAGCGCCTTGCTCGGCTTGGTAGTGTGGAATGTGAAGGTGTCCCCGCCGGAGGCCATGTTGGCGAAGTATCGGCCAGGCTGTGTGTGCGTCTTGAGATCTCTCGTATGCTTTCCCGCCTCCAAGATCTAGGGGGGGCATGTGAGCTGCCTGCGACATCGGCATCGACAGCAAGAACAGACCAGGATCTTCAGGCTAGGATCGGCCGCTGCGAGGCGACCAGCGACGACGCATCCAGTCGTCCCACCTGGAATCGATACTTGGCTTCCAAGATTACGGCAGGTCAATGGGCCACATACCACCGGCAAAGATGATATCGTAGGGAGCCATACCAGATTGCTGGGAATATGGGGGGGATGAGAGGACACGAGAGCCAGGAGTGACGCGTTTTAAACGATATGAAATCATAATCTCGTGTCCCGATGAGATAATCGGGCCGTGCCGCCTGTCAGAAACTGTGAGGGTTAAACCCCAGAATCACCGCGCTCATTTCCCTGGTGCGAAAGATACCAGACAGAATGACAATCTGCCGTAGCATCCGCCGGTCGGATCGTCGAAGGTTGTGTACACATAGAAATAGTCCGAAGAAGAGGTGATTTGACCGGTACGTGAGCCGCATACGTCGACCAGAACCGAGCGCGGCGAACCGGAGCAGAGGGGAGAGGAACCCGGAAATTATCCCGGACATAACGGCGACCAGACGCGAGACGAAGCTAAACACATCCCCAAGCGTTCCAAAGACGCGCTCAGGAGCAGGCACTGGAGTCGCAGTTGGGGAGCCAGCTCCAAACCTCGAACATTGGATTTAAGGGCACCCGAAGCTGACCCTTGTTCAGCGCTCGCTGAAGAAGGGATCCTACCTGCCATTACCGGAAGAGGCATATCCAAGAGTCTAGCCCGAATATCTCCCTGCTTCTGGATTGAGATACCGAGGTTGTGAGAATCAGTCCAATCCACGCGAAGACTCGGAGACGACAAAACTGGGCCGCACTAAGTCCTATCCACCCCTCAGTGATGCAGTATGGCACGTGGTATGGATCAGCCGGTCCGCGACACATGACCAACCACGTGCAGAGGGCATCATTCGAGGCGGCAATCGCCGCGATGGAAATTGCAGATAGATTGAGACTCTTCTCGATTCTGAGTCAGCCGTAAATCACTTATCGCCTGAGGACTGTGCACTGCAAACCGAGTCTACGCAGGCTACCTTTGGGTGCCGTCATTGGTTTCTCTCCCCGGCTCTAAACGCAGATCCGTGGAGCCTAGTGGGTCCGAATAAAATGTGCACAAGTCTGTAAGGTCCGGCGAGCAGTATTCTAATATTTTGAATTGGATTTTATCTGCTCAGATAAACTCAGACGCTCACAGATGCAGTACGCACGCGGAAGTCGGATTGTTGGCCTATCAACTCTCCAATGCGAGGTCCGCGAAATGAAATCACACCAGGTCGCACCTCGAAGCGATCTGCAATTTGGAAGTATGAAGGCGCTCTTGCTTAATAGTATATATTAACAGAACAAAGATTGACCGCCGAGTACTTTGAATCATGAACCAGTGCTTGAGATGACCTGGTTTCTCCGGGCACCATGGGTGTGTAGTTCGCAATTTTTATGCTATACGTAGCAAAAGACTGAGTGCTGTTGAAGATAATAAGTGATGAAGGGCCCCGCGCGGGCGCGGCCGGGTTTGGCTGGGGGAAAACAAGCGCAGAAAGTCTCGATAAGATCCTTGACCAGGGCCACACCGCAAAGTGCTACCTCCCGGCCCCGGGCGTCCAGAATCATGATCGTGTTGGTCTCATCAACTGCATGCCAGAGTTGGAATAGACCGGCTCACGGGGGGAACCTCGGCACCATCTGCATCTCATGAGAAAGCTGATGAACTGGTCAACCGGATCCAGAACAGCTTTGGAATGCAAACAAGACAAGACCGCGCATGTCCATAAGCTGTCGATATCAACCGCGAGGCCAATTTGCACACCAGTTGGGCCGTTCGCCGCACAGAGACCGCATCCATTGACAGACTCTGCGGAAAGCATCATGAAACACTGAAAAGATCAGCATGAGCGCCTAAGGCAGACAAGCGAGATCTCGACCACGGGAGAGGCCATAGAGCGATTGTACCAAGAAAAGAATGATCAGAACTGAGTATTCCTGTTCCTTGTTGCCATGTGCGTTGGGCCAGCGAGATTGAATATCACAACGCCCCTCGTTCGTCTAGTCAGATACAATACTACGGCCGGATCCAGACACGAGACTGCGCAAGATGAGGTACTCCATAAATGATTTGAGACATTGGAGAAGGGCCGACAGGTGCCCAGTCTATGACTAAAAGTGCACCTCTTCCGGATGGAAGGAACTTGCGGGGAAAGGGTTTGATGGAAGAATATCACCCCGTGAGACATGTTCGACCGACCATTAGAAGATATCCCAAAGACGGATCGAATGAAGGTAAGTTACGTACTGGTGATATGATATCCCCACAAGGCTTCCTTTCCGTTCTGTCAAATTGATCGATCCAAGCTTCTCGCTCTTTTTCTCGTAGACAAGTTTCAAGCCGAGGTGAGAGCAGTCCGATCATAGATGTCTACTCTGCAGCTCTTTCGGCGAATCCGACCACCCATCTGAACACGAGGAGTGCGCGTGTAACTCCAGATCGGTATAAGACTCATGCTTATTGGAGAGCCTCTGGAAACAAATCTGAAGACACACATCGGGCCCTCTTGTCCTAAGCACTAGAATGCAACCTTTGGAAGAATCTCTGGCTGATCTCCAGCTGTCCTCTGACTTCTCGCTCCTATTCTCCTCGAGCGATTATAATTTCACGTCAGTAAATCCACCAGCACCCACAACACGGGTAGCATTCTGACATAACAATTTAGGGATGAGACTGTGCCACCTCGTCCACCACATGAAGGTACTTTTCACCACGAGATGTCTCAAGCCCCTGCTGCCTCGCCGTGGTCTGGCTCGCACGCACCCGGCGGGTCGCCATCTTCCCATCAAGATGGCACCTCTTTCTACCACGGCGACGCACCGTACAACCATGTCGACCCATCTTTCCACCCCGTCAATTCATGGGTTGGCATTCCGCCGCTTGAACTGCAGCTGCAGACTTTCGAGGGAATCACCGTGACATCGTTCGATAGCTCTCCCCAGCGTAGCACGTTCGTCACGGCCAACTCATCTGACTATGACCAGCCTCCGGGGGCCGATAAGGCTCTGATTGGCGCCGAGTCGCCGCACACTGAGTTCAGCGGAGTGAGTCCCGCTGGCAGTACAAGCTCGAGTCTCCTTCCGTACGGCAGCCCCGCGACTTTCGAGTCCGACACCGAGGCCGCGCACAACGGCTGGAACACGAACCTCTTGTATCCACCGGTCCATCGCCGACGCGGCTCGAATGCATCCAGCAACGCATCCTCGATCTCGCTCGAGAGCACCCAGAGTCACCCCCACCGCGCCGCTGGTTCGTCAAGCGCTGTGTCGACCGAGGCTTTGCCAAACAGGTTGTTTCCAGTGAACACATCTGCTGCAGCCCAGAGAGCGTCGACAGCTCGGCGCGTGCGGGATGCCATCCACGCATGCCAGCTGTGCTCGGGCACGTTCACCGCCCTGAATGGTCTCAAAAGTACGTCCCACCGCTCTCTTTCTCTCTCTCGCTCGCTTGGCCACCCGCTCATTGGTGCGAGGCAGATCATATGTACAGGCACTTCAATGTTCGTCCCTTCAGTTGCACATTTTGCGGAGACAGTTTCAGGACCAAGGCCACTCAGCAACGGCACACTAGAACGAAGCATCTGGCTAATATTTGAAACAGTTTTTGACCTCCATCTTTGCCTCTTGTCGCTTATAATTTGCAGCTATATACGTATTTATTATACTTGTGTCCGTTTATGCCAATCGTCTCTGGCTCCTTATTTGTACTGCGCTGATAATTCCCGTCTATAGACCCGCTGTATTATCTCTGTTAAATGCTTGAATTCAAATCGATCATACGTAAAGATACATTATCGAGACCGTAGCATTTCGAAGATTAGAGAGGAAGCAGGTGTCGCAGTAGTGGAAGCACATGTACATTGGAAAGGATGGGGAGATCGTGAACTATGTAAAGATGGAGGGAGATAGGGTGTATATACATGCAAGGCGAGCATGTGCAAAGCGGGCTAGGAAAGGTAGATCAAGCGGGGGGTAAAGAGTAAAGACAGTATAATGCTGCGATTCAGAGGAAGGGATCCTCTTCGATTGTCGGTATGGCCGAAGTGCGTTTCTCTGAGGTAGAGGATGACGCAACACGCCGGCTTTGTCGCCCTCTAGCAGTGGACGAGCTCCGACGGCCCTTATCTTTCGGCGGGCTGGAAGCCCCAGCCTTGCGCCGCACACCAAACAATAGCTTCCGCACGCCGCGTTCATCAGGTTCGAAGTCCGGATGCTCGGGCGGCAGCATGGAGTTCGGATTCGGGCCTTCGGCTGCAGCTTTGAGATGCGGATTAGGGAATTCCTTGCGCACACCACGACTAGAACGAGAGGTCAATACGCATAGATCAAGCCTGCGACATTGACAACGCACAAAACAAATGCCATTGTCGCCTTTTCATCTTGAGGGGCCAATATCGAGTCGGGCCCGTTCACGAAGACTTCATCGTCGGGGCCCAACGGGGAGGCAAGGAATGGATTTTCGGGAGAATCGCGAGAAGGGCGGGAGCAGCCAGCTGCTGGTTTGGAGGGCGGAGTCTTCGGCGGAGAAGTAGCACTACTGCACCCAGACTGAGGTGCAGAGACCGCTGCCACCGCAGCTTTGGCGACCGGCTTGCGGTGCGAGGGTGGAGGCGAGACGAGCCCTTGAGACGACTGTGTTTGCTGCTGAGCTCGTGTTCGTGGCTGGCTCTGCTGCAGCTTTCGGTAGAGAAGAGGAGCTGAGACGCGTTTGGTCGTCGATGGGGTAGTCGCGGTCTTTCTGGTGACTTTGTTGGCAGAAAGCCAGAACGCCTCCTCGTCTTCCGCCTCTTTGACCGCAGCAGCTTCATCGATCTCGACGTCAGAGGATTCAGGTTCTTCTTCCTCGCTGTCATCGCTGTGTTTGGATCCGCCCCGTTTTCGTTTGTGACGCGTGCGCGGAGGAGTTGGGAGGGATGCCACCGATGCAGAACGCTTGAGCGGGCGGCGCGGAGACACAGGCAAAGCGATGGGGGAAGAGTCGAGCATGCTAGAAGCGAAGGAAAGGTATCACTGTTTCAAGCGCTGCAGCCTTAAATGGAGGAGAACAAGCCGCCGCGATCCATTGTCTAACTCGACCAAACATGAACAACACAGCCACCGACCTCTTTTGATTAGACCACCTATTCAAATTCTACTAGATACAACAAGGGAGACGTATTACAGCCACTCGACCGTCTGCGCACAAGTGAGAATCAGATTCGAATTCGAGATGAGGACTCACAGCGGGCGGCTTTGACGAGATATCGTAAGTGACACGATTGATCCCAGACACCTCATTGGTAATGCGGGAAGATATCCGTCGCAGAACATCAGCAGGGAAGATATACCTGAGAACAATAAGAGAAATTTCGCAAGGTCAAAGCTCTCATACCAATCCGCAGTCATGAAATCTTCGGTCTGAACAGCCCGGAGCGCAATGACCTGCTCGTAGGTCCGGCTGTCACCCATCACACCGACGGCCTTGACAGGAAGAAGGACAGCAAACGCTTGGGAAATCTGGTCATACAAACCCGCCTTGCGGATTTCTTCGATGTAGATGCTATCAGCCAGTTGCAGGATTTTGACCTGTTCCCGATTCACGGGACCAAGAATTCGGATGGCCAAACCGGGGCCAGGGAAAGGATGCCGCCCAACCAAGGGTGCGGGGATCGACAAAAGACGACCGAGCGCTCGGACCTCGTCTTTGAAAAGCTCCCGAAGAGGCTCGATAAGCTTCAGTTTCATATCTTTAAGCAGGCCCCCGACGTTGTGGTGAGTTTTAATGGTAGCACTAGGGCCCTTGAAGCTGATGCTCTCAATAACATCAGGATAGAGCGTTCCTTGGAGCAACCATTCGACACGGCCCTTGGCCGCTGCACCAGACTTGGTCTCCGCCTCAGCTTCAGCCTCGATCTTGGCCGCCTCGGCTTCGAACACGTTGATGAACGTGTTGCCGATGATCTTGCGCTTTTGCTCAGGGTCCTCGATCCCTTCGAGTCGAGACAAGAAGAGATCTGACGCGTCGACGACGGTGAGGTTGACCCCCAGATTTTGATTCAGCATCTCGTTGACTTGGTTTGCTTCGTTCAGCCGTAAGACACCGTTGTCGACCATGATAGCATGGAATCTGGGAAAGCATGAATGACCGTTGAGCATAATGGCATGCTATGACTCGCCGATCCCCGATGGCTTCATGCATGAGCTTCGCAGCAACAGTGCTGTCGACACCTCCACTGACAGCACCGATAACGCGACCAGTGGGCCCACAGATGTCACGAATGCGTGCAATCTCCTTGCCGATGAATTCTTCCTGGAGAACGTCAGATAACGCGCAATGGGCAACACGCCACTCTACCATGGTCCAGTGCGGCTGACATCCACAGATGTTGAGGATGAAACGACCAATGACTTCCTTGCCGCGAGGGGAGTGGGTCACTTCGGGGTGGAACTGGATGCCGTACAAAGGCTTCGTGTTGTGTGCCAGTGCAGCGAAAGGGGCAGTTTCTGTGAAACCGATGACATGGAAATCGGGGGGAGGTGCAGAGAGTTGATCTCCATGAGACATCCAGACCTTTGAGAAGAAATGATGAGGATAGTAACCAGTGAGAGCCACGGCCAACGCACTTGCATCTCGTCTCCCAGTCCCTCAAACAGGGAGTCCACCGTCGCCGCGTTCCCGCCTCCGATCTTCTTCAGCTTGATTTGGGCGAATCCGTACTCTCGGTGGTCGCATTTCGTCACAGAGCCCTTGAGTTGCCAGGCGATTTCCTACCGACGGACGGTGGTAACGTTATCTCGAGCGGAATAGGGCCCCAAGCTAACCTGCAGACCGTAGCAGATACCAAGAATAGGAACACCGAGATCGAAGATGGCAGGGTCGACATGAGGCGAGTCCTTATCGTACACGGAGTAAGGCGACCCAGAGAGGATGATCCCTAGGTATATGAGTATCACCTGCGCTCAGCTTGGTCGGGTCACACACCTTTCGGTTTGAACTTGACATCCGCGATCTTCGTCGTGCATGGCATAAGCTCCGCATATACCTTGTGTTCGCGGCATCGTCGGGTGATCAAATGGCTGTACTAGGATGCACATGAACCAGTCTGCATACACACCCGTTCTGGGAGAACGAACCTGAGAGCCGAAATCGAGGATAAGAATAGTATCGAATTGGTCGTGGATCTCAGCCATCTAGGTTTGGAAAGTCAGCTCTGATGTCAGCGAGCTCTAAACGCGGTTTTTACTTGGGCGAGTGCTGGTGATGGTCCAAAAATTTGGATGCTATATCGGGAGATGACTCTGATCGGGCAAGCACGGGCAAACAGCTTGTGATCGAAGTCGCTATTTCTCGCTTGGACCAGCCTGTCAGTAATGCTTCTAAACGCTCAATACATAAATCACTCGATGTAATCCAAGCCAAAACAGACTTTATTTCGTGTAAAATGGGACGAAAAAGTGTAAGCGGTACGCTAAGAAGCACCGAATCAAGAAGTAGGCAGTCTAGGTTATTCAGCAGCCGGAGGTCCTGATGATCTGACATTTGGAAGCGCCTGAAAGACAATGAATCATTCGGCGGGAATTATCCATTATCTTTGCATGACAATTCTCCGTCAAGAAAGGACGGAAAGGCGTGATCTATCTGAACCGGCTTCGAAGTTATCATGAGCGACAAGCTTCCATCGGGGCTTTTTAACTCAGTATGTTGCAAAATAGACGAACAGAACTGGGAGAGTGCGCCGGATATGAACGTTTGAACCTTCGCGTGCACCTGTATCTAGGAAGGTGACGGTGATAGATGGGACCTGTCCCTTCCGCCGACTGACCGGCAAGGGGCGACCCTGCAGAAGGATGGATGGCGGGACGCAAATTTAGCCTGTCTTGTCAGCACCACCCACGCACAAAGCCGGCTGTTTTCATCCAGCCTTCGTTCCCTGGGACGATTATGGAAAACAATGGTGACAAATGAGGAATAAGATTATCAGTGGCAGTGTTTGTACGGCATCTCTTTGCTCTACACCACCACTACCCACGAGGCGCGTCTGGGAGTCGGCGGTGCTCGGTGTCACCGGTCCTTTGTACATATTATACATATGTCTAGGGTGACGAGTCGTGTCTACGCGGACGCTAACGCTGTCCGAGGCAAAGCGTGGTACGAATACAACAAGTTTCGCATCGAATGGAGTTCGCCTGATCGGTACGAGATTGTGAGACGGTTGGGGGGAGGCAGATACTCGGAGGTGCGTCCAAGTCCACACCATTCAATCTTCCACGCTTCATAACTGCTTCTCTCTGCGTCTCAGGTGTTCGAGGGCGTGGATACCGTCAACAACGAGCGATGTGTAATAAAGGTGTTGAAGCCCGTCGCCGGGCATAAAATCAAGCGCGAAATCAAGGTGCTGCGCAACCTGGCCGGAGCTCCCAACTGCATTGCGCTGCTTGATGTCGTCCGAGATCGTGCGTTGCCTAGGACTCGACTCAGCCATGTGTCTCATGTCATCACCACGCAGCATCGAAAACGTATCACAGCCTGATCACGGAATATGTGAACAGCACGGAGTGGGGGCAGCTCTATCAACATCTTAACGACGCAGACATACGGCACTATATGTTCCAGCTTCTCACCGCTCTCGACTTTGTCCATTCTCATGGCGTTATTCATCGTGATGTCAAGCCAGGGAACGTGATGATAGACCATCAACGTCGCGAGGTTCGTGCGGGGCATTTCTGCGACGACGCTTCCGGGCTTATTCGCGTTGCAGTTGCGGCTGATTGACTGGGGCCTGGCCGAGTTCTACCACCCCAACACGGAGTAAGGGTCTTCTGCGACTACTCGAGCTTATCTGAACGACTGTCTCAGATTGCACACGCGGGTCGGATCGCGTCACTATAAGCCTCCAGAACTCCTTGTTGGCTGGAAGAAGTACGATTACTCCCTCGATCTGTGGGCTGCCGGATGCATGTTTGCCGCTATGGTCTGCCGCCAATTCCCAGTAGCCATTTTAATGAGCTGACAACGACTAATGCGACACAGATCTTTCGTAAACAGCACTTTTTCCGCGGAGCCGACAATGATGACCAGCTGCTGAAGATAATGAAGGTCTTGGGCACCGACAAATTTGACGCCTACTTGAAAGCGTTTGACATTCCTTTCGAGAGTGATGTTCAGGAGCTGCTCGGAAAGTGCGTTCTCTGTGTTGCCTTTCTCAATAGTCCGAATACTGATTGCATTCATCAAGCTATCCTTCCAAATCATGGACACGATTCCTGAACCCTGAAAACCAACATCTCGCCACATCTGATGCTCGAGCTCTGCTTGATCGGCTACTTCGCTTTGATCCCCGCGAGCGATTCACCGCGAAAGAAGCTGCGGGCCATGTCTACTTTGCCACAGTTCGTGTAGACGGGATCAAGAAGGAAGAAAGTCCCGCCAGTGATTCCGGATTTGCTTCCATGTGACCTCCCATAGAGGGTATCGTCTTGTAGAGTAGCTGTGCTATCGTCCTGTCCTTTCGAGTCGCTCCTTTCCTGTCGTCCCCAGCATGTCTCTTTCCCTCGTTTCTCTACTCTCGTCTGTCCTCTCTGTACATATACTACCTATCTATCTCTGAATCGCCATTTACATCTTGTCTGTCTCCAGTTTGCGCATAACCCGCCTGCTTACGCTCTCATCATGAGTCATCATCATTGTATCCCGTTCGGAAATTGATCAGCAAGCTTTGTGCCTTGGGCGGCATTTGCCATCTATTACTTGCTCGTGCCATGTTCGACAGGAAGCTTGGTCCCACCAGGGACTCGGACTCGGACGCTCTCCCGGTGTACTCGACAAAGACTCAGCCCGATGAACAGCCTCCTCGTGTCCGCCGCCTCACGATAGCGCGACTGTTGCGGTCCATCACGTTGCTGGTCCTCCTGCTCGTCGGTTACGCGTACATTCGCGATGCTTTCGAGACGAAGGCAGATGTCAGTTTCGAGAAACGGATGGGAGATAGCGGCAATCCGGCATACCTCGTCAAGGTCAGTCCTCGCGTCCTCTTATCGGCGCAAGCCTCTCATGCGTCGGGGTAGGCACGGCACGGCGCGGTGGCCACGGAGAATGTACTGTGCTCGGATATCGGTGTTGATGTTCTCAAAGCTGGTGCGGTCTCCTCTCCGTTCTGACTGCCTGCGATCCCGCTTGGCTCATCGCCCGCAGGCGGAAACGCCGTCGACGCTGCGGTGGCCGCGACATTCTGCATAGGCACTGTGAGGATGCTATGTTCGCTTCTCCGCTCTCGCTCCCGCTCAACAGCCGCCCGCTAGGTCAACATGTTCTCGTTCGTTCGGTTCCACCCAAAGATGCATATGCTTCCCCGAGTTGACGCGCTGCCAGTTCGGGTGTCGGCGGAGGAGGCTTCATGACGGTCCGCATTCCGCCGGTGCAGGAAGGCGGAGACTCGGAGGTCTTCACGGTTGATTTCCGCGAGACCGCGCCTGCGTTGGCCAACACGACGATGTTTCCGCCGTATTCGAACAGCAGTTTGTTCGGAGGACTGAGTGTGGCTGTTCCGGGCGAGGTGCGAGGGCTGGCAGCCGCACATGACAGGTGTGTATACTGTGCCTCTGTAGCCTGTCTCATGCCGCGGCAGATGGGGTACCTTGCCCTGGCACAGCTTGATTGAACCGAGCATCGAGCTGGCGAAAGGTTGGACCGTTCAGGCGGAATTAGCCAAACGCATCACTGTGAGCACGACCGCTCGAGATCCTTAACGAGATGATCAATCCGGCTCACGTTGCAGTGGTTCCCGGATGTGATGCTGAGCAACCCCGATTGGAGTGCGATCTTCGCTCCCAACGGCAGGTTTCTGGAGGAGGGCGAAACGATCCGGCGGACCAATTACTCCCAGACCCTGGCTGCTATCGCCGCCGAGGGACCAGATGCGCTGTACAAGGGCCGTATTGCCGACTCGATCGTAGAGAAGATCCAGTCGACTGGTGGTGTCCTTACGCAAGCCGACTTGGAACGGTTTTCGGCCAAGATTGACCGAGCGCTCCAAGGAACCTACCGCGGACGAAAGGTCTACACTACCCCAACGCCAAGTTCTGGAGTTGGTATGTATGTTCCCTGCGCTTATATGCGGTCTTTGAATCGTGTGAACGTCAGTGCTTCTTCACATGCTCAATCTGGTTGAGCAGTACGATCTCAGCGAGCGCTCACCGCTGAACACACACCGCATAGTTGAAGCGATCAAGTTTGGTTTTGCTGCCAGGTGAGCGGGACTGGCGTGTGCCAAATCGATACCTTTTTTAACCCGGACAGAACGAAGGTCTGTGATCCGTCGTATCTCAACGATACGGCCAAGATAGACCAGATCCCCACCAAAGAGTTCGCTGCACTAATAGGTCCCAATATCACTGACGTCAGCATTGTGCTCTCTTGGCGGCTGCAAAGTTGACCTGTCTCCAGAATTATACACACTCTCCCGATTATTACAATCCTGAATACGACGTCAAGATTGACAATGGGACAGTCAGTGCTCTATGCAGCACGTTGTCTTTCCGAATTGAATGACTGGACAGAGTCATACTGTCGTGGTCGACAAGGATGGCATGGCGGTCTCTCTGACCTCGACTGTAAACATGATTTTCGGGTCTCAAGTCATGGACCCAGTCACAGGAATACTGCTCAATGACGAGGTGAGTCGTTGCCAGCCAGTGTGTCGCTTGTCCTAACGACCAAACACAGATGGATGATTTCAGTACGCCAAAAACACCCAACGGATTCGGCCTATGGCCCTCCCCCTGTGAGCAAAATTCTATTCTCTAGGCCTTCCTGAGCTGAATGACGGCAGACAACTACCCTGAACCCGGAAAAAAGCCGCTCTCATCGACCGTCCCTACCATCATCGAAAACGCGGATGGTTCATTAGCTCTTGTAATCGGCGGCTCCGGCGGCGGGCGGATCTTTGGTGCCGTGTTCCAGATCATCCTAAACGTTCTCGAATGGGATCTGGATGCGAGTGCGGCTGTTGAGTTCGGGCGGCTGCACAATCAGCTCTTCCCCGTCATGACAGATGCAGATTCGTGGTATCCCAGAGAGCTGTTGGACGGGTTGAAGGAACGAGGGCATGAACTCAGTGGTGCGTTGCAGATTCGATGGAATCGCACGACTAGTGATGACAACGATCTGCAGTGACAGGCCCTGTGGCTGCTGCCGTGCAGCTCATTGCCCTCCGGGACGGATATATCTTTGGTGCGTGCTCCAGTTTTCTATTTGCATACTGCTGACAGAGGATCTAGCTGCCAGCGATTCGAGAAAGAATGGGATTGCTTCGGGTTTCTAGATCAAGGGCTAATCTACTTTAAAACGCATGCTTTGTGCTTCAGTCACACTAATGCCAAATCTGACTGAGGTACACACTAGAATCTGAGCTTGGACTAGCCTGCTCTAGTCAAGGGCTCTGAAACCCATGTTTGTGTGCAAATCACAAGAATGTTGAAGACATGCGCACTTCCGACGTGGCATCACCGTTTCCATGAGCCGCCTTGCTCGGCTTCCCGTCAATATGTGCATCTCACACGAGCGTCGCAGCGCATGGCACTGCCCCTCCGTCTGCTGCGCGGCGTCGATCACTTGATGGACTTGACAGGCCGAGGCCGTCAAGGCCGAGATGGTGGAAACGCACTTGTTCTGGTTCTTATACCTCCTCCACCATCCTCTTCTTTTGCCCATTGGCGCCGTGCGCTTTTCGCTCGTTCGTTCCGGCTGTGCCTGTTTTTCGTTTCGTTACGCCTCGCTTCCCATTTCGTTATTCTCCGTTGGCGACGCTTTAGGGTTTTGAGAAGGACAAGTCTGCGTAAAATCACGATAAGGAACAATCATGGTTAGGTGCGTAGGGGGAAAGGGCTGCATCTGGAGGAGCTTGACGTCGTGTACAGTCCTAACATAGTGATCCTTCCCTCCCGCTCTGCAACAGCAGCTGCAACTCCTGTTACATTCTCATCTGCCTCTCCCTCGGACACTCTTTCGTCCGTACTCTCTTCTGCAATTGCAACAACCAGCATCTCTGCTGCTCCGCTTTCCACCTCGGCAGCAGCATTGACTACAACCAAGTCCACATCACTGTCGACAGCTGTTGTCGAAACTTCGACTCAAGTCACCGTGCTTCCGTCCACTCCCATCGTGACCAGTACAGTGCAGGACAAGTCAATTTCGAGCACGGCCGCGATCACGTCGACTGTGCCCCCCGCCCCTCCAGCCGCGACTTCAATAGCGACTTCACCCGCGATTGTGAGCAGTGTAGCTGATGCAGGTGTACCAAGCACCGCGTCCGGCCCTGCAACGGTTACCAAAGTGTCGGTGGCCTCGGCAAGCATCGCAGCGGCTGCGTCGCCGTCCTTCTCGGCGGTTAGAGGCCCACCTCCCGGCACTCACGAAGCGTTGAATGCGTCGCCGTCCTCGTGCGTCATTCAATGATATCGCTTCTCGCTCTGAATCGAATCATCTCCCTCAGCTTCTTCTCTAACAAGGGCGCCGTCGCTGCGACCTTCACCATCGTCGGCCTGCTGGTCATTGCCGGTCTCTGGTTCTTCATTAGCCGTCTCCGCGTCAGCGCGCGCCGCCGCCGGCTTGACGAGGAGATGGACGCGATATCATTTGTCCCGGACTCGCACAAGCCCCTGGCGGTTCAGGGCGAGAAATCGGCGACGCTGCAACGGACTTGGAGCCAAGCGTCGCACGAGTACCGCGGTGCGCCGCAGCTCGGATATAACTACAGCGCCCCGGCTGCGCCGCCCGCTGTCGCGAATCCCGGCTTTGGACAAGGATACGGGCAAGGCCAGGGGCAAGGATACAGCCCGTATGCCCCGCCCACGGTCACAATCGCACCACCGTCGGCCGGACCTATCCCGTACCGCGGGCCGACTCCGTCTTCGAACTATGGTGTTCCTGGCGCCCAACAGCCCGGGGCGTATCTTGCCAGCTACATGACGCCCGCTGCCGACCGAAACCCCAGCCCAGTGTCGCCTACGAGTTTGCGCAACCCGTTCGAGGAAATCAGCCTAAGCGGCAAGCCAGACGAGCAGGAGCATGAAGTCGAGGTCCCGGACGACTTGCATCTACCGCATGATACGACGCTGCCCTACACCCCGGGAACGGCACACACCGTCGTTCAGAAACACGTTTTGAAGGTCGGTGGCTCAGTGTCCGCGTCTCACGGGGTTCTTGACACGAAACTTTGCAGGTTGCCAACGCTTGATGCGTTGCTCCCAAGACCGGAGGATTGAGGTCGTGTGATAATACAGTACTTGCCGCAGTTGCCATCGAAGTTTGATCTTGTAGCACTGAATCACCCATGGTTTCCGTCCACTGCCATCTTCCTCCCTCCAGCTTGAGAGCCGGCTCGACCATTGATACCTGAGCGGCATGCGGCAATTTCGTCTCATGCGAGTGCATCAAATCATACATGTACAGAGCTGTTGTTACAGGATAGTGGCGATAGCGGCAACAGTACATCGATTAAATAAATCATCAGGGGTCGAGTCGATAGCACAAGTCATGTCGGACGAGTGTTGATCTTCCTTTCAGCGGTGACTAGCACAGGGGCGGTTAGGAATCCATGCTATCTTCAGAGAGAGAGAGAGAGAGAGAGCACGCACTCCACGCCCTTCGGTCCATCGGACACTGTCCCTTTGACGCAGGTGTTGCGATCCACTTCAGCAGACAATGCATGTGGAAGACGTGTGTGCATTCACCCCATACTTCACCACGCAGTCAGCCGTCCATAGCAAGCGAGTAAGAGCCGGGCGTTCACTCACTTAGAGGACAGTCGTCTCCCGGCACTTTGCATGTCGGACAGCAGGCTTCGTACGCAACCCGGCAAATTCCACATACGTCCTCCTCCTCGTCGTTCCCAGAGCTCGAGTCCGTGGCCGTCTCCCAGCGCCATTGGGCAACGGCGTGCCAGTATGTGATGGTGACTTTCATGGTGCTAGGATGCCGGTCGTGGGGTTCGGATCGAGGGCTGGAGGAAGGTGGGGGATTGATGACAAGAGGTGGTGGATCGCGTGACCGTGTTTCTTCTCAGCCACGTGCTCAAATGTAAACAAACTCATGTCCCTGTCGGTCTAAGCGCTGTATGTCAGGCTTGTCAAGGTTAATAGTTGCGAACTGTAGGTTTGCCTGCTCAGTTCACAAGCGGGTTGACGGTTATAATCAAATTGTTGATGAAAGTACTGCGACTATAATCTTCTACGCCTCGACTTCTTCGATGTTGATACTTTTCTTTGGCAGAACGAAAGGTCGACGATCCCATTCAACCGAGGGAATAGACTCTGCCTCCCTGCTACGCGCTTCATTCTCCAGTTCCCGAGCCACCAAACTCGCCGAAGGATCCAATTGAACCGCGTAGAACGCAAGTTTGTGTTTGACGTGTATCTGGGCCTGAAACAGACTATGCATGTCTCCCAAGGCACGAAACGCATTGAGGTGAGCAGACCCGTGCTCCACGATGAGAGCTGGACGGATGAGCATTGCCGCGTCGCGTAATAGGATGCTCGGTAGCTGAGTTGTTAACCCATCAGAGTTGAGGTGGGACTGCAACTCCGTGATGGCACTGTCTAGTGTCAGATGCAGGATTTTCGACGTCTTCGCGGTAAGGAACGGGACCAGCTGCGATAGCAGTGTCCGTGCTGTTTCCTGATCCAGCTCTCCAGCAGAACAAAGCGGAGAAATGGAGAGATGTCGAGTGATATATGCATAACCCAGCCTTTCTTGAGTGTCAGGAGATGCAAGGCGAGGAGGACATATATAGACGCACATCACAGCACAGATGTTGTACATCAAGGGGGGAGGTGCATCGCTGCTGCGTTTCTGGTGCATCATCGACGGAGGAATGGCAATAGGTTCCGGCGGATGACCGTATTGTCGTTGATTTCTGGGCCGTCTTAATACCGACAGCTCTTCCTTCATTTCGAGTGTTGAAGGACGCAACCACCATGGTTCAGTCATTCCTCTTTCGATTTCTTCACTCGCCAGTAGTTGCTGGGTCAGTTCACTTGATGGGTCTCGCACTATCTTGAGGAATCTATCTCGCTCGGTGGGAGTGAGCAGAGCCCATAGTTCTTCCGATTGGACCGAGTCTGAGAAAAATGTGAGTGAATGAAGAGGCGTTGCACCAGAGTGAGTATACCGATGTCAACATTACGCATCCGTTTCGATAGATCTGTCTCGTCATTATCGCCATCTTCTTCAGCTGTGAGACTCTCGTCAACTGCTGCGCTCTCCTCCTCGAAACGCTTGAGCAGTTCCATCATCTGCCTCCGTTCTTCAGCTGTCTTCGAAGGACCACCGCCGGAGCGGATGTCCGACTCGAGTTCGGCCTTGTAGAACCCTTCAGAGCATTGTGAATGAGCCTGAAGAAGGCAATGTGTTCGGAATGAGTGAACCTTACTGATGCGACGAAGAATTGACCGCACGCACTTCAGAGCGGAAGCAATTCAATGAGCAGTACGGGATATTGCATTTGGGGCAGGTGTATTTTGAGAATTGTCTTCGGCATCTGAAGCAACTGATTGAGCTTTGAGAAGTGGGAGATGTCCGTGGTATCGCACAAACCACAGGTCACTGTGTCCGCCATCTTTGTCGAAAAGGAAATGAGCGCGTTGTTTGCGCGTGTTGCTGTTCGACCTGTTCGCTCCCTCCCTCACAATTCATCTGTCTGTATTCGTTGTCCAGCACCGTGTCTCCACTGCCGATTGAAACCAAACATATACTTGTCACTGCGTCGGCCCGAACCTGAGAGATCACAAGGTCGCGCATCACAAGATGCTGGCTTCCTTCAACGCCTTCCCCTCCGCACGTTTTACGCGGTAGAACTTCGGAAGCCGTTTCGGCGCTCATCTCATGACTGGAATTTGATCGCCTGGGGACACTTAAATTGGAGGCATATACCAGCGAAACTCTTTGCTGCACGACATGTTTGCACACCTCTCCTCGGTTCTGCTCACTGCGGCTGCTCTTGTCTTGGTTCAAGGCAAGAAGTTCGGCGTCAAACCAGGACAAATCAAGAATCTGGTGACATTTGGGGACAGTTACACGGACGTGGTTAGCACTGGTGCAGGGACTGTCGCGTTAGCTTCAGGGCTTTTACTTATATCTTCCCTCCTTAGGCGACCAAGGCGTGGCTTGGCCAGGTAAGCAGCATGAAACCTCGAACACTGTTGTAACCTGAGCACGTAACTATAGTATACGCCGCCGACTACGCAAAAGTCGCGCTCCATCCTTTCGCCCGGTCCGGGGCCACTTGCTCCAATAATTTGACCTCCCGCCCGTTCCCACCGGTTTTCGGAAGTCAGATTCCTCTGTATCTCGCTGAAACATCCAATGGCTCTCTCGTTCTGCCTGCGGAAGAGACGGTTTACACGTTGTGGATTGGAACCAACGATTTGGGTGTGTCTGCGTTGTTGACTGGTGGACAAACACCCGGCGTGTCGCTGGTGGATGTGACACAGTGTATGGTCAATTGGGTCACGACCTTGTATCAGAACGGAGCTAGAAACTTCATCTTCCAAAATGTGAGTCCGTCTGTGATCTTTTGCGAGGACCGACTGACACAATAGGAAGATGATCCCGCTGGAACTTACCATCCTGTACAATGCGCACTCCTATCCGAACCGCTACTGGACATTCGAACGCAACACAACAGAATGGAGCATTCTCATGACGGAAATGTCTCGGTCTGGAAACAGAATGACCCAATTAATGCTCCAGGCACTGGCGCCGACTCTCAAAGATGCACATATAGGCACGTCTACGCGGTTTTCACGACTTGCTCCATCCACTGATGCACTCTAACAGCTCTCTTTGACTCACATTCCTTGTTCCAAGACATGTTCGACCATCCAGCCAAGTATCTCAATGGAACAGCTCCTCTCAATGTCACTGGTGAGCATTCTCTCGTAGGCCGCATCATGCGTGCTTATTAGTGGAAAGGATGCTGGAACTCCTGCGTTGCACCCCTCGGCGGTGGCACTCTGAACTGCACAGTCGCCCATGGAACCGATCGGGACAGTTTCCTATGGTGCGTCCAAGCCATTTTGCCATTGCTTGACGTGCTGATCCCATCATCCAGGGCTGATGAGCTTCATCCGAGTGAACAAGCAGACAGGATTGTGGCGAGGGAAATTGCGTTGACGCTTGAGGGCAAGGACAGTCAGTGGACGACCTGGCTGAGCTGAATGTCGTACTTTCTTGTTGTAAACGGGCTGTGCATTGGCGATCTAAGCGGCGCGATCGTAGTGCGCAAGACTCGAGGCAGATCAAACCACGTTGCTTCATGCCCGTTCAGAACCTTGTTCTCACTTACTAAAAATGCCCTTCTGTACTCTCTTTCTACCACATCCTTGCTCCAATTTTTCGCAATGGCTACCTCGTTTGTGACCACAACCACTATCCAGGAGATCGAAGAGCATGATGGAGACCTTGAGGAAGAGATTGACATCTACGCGGACGCGCCGAGTTTGCCGGTCACATTTATCCCGCAACTCTTCCTCCAGCGTCGTATCTGGATCTTGGATATCCTTCGTAGGGAGAGCATAGTCGACGTACGTGGCTCGACCGTCTGCTGCGCAGTGATTTTTGCTCAGCCATGTTTGCAGGTCCTGGATGTCGGCTGCGGTGAAGGCCAGTTGCTCTCAGTTCTAGCGCAACCTGCGCCTTGGCTGCCTCCGCCTCCACCTTCACTGCTACCAAGCAATCTAAATATTGTCTACCAACCTGAAGTTCCCGACCTACATCCGAGGAGGATCGTTGGACTCGACATCGATGAGAACGAACTACTGTTTGCAGCCAAAGGCATTCAACCGCCTGACCCTCGCGATGGAGAATTCTCCAAGTTCACCGCGCCGCTCACCCGATGGCAGGACCTCAATGCGAAAGTATGGAAAGGCGGTTTGGAAGTGTTCAATCAGGATTTCGTGGGCGTGGAGTGCATTGTGTGTACCGAGGTGTAAGTGGCTCAATCTTGCATGCGCAAACATCGCATACTTTCGCTAATGATATCTGTAGCATAGAGCATCTTCCTCCTGATGTTTTCCCTGCCCTAGCGCCGATGCTGCTTGGTGTCTATCATCCTAAGCGCCTCCTGCTGACGACACCCTCCTACACTTTCAATGATCGCTTCACGCGTCCGGGCTCCTCGCGTGCTACCAGAGCCCGGCAGGCTTTCGAAGACCCCACTGGAAGAACCGACCGCCTCTTCCGGCATTCCGATCACAAATTTGAGTGGACCGTGGCCGAATTCGAGACTTGGTGTCGTGCGTCGGCTGTTGAGTGGGGTTATGAGCTGGAGGAGATGGGCGGTGTCGGTCAGCCATGTGAAGAAGATCCATGGGGAAGAGAGAAAGAGCTTGGATATGCCTCGTTGGTGGTGTCGTTCAAACGCGCGGATGATGACGAGGTCAAGCTGGCGGATAAAGCCGGGCAAGCCCGAGCAGTTCTCGAGTCTCTCAACCTGCCTCAAGGACCCGCGCACTCGGTGGTTGCTGAGCACGAACACCGCGCGCACGAACGCTCTGGGCGGCTGCCTACTCCCCAGTCTATACACACAATCGGAGAGCTGGTCAAGTCCAAAATGGAGTATTCGCGCGAGGCTCTCGTCAACCTGGAGCAAATGTGGCTGCTCGAACCTGAATTGGCGAAGCTATGTGGTGGATGGCTGGAAGTGTTGATCTGGGCCGTCGAGGCACACGAAGAGTTGAGTTTACTGCGGGGGGAGGGAACACTCGACTGGGCCATCGAGCTTGTCGGAGGGCTGACAGAATCGCCGGTGCTTTGGAACGAGGCGGACACAAGTGTTGATCTGATTCCACCGGGTTGGATTCCCGGCCATGATTTGGATGAGCCGATGGAAAGCGACAGCTTTTCATCCACTGGTGCTGACGACGGCGACGATGACTCTTGGGACGGGTCTGTAACGGAAGACCGTGGGGACGAAAACGACGCGATATCCATTCTGGCGGCTCACGAAGATGATGAGGAGAACGAGGTCCCTCCTTGGGGCAACACTGAAGAAGTGTGGGGCAAAACTGAAGGCGGTTGGGGCGATGCTGTATAATCTTTCCTGTATTTATTGCAGAATCCGCATGTTCCAAGATCAGATCCATGCAAGATAGATAAACAGTGTTGATGGACCTGATATATCCGAGTGAGGGAATGTCCACCGGCTGTACGCTCTCAAGAATAGTTACCTACACGAGTATATTGCGTGCGATAATCGCATGAGATAAGCAGAGGTGATCGGCAAGCCAATTCGGATCCACACGGACCCACACTTACCCACGTCACTTGCTCTCTGCTTTCAACGTTGAGCCCTAAAGGATTTCTTGGACCGCTTGTCCTGCATTTACGGACTTTCAAGAAGAGCGAAGGCGTTCAGATGACATTCGGATGACTGACAAGCATCGGCCTGGCTGCGACTAAGCCTTACCTTTGTTCTCCCCTGCGGGGCCGCGATCCTATGTCCAAATCCATTTGTCGTCTTGGGGATGTGTTTTTGTGGGACGATGATCTGGAGATGGGGAACCTTTGTAAGCCCAGGCGCAGCTGCGGCTCCAATTCACCACTGCCTCTTAGTCACAGAGGATTGGCAGGGCACTGACGCAAGCGGCAACTATACGTTGGATCATTCAGTGGCCCGAAAACAAGAATTGAATTCAAGACTCTCGACATCATCAAAACTCTTCAACGATCGGCGAATCAGTAGGGGAGAAATCGAAGCCCACTGGGAGTCTCCACCGCCTGCAATCGCTGTTGGGAAAAGGTTCGACGGGTTTCTGGAAGATCGTCGGAGCAGTAATGCCCCTTGGCGCCTAGTTCTTTCCGATGCACCGCATTGCCGAAAGAATTTGATTTCGTCGCGGTTCGCGAGCCAGGCAAGATTTTGCGGGATGCGAAGTTGGACCAGCCCACTCGCTCGTGTTCAAAGTAGGTTCAGAGGGACTAACGAAAAGCCTACGGATGCTCAAAACGTTCAAGTGAGTGGACCAAACTGATGCTGAATGTGAAACTTCAAACGACGATGCTCGCTTTGACGTCAATGATCGTCCCCAATTGTTGGTTCCTGAGCGATAATGCTCCCCCTTGCCTCCAAGCTCCAGATCGTCGAGCCCCCAAACTGCCTCCGAGCTCTCAACTAGACTTGCTTGCCGGCAAAGAAAACGATGCGTTTCATGGTGGAGGGACGCCTGGAAGGTAACTTAGCCATCTCGGGATCAATGGCAATTAATGTTTCGCCGCCCATTGTTCGACTATTGGGGATGCGGAACTTACATCCACCCTTGATCCAGGCTATCAATAGGCGATCGTGGACTGCAGCTTGTACGCGTGGATAGACTTTTAGGTTGGGGGAGCGAATCAAGCGAGGGTTGCGTCTTGGTGTATTTTGCTTATGTTGCTGACAGAAGTAGAAGCATAATCGATTCTCCCTTTCTTTCCTCCCACCTGCCTCCTCTCGCTCTCGCCATCGTTGTCGCAGGCGGCCCCTGAAATTCGCATTTCGCTCTTCGCTTGCCTGTCCACCGCTGCCCCTGTCGCTCTCGTTGTTTGTCCCTGCTGCTTTCGATTCTCCCTCTCCTTTTCCTCTTCCCTTTTTGCCCGTCGTTTTCCCTCTCGTTCGTTGATTAGACGGCGGGAACGAACGCGGAACGAACGATAACGATGTCCGACTACGCATATGCCTTCCAGAATCAAACGCCATATAGCGCCTTCCCGCCTCAGAATCAACACCAGCACCTCCCGAACACCCCCAACCACGCCACTGCCTGGGACGCTCCTCACGTCGCGTATTTTCAGCCGGTCCATCAGTCGCGGCATATCTCAAACCCGAGTACGAGTTCCGTCGCGAGCGTCACCTCCCCGCCTCCGATGACGGCTCAGCTCCGACCCACATCCCATGCGTCTTCCCAGCCATCGGCACAGTCCCAGCCCTCGTCGACGCTTCTCTGGACGGATTTGGAGATATGGATGGACGCCGAGTATGTGCGTCAGGTGTGCACGCTGCTGCGGTGGGATGTGGCCGTGCGGGTGCCATTGGCCGGCTCTAATGAATTGGCATTGGCGGGCATCCGCCTCAACATCAACCCGCCTCCGACTGACGTCCCACCATTGAACGCGGGTTTCTGTGTTTTGACGTTTTCTTCGCCGGGCGCTGCCGCTGCTGCTCTGACACAGGCTCGTGGTTGTTGCATATATGCGGGCTGCTCGTTATTGACACTGGCTATAGGTCAAAACACCGTCGCACTCCGCCCCCACTATCACGCATTCAAACGCTTCCGGTGATCAAGTGATGACTATGCCGAACTCCTCTCGACCCTTTGTACTCAATTGGGCGCCGACGGGGATTGTAGCAGCTATTTCTGCACCACCACTGGGATCATCGGCTGCCAATATCAATGGGTCGATGGTTTCGACCACGCCTGCTACCTCTCATAGCTCTGCGGCACCTGTCTCGGGGTTCACTTACAATGGACCTTCATCGCCCGTTGCAGAAGCCGCTGCCCCTGGGGTGTCGCCCAATCAACAGCAGCAGCCCCCACAGTATCCACGCGAGTACAGCATTTTTGTGGGCGACCTGGCTCCAGAGACATCTAATAGCGATTTGGTGGCTGTGCGTAGTCGTCCGATTTGCGGGCGGGAGCTTCCTTGACACTTGGGGCAGGTCTTTCGGAATCCGGTCCTCGGCTTGCGCAATGACAGGGCGCCGAAATTCATTCGGCCTTTTGTCAGTTGCAAAAGTGCTAAGATCATGTTGGATCCCGTTACTGGTGTCAGTCGTGGCTATGGCTTTGTCAGGTGCAGTCTGTTCAGGATTTCGACGTGGGCATATACTCATCTTTCGCAGGTTCACGGATGAATCGGACCAGCAGCGTGCCCTGATTGAAATGCATGGATTATATTGTCTATCCCGACCGAGTGAGTGACATTGCCATCTGAAAAGTGTCAAGCATAACATTTACAGTGCGCATTTCTCCGGCCACGGCTAAATTCAAACCCCCTCCGGGGCCAACCCCCGACTTCGCTACGATCCAGCCCAGTCCTTCGACGACATCGAACACGACCAGCAGCTCGAGCATGACTAGTTTCACCAGTGTATCATCCATTCCCACGTCTGTTTCTGCCTCATCAGACGGCAATCTTTTGTCGCCTCAGTCACACACTCCAGGCGTGTCTACCTCAGGATATTATCAGCCCCCGCTCAGTTCCCTCGATTCGTATGGCGGTGGTCCCTCCAATGGCCACTCTGAGGAGTGGAAACATCATGCACAAGCACGGGCCATTCTGGGACACATGATCGGCCCTAATGGCGAGCAACTCACCAGCACTGATCCTTATAATACCACTGTGTTCGTTGGTGGATTGAGCCCGCTTATCCAAGAGGACACACTCAAGTCGTTTTTTATGCCGTTCGGAGAAATACATTACGTGCGTCACCTCTTTGTACTCTCGGTAACTGAATTGACGGCATGTCTAGGTCAAAGTCCCGGTCGGCAAGCACTGCGGATTCGTTCAATTTGTTCGTAAAGCAGATGCAGAACGAGCGATCGAGAAAATGCAGGGTTACCACATTGGGGGTAGCCGGATTAGACTGAGTTGGGGACGAAGTCAATGTGCGTCGGGCCAGGTCTCCTTGGCGATTCAAGTATTCATTGTTCAATTAGATAAAGCTGCTCAGGCTGCTGCCCAAGCTGCCCAAAGTGCCGCTCTCCAGGCCTCCTCTACCCCAACTCAAGTTCCGAACCTGCAGCCGATCAGTACACCCCAACCACTAGCTCCATCTGTTACAGCGAGCCTGGCATCCAACTCCAATGTTAATGGCTCAAATGGACCGAACGGGATGACGCCAGCCATGCTGAACGGCTTGACACACGAACAGGCCATCCTGCTTTTGCAAAAGTTCGGCATTCAGGGTCTGCCTTCCAACGGCCAATCTGGAAATGGCGGTGATGTATACCAGAATGCAAACCAGCAGCAGCCTGCGTATACGGATGAAAGTCTGAAGATGCGGCGGGACGATGGCAGCTTGGCATTCGGATATCCACCCCGATCTTCTTACGAGATCACTTCTGCCAACGGAGGAGGCACCTTCTCGCCGTTCTCGCCGGATCCGAATCGTGCTCAGCAGCAGGGGACAACCCTCGCTGCAGATCTACTGGGGAAGCGCCGCGACTCGTATGCTGGAAGTACTGGCTACAGTGGCATGGGGGGACTTTCGAGCCAGTCTTTCGGTGGCCCCTCATTCTTCCAGCCTCCTCATGGAAATGGAAGAGCGTCGGGATCTCCGACTGGAGCTTATGGTGGAGGCGGGTTTGCCGGTAGTCCCCCGGCGTACAACCGTTACTCCGGCCAGCAGCAGCCGATCTCGCGGCCGACTTCTGGGCCGCCAGCTCGCGAGCGAAGCGAAGACTTCGACGCGATGCACGACCTGAATGGTACGCTTGCCAGCCTGAATTTGGATCGGGAGCGGGAGCTGGATGTCCCAGACCGGTCTTGGAGTTTGAAAAGCCCGCTGATGGAAAATGCGAGCACGAGCGGGGACAGTGCCTCCAGCGGCGGCAGTGTGCAGTTTCGGCTGACCATGGGACGGACGCCGTCGCCTTGAACGAATGATATCACGATCCTTGCTTTCATCTTCGCGCCACCCTTCGGATGGAATGGAACATTGTAATCTGCCCTACACTTATATTCGGCCCTTCTACTCCCGGCTCGCTCATTCGAATAATTGGAACCGACTCGGCGGTTCTTCGCGCTGTTTTACGACTTTTTCGATGCCGCTTTATTGTCTCGCTACCTTGCACAGTCTATGCACAGTCTATCCTGTTTTCCCAGCTTTTGTTTCGGTTTTCGCGCACAGCTATACTATTATAACTGGACTACCATCTCTCTCTCCCTCTCGAAAAGCAAATCGTAGTTCCGTTTACGCTACCATTCCAATTGAATCGTGTTCTGGTATTATATACCATTGAGATGAGTCCAAGGCCTAGTGAATCATAATGGCGACTGAAGGGTTTTATAAAACGATTCAAAAGCCTACTCAATTCGCCATCGGAATGGTACAAAAGTACAAGTCACTTTATTCATACAGAATGTGATGTTACAATTGAGGTCGCCAGATTACTGGGCAACAAGCACTCCCCGGTATCGCATCTTGCCATCGCGGAGGCGGGCCATTCCTTCCTCGACTCCAGCGCGGGTCATCGGGAAGCATTGGACCACAGGCCGAACGTCGTTCCGGGCAGCGAACTCCAGCATCGCTTCGTGGACGGCGCGACCCGAGACAACCGTTCCCTGGATGGCGATCCCGCGCAAGATGATCGGCATAGCAGGGATCTCGAGCTTATTCGCCACGGTGAAGGGGAAGATCCCGCCTTTCGGTCGGATGATGGGGAAGAATCTACAGCAGAACAAATGAGCAGATGCACGACAACAAGAAACAAAAGCACTCACGGCTCCCAGTCAAGCACGAAATTCGTGGTCACCAAGAGATGATCCAAGAGCTTGACGTTCTCGAACTTGGTCACACCTTTGGTGGCGTAGAACTCGGTCGCGCCCAGCTTCATGGCTTCTTTGCGCTTGCCTTCCGTGGAGGAGAAGACGACAACAGCTGCGCCCATCTTGCGAAGGAACTGGATCGCTAGGTGCCCGAGACCGCCAACGCCCACGACGCCGACACGTTCAGTCGGTCGAATGTTGTACTTCTCGATAGCCTCGAAGACGGTGGCGCCGCCGCACATCAGAGGAGCAGCGTGCTCCGGTGCGATCCCCTGGGGGATGGAGAAGAGGAACGTTTCTTCCCAGATGGCGTGCGTCCCGAACGAGCCTTGATGGAAGTTGTGCGTGCCATACATCTCTTTATTCTGGCAGTACTGGTCTTCGCCTGACAACGACGTCAGTTCGCGACTGGCAAAAGATTCCGAATTGACGCGCACCTGTGATGCACTCGTGGCATGTGCCGCAGGTCTTGTGGATGTAACCCCACCCAACATGATCCCCGACCTTGAACCGAGTGACCTTGTCCCCGACCTGCAGAACCTTCCCGACGCCCTCGTGCCCGAGCACCATGTCCGCCGTCTTGTAGTGCTCGTCCGTCCCGCAGATCCCCGAGTGCGTGATTTTGATGAGCACCTCTTTGCCCTTGGGTGGCTCGCGCGTCGCGTGGGTCTCGACGATGCCCGACTTCTCAGAGCCTTTGAAGTAGGTCGCGTTGATACTGGTCATTTTGTGGAAGTGAAAACGGTATTTGATAATTCGCATTGAGAGAGGAAACGCGAATAGATCTTGGATTTATAGCCCTGCATCCAAGCCAACTCCTATCGCGTTCCTGTAGGATGCGTAAGGCAAGTATCACCTGAGTCGAATATTGAGCAGACAAAAGGGGTGAGCCAGCGCATGAGGTCATCCAGCGGGGCGCCCATGTCGAAGATCCGTCGAAGAATACATGCAGCAGTGTTTTCCCGACCTCCAGGCGAGGATTGAGGGAAAAGAGAGCACAAGTGTGTGTCAGGATGCAAAGATATCGTCGACCAAGATCTAGGTATCAGTTACGAAATGGTTGAAAACAAGTACGTGGCCATGCATAGCCGTGCTACGACAGCTCGTGACTGCTTTGACTTATTACAGGTTGGGCGCTACGTTCATGTTAGGCGGCTCCTTTCTCTGTGGTCCATGTATTGTAATGCCGCCAGGGCATATATTCTCTATATATTGTGTTGGCATCGCGACCACAGAGAATGGAGTCTGGCCGCCCGCGAAGCACGTGCCAACAGAACGGTCCTTCTGAATCTCAAACTTTATGATACTCTTGACTCCGCTCATTCGCGAATCGGAAAGTCCAAGTTGAATGCACATTCTCTGTCCACATCCCCTCTTACTTCATACAATTCAGTATCCTACCTCAATGGATTCGCCTCTGAACAGCTTTCTGGAGAATCGATCTGCTGTACTCAAGAAGAATTGCTGGGAGCGTAATCTATGGGACACGATGCAACGTTCCACCTCAAAAATGTCTGCCAAGAAACACCCTTTGAAGCTACTCGTCTGCCCTTCTCCTCATATCTCGCTGCTGCAGACTAGAGCCTTGCCGATCTCTCAAATCCACACGTGATTCCTATTGGTGGTCGCCTCTCTTCACCAGCCACAACTGCTGCACGCCATGACCGGACGCAAGTCTCGCCCAGTCCGTATAAAGAATTCGCTACGTGTGCGTGAGGCAAGACACCGCCAAAGGTCGCTCACGGCCGGAAGTGTCGTGCAGTCGGAGAACAACGATGAGGGGGAGTCGCTCGGGTTTCAATCGGTGCGCTCGTTTCGTTGATGGATGTAGAAGAGAGGACATTGCCGAGCATCGTCCTAGAAGTCATTCGCCTCGCGCGTCGAGGCCTTGTTTGCCGAGCGTGATCGTATCCTGGAGCACAACAGCGGGAGCGCGCTCAGGATCTCGCACATTGACGCAACCCTGGACGATCTACTTCTTCAAATACAGCGGGAGATCCTGGGCAGGAAACTGAGGCTGGAATTGTTGCAGCGCTCGAACGAGGCTCAGAGGATCATATTGGGTGATGTCGATCAGACCAGCGTGACCGAGAGGCACGAGATCATGCAGTCTGTGGAGAAGATCAAGGCTGCGGGACTGTACGGGAAATGGTTGAAGGGCTGCTCGGTGTGAATACGTACAGGATATGGCACGGCATTGACGGGGACCTCAGGACACGACTATTCATTGGATTCTTCTATGACACGCTATTTGATAGGCGTGCCCTTATAGCGCCTTATAGCACCTTTTATGAAAGAGTTCGACTTGGCAGATCGACCCGCTATGATCTCTTTCGAGACAGTCAATACTCGATGCTGATAATTTCCAAATTGAGATCGCAGGAGGTGTTTGTCCATGTTTACCGTGCGAACGTATGCTTTCTGGTTCTTCGTCCCTCAGGCCTCTACTCATTACCTTCGAGATTGGCTGCCAACAACAGAATTTCTTGATGGATTTCACTGTCTCTTCGCATGTCGGGCGCCGCGACCCGGGGATCCACGGCGTCATTGAAGACACGGGGAAGGAGACCTGACATCGCACCCCCGATGATTATCTTTAGCGACTGGGTATGTCAGTACCCGGTGACCGAAACACACTCGTCACAAGAAGATTCATCGATATCCCATTCGCGACTCTGGTGCTTCTTTGGTCTCAGAATTCATTTGCGGTCTGCAGCGGGCATGCCCCTCATTGGGCTTATGCGCTAGTTCGCACAGTGGAGATCCACAGCCACCATTCGGAGACTATAAAGCCAGGGTAAAAGTTAGTCGCCGACGTAATGTCAACTCCGGAAGCGGCACCCAGCTCTATTCTGGTCTCTATGTCGATCGAAGCTACTGTTTTCAAAGGATCTGCGGATGGTGCCATTGTTGAGGCGAAAGTCCAGCGCGACCCCCCGAAGGGAACCCAGGTCCTCGTGAAGATCACACACTCTGGCATCTGTGGGACCGACGAGCACTTCAAAACATGCGATATGGTCCTTGGCCATGAGGGAGTCGGGAAGGTTATGGAGATCGGGGACTCGGTGACCAAATTCAAGACTGGGGATGTCGTTGGATGGGGGTACATTCATAAGACATGTGGAAAGTGCCATCAATGTCTCTTGGGTGAGCATGGCTTTTGTGTGGTCGATATGCTGTCAAGCGACTGATGTTGGTGGCAGGCGACGACCAGTACTGCGAGGACAAAGAGATGTATGGCACACACCACTTCGACCAAGGCTCGTTCGGCTCGAATGCTGTGTGGGACGAGTCATTCCTGTTTCTTATCCCACCGGAAATCGCGCCAGAACACGCTGCGCCGTTGATGTGTGGCGGGGCCACCGTGTTCGAAGTCATCGAAACATACAACCTCCGCCCGACGGAGCGTGTTGGGGTCGTCGGGGTCGGCGGTCTCGGCCACATGGCGATCGAGTTCCTTTCCAAAATGGGCGCCGCCGTTGTCGTCTTCTCCAGTACAGACAACAAGCGCGAAGAGGCGATGCGACTGGGCGCGTCGGAATTTCATGCGACAAAAGGTCTCTCCAAGTTCGAGGGCGTCAAGCCCTTGGATCATCTGCTGATCACGACAAGCTTTATACCAGACTGGACTCCGTGAGCTCTCCGTATTTGCTTCTCTGAATTCGCACCACTCACCGTGAGCTAGCTACATCCGCATCATGCGACCCAGGGGTGGAATCTTCCCCTTGACTGTGACCGACGGCAATCTCGTCATCCCTTCTACACCTGTATTGACTTGGGGGATCACGATCCAAGGGACGGCCGTGGCCAGCCGCACTGTCCACGAATCCATGCTCGACTTTGCCGCCCGCAATCATATCAAGCCGATGGTTGAATGCTTTCCGATGACCAAGGCCGGTGTCGAGGAGGGAATGGCACGTCTTCGAGAGGGGAAGATGCGTTACCGCGGAGTCCTGGTTGCCCCGTCCGAGTAGAGAGAGCATGGGCATCTTATGCACGTGTTCCATGATCATGTATTCCTCCAGCATTTAAAACTATGTAAACAGTCGAGCGCCAGAAAGACCGAACAAAGGTGACCAGTCGCCGTCTGGCCGTTTCGAACACTGCCAACATGATGTATGGATCTCGAAGAGCATAGTCTGGGAGTTATCAACGCCTTGGTTGAGTTCTGGAGAGAAAGGAACTCACGTCCTGGAAGTCCGCGAGAGGAAGAATGCGAAGGAGCCCGCGAAAAGCGGGATTCGAGACCCTGATTGGGCCAAAAAGCTGGGTGGGTATTCCAGTCCAATGCATCTGCGGATTGTTCAAACTTGCCCTGAAGAAAGCTATGATACTGCGATCCTGCTCAGAATCTGTTCAGATGCTATTTAGATATGCCCCATCTCGAATATGAACTCGATTCAGCTCACTGAGGAAAATATTTTTGTCATGCAGAAAAGTACCATGACCTGAACACAGTTTCCTATGGTAGTACTGAGCTCAACCTGCTCATTGACCAAAATCAAAAATATTTTTGATCTAAGAGACTTTTTTGAGCTCAAAACATTGAATGCTGTGTCTTAAAGTCTTGGCCCTTGTATTGCAAGACATGTATGAATGTGTAAACTTAAAATATGAATCATGTTCAATTTGCTTTTTTTTTATTGTACAGATGGGTTCTTTCCAGGTTCAGTGTCTGCTGGCTTATAGCTTGTCTCTGACAAGTTTCGATTCCCTAGTGGGACAGCTGAGCTCATTCAACCTGTGTATGAGCAACACTTACGGTGCAAAGAATTTAAAATCCTGTGCAGGACAGATAAATTTCCTATTGTTGGTAGAACTATGCAGGTAGTAAAAAAGACATCTTAGATACATGCTGCAGAGACAGAGGACATCCATTGAGGCTATATTGAGCAGATATATCCCACAAAGAGACTGCAGAGGGTCACGTGACTCATCTGCAACATGTCACTAGCTGCTGCGGATGCTTCTGCAGATGGTTGAAATAGCATCTGCAGATAGGAGAATCACTGTTTGGCTTGCTTACATATCAAATTCCATGCAATATCCCTTCGAGAAATTGTGTAATGAATTGTATTGGTCAATAGCATCATTCATTCAAGTGATGTAATGTATTTGGGCTGCCCGGGCAGCAGCCACACATTTAGCTGGCCAATTTGGCTGAAGATGCATCAGCAGTTCATTTCCTTGTGTGCCCTGGATGTCCCCAGAGCCTCTGGAGCTCTGTGGACTGGCTAAAATGTCAGTAGATATATGCTGCATGAGATTGGCTTGTGGGACAGAGCCACAGCCCCCATTCCAATGTGCAGATCCATTTGTGCACCAGATGAAAAATGTTTCAGAGGCTCTTCAGGCCATTCACATAGAAGAAGCAGGGCCTGCAAAGGTCATTTTGAGTGCAGATGGATCTGCAGGACCCATCAAATCCCTGTGCAGATGTTCAAGGACCATCTGCAATGCACCAAAATGATGCCATCAAGGGCATCACCAGTAAAATGAGATGCGGATGGATCAGCAGATGTTTTTAGAGCCTGCTGCAGATGATTGGGCTGCATCTGCAGAGCTCTGATGCAGAGGGCAACCCCAGGCCAAAGAGTCTGCAGGGCCTGTGCTGAAATCTGGCTCTGGATCACAGGGGGCGGATGCATCCGCACAGCACACATTCAAGCTGTGGTAGATGCAGGAGGATACTGGCTGCATGCACCAACTATAGCAGCTAACAGTGCACAATTTTAACTGTCCACAGAGCCTGTGCCAAGCAGAGCCTGCCCCAATCTGGCTCTGGATGTAAGGGCAACCTCGAGACCCGATCTCAGAGTTCTGGCAAGGGAGAATCCAAAGGTGATTAATAGTGGTAGCTAGGTACAAGACCGGCATACCTGGCAAGGGAGAATCCAAAGAGAAACCGTGTTGGGGATTCTCCTTGCCAGGCGCCACTATTTATATGATACAAGAACAATGGAGCACGCAGCGACAAACAAAGAACAATGGGGATAATAAGTACAACGGCCATGACAGAACAATGGGAGCGGGGACAATAGGAACAATGGGGCACCTGGCCATGTGCCCATCAAGGAGAAGCGCTCGGCGCGGCAGTCCGGGCCGCGGTACGTGACAGCTGACAGGTCACGCGAGCGCAATCACATGCCTGATCGAAGGCAGAGCGGTCCGAAACGGGGGTTCCCCTGACATCACCCCCCCCTTGGATTGCGGCGCCTCGACGCAACGTGCGGATGGTGGCAGAGGGGTGCTGGAACGGAAGGGAGTCGAAGATGGCGGCGGCAATGATGCGTGGCTTGTTGGGGTTCTTGCGGTAGAATGCCGCTATAGCGTCCTCTGCGAAGATATCAGAGTGCTTAACCCATTGGTCATGCGACGAATCGTAGCCCTTCCACCGCACAAAGTACCAAATGCTCCGATAGCGCATCTTGGCATCCAGAACCTCTTCGACTTCCCACTCCTCGCCAGCTCCTTGGCCCATGACAGGTGGCGGCTCCTCGCGAGCCGGGCGTGTTGGGAACGGGTCGTCCTCAACGAGCTGCAGCTTGACGACGGGGAAGACCGGGTGAAGACCAGAGAGGCGGCGAGGGAGGTCAAGCTTGTAAGCGCCGCGCCCAACAACCTGGGTGACTTTGAAGGGACCCAGCCGTCGGTGAGAGAGTTTGAGGGACGGGCGCGTTGTTGCTATGTCAGAAGCGTCAAGCCAGACTCGATCTCCGACCTTGATGTCTGGAGCCGAGACCCTCCGGCGGTCGTAGTACTGCTTGTACTCATCCTTTGCCTTCACCAGTGCCGACTTGGCCTCCGCAACTCCAGACGCGATGCGGTCGCGGAAGTCGTTTGCCGACTCGTTCACAGTTGAGCGTGGTCCATTCGGCTCGAAGCCCATGCGAGGGAGTCGACCAGTGTCGGTCATGAACGGGACCTGCTGCGTGGATGAGTGAATATGGTTGTTGTAGGCAAACTCGGCAGCGGGAAGCAGCTCGTCCCAGTCGTCCTGGTTGTAGCTGGTGAAGATCCGGAGGAACTGCTCGAGCTCCTGGTTCACACGCTCGGTCTGGCCGTCCGTCTGTGGGTGCCAAGCCGTAGACATTGCCGATGAGACCCCGACCAGTTTCCACAGCTCCTGCGTGAACTCTGCTATGAACTGGGAGCCACGGTCAGAGACATACTTAGACGGCAGCCCATGGTGGCGCCAGACGTTCTTGTAGAAAAGCCTGGCGGCACCTTCACCAGAGAGCCGGGTGTGGCACTCTATAAAGTGGCTGCGCTTCCCAAGCATGTCAACAACGACCATGATAGCATCATACCCGTGAGCGTCTGGCAGGTGCACAATGAAGTCAACTGACACCGCTTCCCAGCGCTCCGAAGGGACCTCCGTGGGATGGAGTTCCCCGATTGGGAGTTGGCGGAGCGCCTTGGTTCGGCAGCACAGGTCGCAGGTGGCCACATACCGGCCAACGTGTCGAGACAACTGGGGCCACCAGTAGTTCCGAGAGATCAGCTCCAACGTCTTGAAGCGGCCGGCATGCCCTGCGACGCGGGTGTCGTGGTGCTGCTCGAGGATGCGTCGGCGGAGGTCGTTGTTGCGTGGAACCACCAGCTTGCCACGGAAGTAGAGCAGGCCGCCTTCTTTTCGCCACTCCGCAGCCCGAGCAGAGCGAACTCCGCGTTCCTTGAGGAGCTCACGTGCTGCCAACACAATGGGCTCCTCCATGTCGGGGGTACCGGCGAGGGCCTCCCGGATGTCGCGCAGGAGGGGGGTTTCGGGTCCAGAGACCGTGAGACCCTCCAAGGCCCGGACGTGGAACAGCTCCGGGCGCAGCAGTGTGACGTCTGCGTTGTCCGAAGCGACTCCGTGGTCGGGGCGGCGCGAGAGAGCATCCGGGCGGCCCATGAGGCGGCCAGGTTGGTGGTGCAGGGTGAAGTCGAAGCGAGACAGATAGAGGGACCAGCGGGCTTGACGACGGTTGAGATTCTGGGCCTTCCGGAAGTACTCCAGATTTTTGTGGTCGGTCCAGATCTCAACGGGGTGCTCGGCGCCCTCGAGGAAGTGTCGCCACTCCTCCAAGGCGCGGACGATGGCGAGCATCTCCTTGTCGTGGATTTCGTAGTTCCGCTGGACCTCGTTAAGACTCTTTGAGAAGAAGGCAACCGGATGCCACTTGTCATCCACGGGGGACTGCTGCGAGATGACAGCGCCGGTCGCAAAGTCCGAACTGTCCGCTTCGAGGCGGTAAGACCTGGAAGCATCCGGGAGCTGCAGGACTGGGGTAGAGGTAACGGCGTTCTTCAGCGCAAGAAATGCAGCCGCCTCGTTGGCGCCCCAAGTCCATGCCACATCCTTCTTGGTGAGGTCAAAGAGAGGACAGGCAATGTGCGAAAAATCCCGGATGAACCTCCGGTAGAAGTTAGTGAAGCCGAGGAACTGCTGCACTTCCTTCTTGTTAGCCGGAGCTGGCCACTCCGCCACACCTGCGACCTTGACCGGGTCCATCTCCACATGGTTGTGGGAAATGATCACCCCGAGGTATTCGATCGACGGCATCTCGAACTCGCATTTCTCCGCGCGAAGGTAGAGCTTGTTCTCGCGAAGACGTCGGAGGACTTCGTTCACGATTTCCCGGTGACGGTGGATATCGGAATGTGCGATGAGAATGTCGTCGAGGTACACCATAACGTCGCCAGAGAGGATGAGGTCCTGAAGTATGTCATTCATCATCGTCTGGAACGTTGCGGGGGAATTGGTCAGGCCGAAATACATCACCAACGGCTCAAAGAGCCCGCGGTTTGTCCGAAACGCTGCCTTCCACTCGTCGCCTTGACGAATGCGCACGTTGTTGAAGCCCCAGCGAACGTCGAGTTTAGTGAAGAACCGAGCTCCCTTGAGCTTGTTGATGAGATCATTGATCAGGGGGAGCGGGTAGCGGTTCTTCACTGTCATCGCGTTTAGTGCTCGGTAATCTTGGACAAACCGTAAGCTGCCGTCTTTCTTCTTCACAAAGAAGACGGGAGACGCCATGGGCGATTTTGACGGCCGAATCCTGCCAGTAGCCATGCCCTCCTCGATGAAGCTGTCGAGCTGCTTCTGTTCAAGAGGGGAGATGGGGTAGACCTTACAGTTGGTCGGCTTCGCGTCGGGAACCAGTTCGATGGCGTGATCCCAGGGGCGTCGCTCTGGCAGGTTGTCGAAGGACTCCTTGCTGAAAACATCTTCGAACTCGCGGGCCCACTCGGGGATGGAATCCCGAGGAGGTGCAGAGTTCTTGGCAAACGCCTCGGCGAGTCGCTGAGAGACGGTGCTGGTGGCTCGGATGTCTTCAGAAGGGTTGAAGCGGGTGTAAAAGATACGGTCACCGGCTTCCAAGGAGTCGTCATCTTCTTCAACATCTTCAGGGTCA